TGCAGTGAAGGGCGTGCTGTTGGGTACCAGGATCATTCTGCCTCCTGTCTTGGTATTCCACGCCATGAGGAAAACCTCTAGACGAGACTAGCCTCATGAAATGGAACGGAGGAGAGAGGGCAGAATGGTACGCTGTGTTGCAGAGGTGATGTTGATGGCATTGACTGTACAGATCAGACTGGGCTGGATGCTCGAGATAGTGTCTTTTCCTTTCAACCTGAGGTATGAGAAATTGTCAATCATATATGCTTTTTAATAACTAGCCACGGCCAAGACGTGCGATCACAATCGTCATGGACTTCTTTCGCAGAGCCGGCGTCCTCTGAATCGATGAGACACATGGATGGAGGGACTCGCAGGGCTCATCACCCTGTCCACATCAGCCCCCTCTTCTCGTCTAAGGTACATATATGTACGTGCCCGTATCTACCGAGCACTCATCACCGCATTTACCCTCAGAAAGTATGTTCTATGACCCACTACTGTAGATTCATGTCCTCGACCGAACACGTGTATCTATCTACCTATGTACATATGTAGTCCGTACCGAGTGCCTACAGAGAGCGTTCTCGTATAGTCTCATCTCACTCTCATCGTAGCTACTGGGTATATTCTTCCATACCTGTTGCCTGCCTGTACAAGCCTAGGTCGAGTTGGCGGCTATGATGAAGTAGGATGTCATTCATCGAAGCATGTATGTCTGTATGCTATGCCGCTACACTTTCTGAGTGTAAACGAATGTATATATTCACTCTGCAGTTCGGTGTGGAATCTTGTCTAGCGTCTTTCTACCTTTCTAGATCTGTCCTGTGTGGTCTCGTCTGGTGACGACGCAACACTATGCTGGTGCTATGCTAATTCAGTGCGAGTAAGGGAAAAGAATGCAAGGTGCAAGCTCTCCTCCCAACCCTCCTTTCTCCAGAACGATGCGAATCAGAGGCGAAATCCCAAGGTGTGCAGGAACCGCAAAAACATAGTCATCCTCCAGGTACTGAATATTTGCAATTCAAAGATCCATCACGTCCAGTCCCCTCTCAGCCCGGTTTATCACTTGCGCAGTGATTTTCCGCATCGAAAGGCTGCGTTCGTCGTGATGCGTGGCGTGTCATGCGAAGCTTTGCGAAGTGATGGCGAAGCGGACGGAATTCGTAGCAAAGCGTATGTTTCTCATGTGATACTCGTGGGATTTGGCATTTATAGTTGTCAATAAAGCTGGACGCCGGCAGATTTTTGTAGGTCACCGCGATTGAGATTTCGTTTGTTCGTCATGACTGATTTCTGTCCAAGTGCCCCCAGCCAAATGAGCGTAAGCCTAAAAGGCCCACTCCTCGTCGACAGATTTGATGGCCCATTCGAACTTCTCGCGTAGGGTTTTTGAGAAGAACTTCTCGATTGGCACGTTGAATTTCTTGCTGAAAACTACTGTCAACCGTGGATCGATGTAGTTCTGCAAGGGAGGTGCGGTTAGCAAGCCTGTTGCCATCATGGCGGTGTAGAGGGCTTCCTGGTGCAGAACTTACGATCTTCGAAGTGCCCAGTGCCACCTCTTTATTGTTCTCCTTGTCCTCTGCCTGCACGGACATAGTAGCAATCCTCGCGTCAAACTTTTTGACATGCTCCTCCAACTTCTCGATGGTCGGTGACTTTCCTTCGGCCTCGACCTTCTTCGTCTTGTTCTCCTTCTGGAACCTTTTCTCCAAATCCTTGACAGCTTTCAGGCGTTCTTCGAGCTCCTTGGGCTTCATCTCTTTCTCACCCTCCGCTTTGAGTTTCTCATTCTCTTTTTCGAATTTCTTAGTGATCTTGATCTTCTGCTCTTCCACCAAGAAGGCCTGGTGTTCCTGAATCCACGCTTCATCCAGGTCGTCTGGCAGTTCAAAGTACTCTGCACCTTTCTTCTTCTTGATCTTTGGGTCGATGTCGAGCATCATTTGTTTGATTCGCCATTGCTGATACTTGAGGCCTTTGATTCGGTCGCCCAACTTCTCCATCTGACCTGCATGTCCAGCTGCCACGGTTCGCTTATGGTTGCAGAGAATTGCAACTTTCCGATTTGCGTCATTGTAGTCCTTGATCTTCTCGGCTATTGTACCTTCAGATTGCATCTCGGAGAGCAGCCTGGACATTGTGAACGACGCGTTATAGGTACGGAAGACCTTAGCGGTCAAACCAGGCATATAGTTCTTAAGGTGGTTGTTGAGTTGCGTCGTAGTGAGTCTGTCAAAGACGTCGTCTCCCTCACTCTTTGGCGGCTTCTTGAAGATCTTGAGATTCTTGAACACCTGCGCGTCCACTTCGAATTCTTCATGGAAACGAATGCTGTCTTTGCCCAGGAAGTCGAAGACGACAGTGCTAGGAGCTCGCAAAGTAATGTGCTCATATTTCAGGGAACAACAACCGACTGTGTCAGCCTCGTCATCCCCTTTCTCATTACCAGCACGAAGGGCAAATTGATCGATCAGGTACATGGCGGTTGCTTTTTGACGTTCCGCCATCAGCTCTGATTTGAGTTCCTTCTTGTAATCTTTGCGAATCCGATCAATGTGCTTCTTGAGTTCACGAGCCTTCTCGAACTTCTTGTAGTCGCTCTGGCCCTTTATGTCTGAATTCGCCGCCAGCATAACATACTTGTAGTTGCCATTGATGTTTTCCTGCCACATGGCCAGCCACGTCCCTTGCTTGTCGTGCTTGATTTCCTTCCACTTGTGGCCTTCTGGTGGAGCAGGGACGGTTGCCTCTTCGCCAATGTTGATTGTGATCTGTTCAGGCATGACTCTGGTCTTGACTTTGCCAGTTTTTGGATGGTCACCTCGACCACGGAAAAGCCCAGGAGGTTCGACTCGGAAATTGCCAACCTTTTGTTTCTTGCCGTCCCATGTGCAATACATGTACGGGGCTTCGGCTTCATCCTTTGCTACCTTAATAGCTCTCTTTTCCTCTTTGGACAGAGCCTTTTTGGCTGCTCTGTCAGCCTCATAGTACTCAAATATGGGCCTGAAGTCGCATTTTGAAAATTCTTTAATGTCCACTCTCTCGCCGTTTCTGTTCTTTGCGCCGCCGGTCTTCTTTAGAATGTCCCTGAAGTCGCTGAAGAAGTTTTTCTGAAAAGTAGGGTTCTCCACGTTGTGCGTCGAGTTGAGCATACTGCCAAAGAAACCGGCAACTTCTTCTGCATCAGGATGGAGGGTGATGGGTTCGCCGTCATATTTCATCTTGACGTGGTCGGGAAGAGGTTGATAAGGAGGGGGAAAGACAACGCCATTGTGCTGCAATGTCTCCCACTTGTTCGTTCCATCGCCTTTGGTGGGATCCTCCCACCATTTGACTTCGTCCTCTTCTTCTTCCTCGTCTTCAGGATCGGCACTCTCTTCCTTTTTGACCGTCCTGGGTTTCTTTGCGGGTGAGGTAACTTCTGGCTTGATCTTTTTGGTCGGTTTGGATGGTTCAGCTTTAGCTTTCTTGGTAGCAACCGCGGGTGCTCGCTTCGATAGAGGCTTGTCATCATCACTGGATTCCTCCTTTTTTAGTCTCTTTGCGGCCACGGCTTTCTTGGGAGCCTTCGCGGCGTCCTTCTTCTCCTCCCTTCGAATCTGCTTTGCTTCCTTCTCTGCCGCTTTCTCGATCTTCTGCTTTTGCTTGGCAAGCTTCTGCCCGAGAGGCACGTCAGAGTCTGACTCTTCACCGATTTGATGAGCCGAGGCTCGAGGAGGCTTCTGAACAACTTTGCCATTTGCCCTTGGCTTCGCGACGAGAGGGACATCATCAGAATCTGACTCGACAGCGGTTGAAGTCTTTCTCTTTTTGCTCTGCATCCACATCAGCCGATATGATCTCTCGAAAGACATGTCCTGGAATTGACCGGGTCGCATACCAGTGGTAGATCGTCGTCGCTGCTTTCTGGCTCGGCGTAAGATGGTCGTGCGAGACTCTCTCTGGCCTTGCGCTTCGCAGCAGCGACGCCGTTGAGGATATTGTCCTTATTTCCGGATGGTGATAACTCTTCCACCTTCACCTCACCGTTTGCCATCGAAATACCGGGCACGACTTCGCCGTTCGTGGGGATCTGGCGGTCCATTGCAGCGTCAATCGAGGATGGAATTTTAGAGGAAGACAAAGGAGGTGCGACTGTTTGCAGTGTTAGCGAGGAAATGAGAGGTCGAGATGTAAAAGAATGTAGAGCTGAGACAGGCCACGCAAACGGAGTTGCCTGGACTAGTCGATGGTGGTAGAGAGAGCGTACCTCCGTTTGTGCCATTCACCCTCCTTGAGCCCGCGAGGGGCATATCGTCGTCCGAAGAATCCATGATCCGCATGACAGAAGAGACAGAGCGCAGAGGCCTGACGAGTAAGGGGTGTAGATGTTGAACGGCTAATAACAGAGGTGGACGGAAGCAGGAGGGAGAGGCGACGGATTGAAGTGACCTCCAAAACGCGCCTCGGAAACTCGGAATGGTGGGCGACGCTCGAGAGCAACAATGGGGACCGTGCCCGTGGTTGGTATGAGAAGGAGACGATTGGGGAGGCGGTGATCAAGACAAGTGAGAGAGAGAGAGTGTGTGTGTGTGTGTGTGAGAGAGAGAGAGACAGTGAAAGAAGAAGAAAGAAGAAGACAAGGAGTGGGCGAGGCCGAGAAAGAAAAAGAAGGAGGGAAAGTCAGAGTGCAGAGAGCAGAGCGCAGTCCACCAAAGTCCACCCGACCAGGCGACTCGTGAGGCCGTTCTGAAGGAAGCGCAAGAACTTAGCAGGGCAAGAAGGGGATCCAAAATGCCCCAAAATGCCCCAAAATGCCCACCTAGATTCCGTTGTATCGACGATTTTATGCGAGAAATGCACCATCCCACATCTGGCTAGCGCGTCTTCCCACCAGCGAGCTCTGTTCGGAACCTCAGTTTGTTCATTGACAAGCTGCCCTCGCACCAACTGAATCTCCTCTCCCTCACGTCCACTCCATCTCTCAACCCTGTTCACTCACGGCCTCGTGGTCAGCAAGTCTCGCCATGATGCTGTCCAGAGCTGTGAGACCGGCCCTCGCAGCCGGCAACGCCGTCCTTGCAAAGTGAGTTGCTGCAAAATCTCAGGAGCTTGGATAACGTAACTCATCCATCATCAGGACGGCTCCCCCCCAAGTCGCCGGGTATGCTACACTACGGGAAATCGAGAGTATGGGGTCTGCGGCAGAAAGCTGTGTTGCAATCGCTAACCGCTGCCAGGTCGCCTCAAGTCCATCCGAAACATTGAAAAGATCACAAAGACCATGAAAATCGTTGCCTCCACCAAGCTCACTCGTGCGCAAAAGGCCATGTCCGATTCCAGAACCTACGGCCAAACGTCAAACAAGGTCTTTGAAGAGGCGGAGACAAAGCCGTTGGAAGAGAAAAAGACACTCTTGGTTGTTGCCAGCTCCGACAAGGGCCTTTGTGGTGGTATCCATTCCGGACTGTCGCGCACCACTCGTCGAATGCTCGAACAGGATCCAAATCTCGACATCGCAATTATCGGTGAGAAGTGCAAGGCCCAGATTGGTCGTTCCAACCCTAGAAATGTCCTCCTGAGCTTTGCCGGCGTGGGCAGAGACGTCCCTACCTTCGCAGATGCCCAAGCCATTGCCGACCAACTCGTCTTGCTCCCCGAAGAATACGCAAGCATTAAGATCCTCTACAACAAGTTCATCAATGCCCAGAGCTATGAACCTGTCACCGTTGAGGCATATTCCGAGGAGGCTATCACGCAGTCTCCAAATTTCGCCGCCTTTGAGATCGATGACGAAGTCCTCGCCAACCTCCGAGAATATTCCCTGGCCAACTCTCTCTACTGGGCTCTTGCCGAAGGACATGCCTGCGAGCAATCCGCCAGGCGGAATGCCATGGATGTGAGTCGTCCTCTTGAGTTCTGACATTACTATCTGTGCTGACGTAGTCTCAACAGAACGCATCCAAGAACGCCGGAGACATGATCGGCAAGTTTACTATCCTGTACAACAGAACCCGACAAGCTGTCATTACCGGAGAATTGGTCGAAATTATCACTGGTGCCACTGCCTCAGAAGACATGTAGGCTTCGTTTCAAAAGAGAAAGTTGTACATAACTGCCAACCTCAATTTTTTACTACTGTCAAAAGAATGCTCCTTCAGGTCTCAACCCCCGCCTTGGTGTGGTTGTGCACCATCTGGTTGTTGCTGCTCGTCGTGTGAAGTTGATTTCTCTACTTACCCTGCCAGTATTGTGTGGTCTTTGGCACAGCATTTGAGGCATCACTGCCTTGTTATGACTTCAAGGGCATCCGCTGTCTACCGCAGCCTCGATCGGAATCCGAACATGACAAGTTCGTGCCGATCATTCCGCCCCTAACTACTCTTTTCCTTCGAGTGCTTTTGACTCTGGAACTCTCGCAAGCCTGGCGAAGATGACAGCCATCGCACAGTTTTTGAGACCATTTACAGGATTTTGAGACCTCGCGCACAGCCGGTCCACATAAGCAGTGATAGGTGCGAAGATGGATACTCAGACTGTCGCGAACCGGAGAATCTACCACGATTGCAGTGTCCAACGAAGCTATCTCCCTTCCCAAAGAGAAAAGCCGAGTCTTGGCTTGAAGACTCTGTTGAATTGTATCCAGCTTGTGACCCAGACTGTGAAGCTCACGATCGGTGTGACGACGTTCTCAACGGGTATGCGACTCCTAAAATGAATCCCAGTGCGGTCCCCTGGCTCGACAGTCTCCCCGATTCGAGTATGGACTCAGACGCAAAGTCAAGTCTCGAGGAAGTTGCAACATCTGGCACTGGTGCGTATCATGAAAAAGAACTCGGCATCCAAAGTTCGCATTACGCTACGCTTCGTGACAACAACGGCGAGTCTATTACCGACCGTTTTCAGAATCAAGTGGCCGTCAGGAATCCAAAACTTCAATGCGCGGCGGTTTTCAGCTGCTTGATCTTCATGAGGGAGAACTGACTGGGGGTATTCTAGGAGGGAACATGCCAAACAATGATATGTGGACTTGGATGGCGTCGAGCGTCTGGGCCTTCGGAAAGTGCGGCAGATTGTGCAAGAGGAATGATGGGACTACGTTGCTGTGGTAGAGTCAGATTAGATGCTGTCGGCAGGCAAGCACAGGGCCGAAGGAGATGAAGGTAGTAGGGCAATACCCATAAGAGCTCCCAACTGGGTAGCCCATGATCCGCATGCCTTAACTCTTGCTGCACTCCATCCTGGGTATTAAGTTTTCCAAAAAGAAATTGTCCCTCTAACTATGTCATTCACAACTGGTCATCTGAGAAGCGTATCAATTTCACTGCCTCCGCTTTTGTTCTTGGTTTGGTTTAAAGTGGCCAGCTGCCCTAAGAGTATATGGGTAAAAGTTACTGTCATCTTCGTGCGTGGCAGAATTGAACTGCCTTCGTATAGGCAATCTTGAGCATACTGCCTGGTAACAGGGATTTACTGCCTCGCCAGCTTGTCGTTTCCAGCGCCACATTCCATCGTATATATACTTCCTCGACTCCCTAGTCATGGCGATTTTCCTGACATCCGAACCAACCAACCTTCAACAAGTTTGCATTTACATTCCAATCTCGTAACCCATCTCCTCCTCCGACAACTCTTCCTTGATACGCCATGCCTTTCCAAATCCCTAAAAACTACATGATCCCACGCAAGCGAAAGTCTGAAATCTCGCATGGTTCACCGACAGAAGAAGCCATCGACGTTCCTCGAGAGCCGCTCAACATCTGCAGGACTCTAAGATGGACCCTTGATCCAGGCAACGAGGGCAAAGTTCTGCTGACGCTGAGGAAACCACTCCGCACGGTCCTTGCAGCAAAGTATGTGGAATACTATGTCGTCTATTTCCAGGCGAGGCTTTTTGAAAAGAAAACCTCGAACCGCTCAGCGTTTGTCATCTGTTTGTTTATGCTGTGCACAACATACAGAAGGCGCCTGGAGCGTCTCAGATAAGTTTGCGAGCAAATCCCATCTAGATTATCAATTCAGAAAATTATCAAAATTCGATCAGTCTCCATTTCATATTGATGTCAGTGTCTTCTGGCTCCATTGCCGTCGTGGTCGCGGTAAAGATGAATAGGGTTTTATGGCCCACCCCCCTGGAGATGGCCAGCCTTGCGGGCGCGATGTGTTCCGTCTTCACCCCGAACACACCGCCCAACACAAGCTTTCATCAAACCCCCAGATTGTTCTGTAATTTCCTATACGATGGATGTTGCAGACAGAGAAACGACTGCTCGTTGGGGCACCAGGTCTAGTACATGAGCTAGGCACGGTGGATGATGCCTCGAATGGAGGTGGACACCATATACGCTCTTTCTATAGAGGTTCGCGCAAGCCATCACACTGACATAGCCCTCATAGACTCCTTTAGAGATGGTAGGAATTCGTGCAAAATCTTTTCCCTTCCCGGATTGTTCTTTCTTGTCCCTGTTTGTCCCTGCTTGACCTCAACCAAGCCCCCTTTGGCAGTGTTTTCAAAAACGAACAGAATCCTCCTCATCGTTTAGCACAACCAAATTCTGGTCCGATTTTGTCATGTTTGACGTCCTCCCGTCGAGCAAACGTTGTCGTCCCAGGTTCGTATTTCCTCTCAGAATATTGCTCTTTGTAGCCGTCTCGCTTCTTCACTTCTCTTTTCACCGCAGCACCGGCATTTTTAGTCAGCGGTCATCTTGATCAATTTCCATGCTGAGATAACCCGGCTCTTCTCGATACAAGTAATGGAACAAATAAGCTCTGACACCCCCAGCAAATACGTCCCGCCACAGCTGAGAAACCGTCCCGTGGGGAGCAATGTTCTGCCTGCAGCGTTTCCACCCGGATTCAACATGCTGGGTTTTGGCAACACTGCACTTCGTAACCTTGGAACCGGCACAATTCTGGGCAACATCCCTGACAACCCGCCATCGGCTCATGCTGAACAAATCCAGCCCACAGTCGTTGCGTTCAAGAACTCCTTGCCCAGAAGACTCAAAGAAATGGATCCCGACTTCTACCTCATCTCCTTCCAAGGACACCTCGCCTTGCAGATCGCAGAGTTGACGGTCTCAGCGAAGCGTTCCAAGCTACCTCAACATCTGGTTCCCCCGCTGGCCTACTTGAGAGCCTTGTCCCACAGTATCGATCAAATCAGCCAACCAGCACAACACACCACGAAGGTGACACAAGCAAAGAAGTGTGAACAGATCCAAAGATTTCTTGATTCACTCGCGGATGAGTCCGGCAGGTTGTTGGAGAATGAGCCAGATGGTCAAGACAAAGGATGGCAACAAGAAGATGGACTCCAACATCTTGTTGCCTTGTACGATTCTGATCTCCGCAAGCAGCTGGAATCGCTGAAGCCGCGGGTAGTTGAGGACCAAGTCATTTTCGGAACCATCGTGCTCGCGTTCGGCGTTCTGATCTTGTTGATCTACTTCAAGCATGTATTGTTCTGAGAAGCCTCGGGGATAATGGTCGCGTCTTCGCTCAATCGACCTGGTGTTGGTCAACAACTGTACCCTTCAGATCCTTTCTCCGACAGGCAAGTGTCAAGGAAACCCTCTGGTACATAAGAGAGCCGAAAATGTCAATGAGAGACACGGGCGGTTTGCTATAGAGATCTCAGTGGAATAGATGACCAGAAACTTGCCAATGGCACAGCTTGAGGGGCAACAAATGGGATTCCCAAAGCTCGAAGATGAGATCAGATGAATCGGGTGTGAAAAGCTGTTGGGGAGAACTAATGGCCAGCGCGTCTTCTGTTGGCGTTGCATCGTGGTATCATTGTCTCCATGGAATGTCAAGTAGTCGGACCGGATTGGACATCTTCGATATCCTGAGGTCATGGTGTAAGGGAGGGAGAAATTGGGATGGATCAATGTATACAATGGCGCCAAAATTCAATTGGAAACATCAAATCTACTTGCTGGGTCGCAATTAGAATGGCCAGTGAACATGCATCGAATTTTTGGATTGCAGCCCAATCCGCACTCTTCCAAAAAGCTCTTGTGATCGGTCTGGATTCGGACAACGAGCTCACGCGATTTCGTTCGGTCGACTACGAGAATGGCTCTCGTTGGGGCAGTGCTAGCTGTCGCCATCCGCACCACCACTTTCTCTTTGTTTCCTCCAAACCCCCAACCAAAATTCTCCCCTTATTTTTGCTCTTCCTCCTATGACACTGCCAGCAACCGAGGAAGAACCAATCTCGGCTCGTCCTCCATGCTCATAGGAGGTCTCTCCTGTCCGAGCCAGCCCTACTTCTAGTCGCGCTTCTCGCCTCGCGGAGCAGCAACTTCTCCTTCCTGCTCAATTGCGAGAAGAGAACAAGAGAACTCACATCGAAATCTGCTACAGCATCTTCCTGGTCCTCCTGAAGGTATTGCTTTGTTTGCTGGAGCCCGGGGATGTTGATGATGCCATTCGGCAGGCACATTAGGAAGGCAAGTTTGGCTAGCATCACGGTTAGTGTGCACGATCCCACCATTCAGTTCATCCATATTTAAAGGCTTAGAGTTTCGAATAAAAGAGATCTTGCAGACGAGCACAAATCAGAGAAGATATGGTGAGCCCGGCGACGCGTAAAACTGGCACTGACCATGTTGTCATTGTATGACCATGGGCAGCCTCGTCGGCGATCGCGGCAAGAGAGGTGACACGGTGACAGCGTAGTGCCATATCTCTCACTCGCGTGTCCAATCCCAACACAATAGGCCATCAAACAGCCTTGGGGGCAACAACATGGTTTTGTGGGGGACTTTCTGGGTACTCTGCTTGCGCGATCCACCAAGTCTTCTCCGTGAACAGAATAACTGGTGGACTTTTGATTGTCGAGGTGGAAAACGTAAAAAAAGTAGCACAGAATCACGTGCGGGAAAAGGGGGATATTGCATTCATAAACAGCAATGTAGTCATGTGACAGGAGCACCTTTCCTATTTGGACCTATCAACCGAATCCCCCTTTTTCCGAGGATCCTCTTCATTCACTTTCATCTTCCTTCGTTGTTGTCAAGCTGCACAAAACGTCTCTTTGTCGTCATCTAGACTATGGCTAAGGGCTAAACTCTCTCGTACCTCGCTTTGGCAGAGAGCACGGACATCAGGACTCCTAGATTTTGCCTGCACAGCGATGTCTATCCCACAGCCTTGTGCTGATCTCTCCTCCCATACAGCAACGATGCTCGTTTCTATAGACAACTAACATTAGTGTGCTCATTCACTCCGCTTAACACCTAGTATTCTATCTTCTGGCTTCTTTGGTTATTTCAGCACCATTTACTTTTCACACTGTTTTCCATTCCGCGTTTGTGCGTCATGGAGTTATCAATATCTTCACCAAAACGCTCCGCCTTCTGCGCTGTTCTATGCACTCTGAGTCGCGCCATCACTTCACTACGCGTTGCTGCCTCCAGCTAAATGCCAAGAAGCTGGAATCCCAAAACGCGATCCCCAGGCAACGATGGTCTCGTGTCGATTTCATATTTATATCTCACTCTCCGGCCTCGGATGTTTATTTCCTTCTTTCTCCTCTTTACAATTCCCTTGATCGAACAGGATCGCGTCCGACCATCGAAGAAAAAGATCTAGCTCCAGCTTTGTGGCTCCCAACACATTCCTCTTCCACCCTGTGTTCAAGAATCTCAACATGTCCTCGTCAGACGTCCTCCAGTTCATCGCCGCTGTGCGCGAACAGACCTGCCGTCTCATTTCTGTGCTCCCTGACCAGTCCTTAGTCCTCCCCCAGATGCCACCCATGATTACGGTAAGTCTTCATCCTTGCACTTCCTTAAAGGCCCATGGCCTTCTCAAGACCGACTCGACTCAGCCTTTCCTCTTCCATTGCCTCGTAGACGAGGCTAACTTCATGAACTTGGTAGAATGGTGAACGTCTTTGCGAGGAAAATTTGCGTCAGATTCTCCGTTACTTGAAGCAGGTCAACAAGGCGTGCAAACGTCAAGACGCTCCTAACTCCTGCACCAAGGTCTTGCGGCATCGCGCAATGGTCAAGCAAATGCATGATGTTGACAATGGGTCTATAATCCGATCTCTAACTCTCGACACACCTAGACAGGTCGAGGAAATTGGAATGAAAGACTCAACAGTGGAGGATTTGAGGGAATTGCTGAATGCTTCTCCGCTGACCAGTCGTATCTGCACGCCCTCCTCAACTGCAAGCATCTGTGCCTCTTCCATTCTCACTCACGCCACACAGAGGAGTAGTGAGACCTCAGCCAACCTCTCCCTGTCAGGTTTAGATGGCGGATGTGAAGGAAAAACCGTGCATGGTTATAGTAGTGAGGCTGAAGATCCTTCTCTCTACAATCCTGTCGAAAATGAACGAGATGACACTAGAGGAATTGAGAACACAGTCCAAATTCAAGCCTGTGGGATCGGCAATACAAGTGTTGGTGATACCGTCGCCTTCAGATTCCAGGGAAGTGACCGTGAGAATACTTTGGATTGGTCACCTCCAAAGGAACTTCAGACATTTCGATTCAGACACTCGTCAGACTCGTACCTTCTGAAGTCTCTTGACATCAACAACTCCGCGCAATCCAACAGTCGATCTGTCTCTCTTCCAGCCCGTTGCGCGGATGAAATGGCTTCTTGCTTCTTGCGATGGAGCGGGGAGACGCTGGAGGAGTTCATTCGCGGCGTGGAAGTTGCTGATACCAAAGTTGACAACAAGGTGAGGTGGCTAGCGGTTCTCCAGCAACCAGATACAGTTGCATTCCTTGGGCGGTGGCCTTCTCCTACAACTTTGAAAGCCTTCATGCGAATGCATCATCTTGAGTGGGTCGTTCGGGTGCGCGGCAAATGGGATTGGGAGTCCAAGGTAGCCGGCGCCCAAGAGTCTGCTCACTGCAGCGACACTGGACATGAAGAGCCTCCGGTCGAGAAGTCTCCTGACGGCAGCATTGGCCAGGACGGTCTTGCCATTGTTGAAGTCGAAGACACTATTGAGAAGCATGGTGTTAACAACGTCCTCGAACCCGAAGATATTGCTCACCAGGTTCCCACGGACGGGTTTACCGGAGATCGACTAGTCCCTGAGCACTCAAAGGCGAAGGAGCCTGCTACAGAAGATTTTGTTGCTAAGGATTCTTCAGCTGCAGTCTCGGGCACTCCTTCCTGGTCTGCCACTCCGATCCTTGTGGGCGCCGCAGCCTCTGCAATTCTCATTTCCGCCTTCTGTCCAGCCCTCGCGGCTGTGATGCTTTACGGCGGCATTTCACATGTCAAGTCTAGGTTGTGGCGATAGATGGCCATTTCCAACACCGACAGGTAGCATCTCCAGCAAACACGTCAGCTCCAGGTTCGATAGTTTATGGTGATCTTCAGGTACGGCTGACTCGCCAAAGACATGGTTGTAGGAGTTTCGGAGTGAACGGTATGATTTTGGCAGGAAAAAGTCGAATGGTTATTGTTTTTGGAAGGACCAGCACCTGTGGGGCGGGTTTGATATCAAAATGTACGGTTGCTTTGTATGTGGTGTGTTCAGCGACTGTCGAGCTGAAGCGTACTGCTGGATCCCGGGTACAAGGCCTTTACTGTTGTGACGGATTCTATGGAAGATTACCGGGGGTGGCAGAATTGGATGGACAAATTACAATGTCGGGACGGACAGGTGGAGGAACAGTTCATTAGTACCTGCAGACCCCTTTCCAGATTGCCTTTTCATTGACACAGAAAGGCCCAAGTATCAAAGTCGGCAAAAAAGTCTTACGTTTTGCGAATGGACATAGCAACAGAGCGTCAGACTCAAGGTCCACCAGCAATACGTTATTCGTTCATGTATATGGTACTGCTCTGGTCCTCAATCCGCTCAGGGATATCGTGGAACAGCTCTAGCTTCTATCGCAGCCCTCATGCTGTAACAAGGCAAAGTGGCTGTGCTGTGATGGGCTGTGCTGGGCTGGTAGAGCGATGGCAGGGAGGAAAAGTTGTCTAGTCACATGTCAAACCAAAATGGGCTGGCAGAGAGGGGGGTGCGGAACAGTTTACAGTGCTGGCAGGGTGCCATTCTTTACAGTTTGAGCAGAGTATCATGAATTCTATGGCTTTTTGATGCCGCCTACCTAATTCCTGAGTGTTTTATCAGTTCAGTCCTGTTCCTCGATGCTGCCGCTGTGCTAGGTGTTCGTAGCCCTAGCCGTTGCCCCTCTGGGTGGTGTGGTGGTGGTGTTGTCTTGTCAGTATCAACCAGAAACGCGTTCTCGATTCCCGATCTGCTGGACAGGCCTCTGTGCGTTGTTGCACGTGAACGCCGAACCCTGAAGTGCTCTGTTACAATACAACTTAATGACTATGGTAAAACCCAGTGCTCATGCTGCGTCCACCCTGTTATCTTCTGCAACGGCAATCACCATTCTCTCCACAAGTTGTCCATGATGTCCCGTCGCCGTTGTCTGTCGGCTATCCTTTCCATTACCCTGTCCATTTCCACTTCAAGGTCTGGTTGGACTTCTGGAATCTCCAGTTCATCTCCATCCCGGCGACGAAATCCATGAGGCCTACCACTCCATCTAATCTCCCATCCTTGTTCGCAGTCATGTTCCACATCGAGGAGTTCACCACACGAGTAGCAATAACTGGACCAACAATCTGGGAGTCGAGATAGAGGTCTATGTGGAACATAAATGTCCTCGCAATCTCCTTCTCCCTCGTCCCATCCCCTGTAACTCCCATCTCCATCTTCCCACAAAAGTATTTCTCGTCCATGTCTTCTACGACGGCGCTGTCGTGGATGTCGACTGTGATGTGGATCTCCAAGGTCAAAGAGGATTCGGTCTTCCATTAGATCTTCTGCGAATTCCGGATAGTCGGGATATAGTTGATGGTCAGGGAGATATTGGAGGAAGGGGCAAATGCCAGATTCATCCCAGGGAGGGCCGTAGATGGACATTACGGAATTATCTTAACGGGGGACTACCGAGGATCATTTCTAGGCGTTTGGGAAGATATCTCGAAGATTGCGCCGGTGTTCGAAAGTCGATTCAGAATTGAGAGGAAGTCAAAGCACAAAGTCTAGATGAATATTGCTTAAAATCTCAAAAATCTGTCACAGCTCGCGAGCAAAGCTCGTTTGCTGTGCTGGTCACCTCCAGAGATCTTGCGTATCACTCATTCATAGGTCAAGTCCGTGTCTAGAAGTCGCCTGGAACACTGACTCAAGCCATATCTTTGCCTGCAACCTCCAGCGATTAGGATCTCGTGGCTTAGAGACACCGTGTTGAAAATCGGCAACAGCTCAAAGCCCTACCATCCAGAGTGGATGCGAAGGGTCCCTCCATTTCGAGTCCGATAGACACGATCCTGGAATCTCCCACCAGAACTACCTCCCATGGCTTCTTCGTCTTCTTCATTACCATCATGATCGTCGTCACCACCGTCGTAGTCATCAGCATTGTAGTCCTCGTCTGGCATTATATCAAGGCCGCTTCGTCCTGGACCTCTGTGAGGTGGACTGCCAAACTGGTTGTCCACCACCATAGCCCCTCCTTGTCGCGTAATTCTGATGCCCTCTCTGCCACCTCGACGCGGTCCCCTTTCCCGTCGTCCAAGTGGCATACCTCCAAAAGACGCCGTTATTTCAAAGTCATGGAAATCATCCTCGTCAAAGTCGTCGAACAGCCATGGCGGAACAAATTCCATGCCTGGAGGAAGCTGACCTCGTCCTCGAGGAGAGCGTCCACCGAAAGGGTTACTTCCGGGGCCACGGCGTGATTCTCTCTCAAATGGGCCGCCACCGAAGTCGTCAAAGTCATCAGAAAAGTCATCATCGAAGTAGAGATGCTCTCCACCACGACGGCCTCCACCGTGAGTCAAGCGATCTCCTCCGCTGGCGACCAGTCGGCCATTATTCCACACCTCAAAGTCACTGTCGTTGCCAACTGCCCATGCGCTGTTGATGGTCTCGTTGGTATTTCTCCCAGGCCCTATTCCGCGCCCTCCGCCATTTCCTCGCCTCCCCCATCTAGGACCATTCGGGAGACCGGTGACAGGATCGGGATAAAACTCCGGCCCATCCATCTCGCCCATATTGCCATGGCCGAAGTATCCAGGCAGTTGTCCAGCTCCGTCTCCCTGGTGATCTTCGCCACACGTGCTGCAGCTGCGATCACGAGGGGGACGAGGTCGTCGGCCGGGTGGGCGGCCACGGCGTGGCATGCTTGATATTACCGTTGGTACTTTCGAGTCTTTGCGAATAGATCTGTTGATGATGGCAGGTAATTGCCCTATATGTGGCTTCGAACCGGACAGTGTGTAAAGATGCAAGAATGGATGGCCCGGCATTACAGATAGATATATATGTGGAATCTTGACCATCACCAATGCTCTATTGTGATAATTTGACTCCACTGGATAATCTGACCCCGCCTTGTGATAGTACCTGACTAGGACTTAATGATATATCACCCTGGCTAGTTGCAGAAAACGAAACTAGCAGTTGTAAAAGTGACAGGGAGCTAGACTCGTCAAACGCAGGGGAGTTGAACAAACACCCTACAGTGTCGAATGGTTTGTCGGGAGAAGCCGCTGTCTGAACTCAGTCTGGCGGTGGGTGGATAATAGACATAGATCTCCTCGGCCAGCTCCATCAGGTACACAAATAACAATATCGCCACGGCGAATTAAATTCACAATTGAAAGTGAATTTCCATGAAGGCGTTCATGGCCAAAGTCAGGGTATGTCCTGTGTGTCACTTGATGGACAGTGTGCTTCTGCTCCGACAGATGAACAAAGCCATCGGGAGGTTCGTGCTCACCATACTACCGAATTTTGGCACAGAGTGACTTCGCTTTTCATGACTGCTGTCACTGTCTCTTCCAGCACTATCGTTCTAGAGGAGAAGAGGGACAGTTTCCATTTGCCTACCTGATTGTTTGGGGTATTTTTTTCTCTTCGATCACCACTTGAATCGCTGGTTTCGCCAGCTTTCTCAATGTTAGCTTGACACTGAAAACTCCCCAGTTTTCACTGTCCAATGGTATAGATTTGAAAGTGTCCAGAGTCCCCCTTTCTCATCCAGCTGCAACAGTTAAAAGGGTACGGATAGCCAGTGTCTAAATCCACAAAAATGAGACTGGGAGTGTGGGCCTGTAATGCCCAGGCGACACCCCTACTGCACCTGTAGGTTAACCTTACCGCAAATGATGAACGCACAAATGTTGTAGAGACGCAGTCGAAAGGAACAAAGGTATTTAGAACTGGAGAGAAACATTGTTGAAGCGAGTCTCAATGATGCTTAAAAAAGGGTGAAATCCAACAAAGGAATTTCCGCTATGGCAGGAGGGGTGAAATTGATACGGATTCATAACGGTGGACCTCGTATGTGTAGTGGTACCTAGGTATGTATGTAAACCAAGGAGCGAAAACGAGACTCCGTAAATAGTGGAACGAGCCGCCAAGCCCGCCGAGCCGCTAACGTCTTCGAGGTATATAGAGATGTGATTATTAACAGCACGAAGGTATCTAGCGAGCTCCGTCCTTGCTCCGTCCTCCGTATTCCGAACTACCTTTTCTCGACTACTAAGTACTTGCGACTTCATTCGGATTCAACAGTACATGACGCAGCGTAGAGGTAAGTTGTCGCCGTCTTCTTCATTGCGCCTTTTTGGGTCCTACGATGGCTTCTCGAAGCAGTCAGCATGTCCTCTCTAAGATCAGCGAGTTGCAATGAAGAGGTTCACCTTGACTCCTGTAATACAGAGCACTTTCAACGACGACTCCCTGCCATCTGGTCAGTGGACGCTTTCGTCTTTCACTTCTCATTGCGAAGACGGTATACCATCTTGAGAATGATCCTTGCAATGGTCCTAGCTTAAACTCTATGCATTGATTGGAAATCTTCCATGTCGCCATTTGTCGTACAAAGGTCGGAATCTTGTTTTTTTATTCGCGGCAACTCTCTTCTGAAACAATGGACAGACATTGGACCAGCAAAAATTCAATATTGTCCCTTCAGCATCAACGGCCACAATTATGATCACCCGCACGCTATTGCTATGAATCTTTCATGAAGACAAGAGCAAAATATACCTCAAGGCCTGTTCCGCAAATCCCTGCCTGAAGGCTTCTTCAAGCCCCTCCAAGCTCCTCCGATGCTAGATCCGTGCAGACACTACCAATATGTCGCTGATGGCACTACTTCACCGCCAACATAGGCTGTCCAATGAGCGTGTGGGCGCTGAGTACTTGCATGGAGCCTATGAACATCACCACCTGTCGACCAACACGAACAGAATGCTGGTCGACGTGGTGGAAGTTGTTCGGAACTTCATCGGAACCATACCCCGGGAGCTAACCCGACCACAAATGGATGACTTCTGTCGTGTCTTCTACCATTCCTTGCATGCCAGTCACGACCTCCGTTTCCGACTGATGCTCCTTTTCAGGGGCAGTCTCCCGCGTCCCTCAGTCGGTGAAAGTGAGATGTTCCTTTGCCATTTGGTGAGGGAACTTGCAGGCGAAGACATTTCAAATCCGACAGATATGAATCGCATCCAGAACGAGATCGAAGACTTCTATGCAAAGCTACCATTCAATCTGGATCAGCAGTTAATGAACCAATTGAAATTCAAATGGAATATTGACGATCTGCGTCCGGATTTTCCAATGATAATGGGTCGATTTCAAGGCTACATGATGAACATGATTGTTGACTTCTACAACCTTCCGGTAGAAAACGCGTGCCGACAACTTCAACAGAGCTTGAAGGATCTGAGAGCCACCGTTTTCCTGGACGATGGGGCCAGTGGCATGGTACCCCTCGAAGATGTACCAATTTTTTGTGAACAGCTTGCGAGAAATGAAGAGGTCTTTGATCAGGCCAGAGCCCGAAATTTCCACGCAGAGCAAATCCTGGTTGCCTTGGAAGCTTCATGGGGCCAAGCTAGTCTCTCAGGCGCGGCACGTCACGATTTGAACGAGCCAAGTATCGAGTAAACTTCAAGTGGACCGTCACTTACTTTAAGACCGAGCGCTTGAAACAGGTCGATTACACCGAGAATGTTCTGCACTGACGAGATGGCGATCTTGAACCACCACTGGTTCGGAATTTCGCCCCAGAGCATTCCGTTTGTCCCATCTGCTAGGACGATTTCGAAGGGGAGGAGGGTGAAGTTGTGCGTCACCCAGTGGTGACTCTTCGTTGCCACAGACCATTCCACGTTGCTTGTTTGCTTTCGTGGCTCTTCTCAAAATTCGAGGAGCTTGACGGGGAGGATGAGGGGATGACCTGTCCGATGTGTAGAGAGTACATCTCTTACAATTACTTGGGAGAGCTGTTGGATTTGGAGGCGGCACAGTTCGACAGCTTGTAAATAGAAGAAGGTAAGAGGGGCGTGTTGATTTCTCGCCAATACATCCTCGATGTAGCTGATCCTCCAGATGGTAGGAAAACAAACAGTATTCGTAGGCAAGATTCTTGATTCTACATTTCCTTGTTATGGTTTAGTCTTGACCCATTGTTGCTAAAGTGGCTCTCTTTTATGCTACGTGGAATCATGTCCTGTGAATGTACCACACCGACCGGATTGCGAAAAGGATAGAAATGGTCCATCCGGGCCGAACGTTGATGATGAATTCGCGAGAACCTTCATAAATCTACTTTATCCAGTCGAGTCCGACTCCGGCGACTGGATTCGGCATATGCATAACCCTTCCATTAAACATAAGCGACTGTAGGCTTCAGATTCGCCACCAGGGTTCCACGTGTGGTATAGACTTGTGCCAATCCTACCCTGCCAGACTCTTCGTCAGGTGAGGACACGTCGCCAATCTTGACTTTGACATTCCTCAACAGCCGAGCCCGTTCCAGACCATTCAACGTGGTCCCATTGTCCGGGAGTGCAACATGTGGATTGTCTCTCGTCAGGCTGGAGACGTAACCGAAGATATCTGGAGCAAGGGTGTGGATGCGCAACCAACATGCAATGATGGCGGCTATGAGTAAGATGATGCAAGACACGAAATCAACGGCGATCCAGCCCCACAGGATAGCGTAGTGAGGATCATAGAGGGCGCCGTGGATAGGTAGAGCTTGAAATTGGGTGTCATCCGGCGCATAACTGGGAGCAACACCCGTCACCACTTGCGAGAGAATATAGTAGGTGTTGAAATATTGGGTCAATGGCAGTTCGAGGCCGCGTTGCTGCGTAGACAGAAACTGGTCGTAGTTGTCTCCCTCGCCGATAGACCCCTCTGGCTGGCCCAGGAAGTTTTGAAGGCCGAGGGTCAAGCTGCCTCCAATATCTGTGGTCGTGGAGGCATTCCGTTGCGCGCCGCGTGAGAGAAGGAGAGCACTGAAGAATCTCTCGGCAAAGGCGTCGTCATCAAAAGGTGTACTGAACGAAGTTACATTTTGCCGAGACATATTGTTCTTGTACCGCATTTTAATCGGAAAGCAGCCTGATACGCCACAGTGCACTTGCATGTCAACTTTGACGTACGTGATGTTACAGGTCTGCCGCGAACTGCCATAGGAGACGATGCTTTGATCATTATCGGGGATCCACCGCGTAGACAAATTGAACTCGCGAAGAGGATAGCCTTCGCCATCTTTGGGAGCGTCGGGCCTAACATGGGTCAAGTTGAGGCTCACAGATTGGTTCATGTAGGTGCCATCGGGAAAAGTTTCATATGGAAGGATTATAGGGCGTGCGCATTTGACCGCCAAATACCTGGTCGGTAGGGTATACTCACCCAAGAACCCATTGATTTGTTGGAAAATTGGCCCATAGGCGTCACTCGAAAGCTCGAAATACGTAGCTCTTCCGATAAACGCCGAGTAGTCATCTGATTTCATGAGTTGTGATTGATGTGCAACATTGACCCAACCGTGGCGACTAGGACGAGGAGATACATATCCGATATCGTTGACCCACCAGCCTTGATCCAAGATAGCGTTGAGATCAGGAACGACGGCGGAACCGATGGAGTCAGTGCCCTTTGGTGTTGCAGTGGGCGAATTGTAGTCTGGTTTCGTGAAGCTTACAGCGGCTATAAGAGCGGCATTCAAATCGTCGATACTGAAGCTGTGATATGTATTGCCGTAGGAGGAACTGAAACCAGACTGAAGGCTCGTGCTAGCAGTATAACCGTTTATTTGGTGATACGAACGAGAGTCGACCCGTTGGAATTCTTGCTTGCTGGCTTGACTGCCGAGGTAGTAGAAAGACCAGATGGCGACAAGAGCAGCGCTCATTGTAGTGAAGGCGCGAAGAGACCAAATCAACTTGAGTGTGCTTGGAAGACTTATACTGCCCTGGAGCTGTTCGAGGTCCGAGACACGCGCACCTGTCTGCGCTTTCCACAGTGCGTATCGCCGCACCAGGGTTGAGATGATTGTGACGAAGACGATGGTAAAAGCCGTCGTCATTTGACCGTTGAATTCGATCAAGAAAGTGGTAAGCCTACTGACCAGATCAATCTCGTCTCCACGATGTTGTCGATCGAGCTTCCATGCACCGATTACCAGACCGATTTTGGCGACGAGGACAAGCGGAACAGCCAGAAGGATGCCGTCGTACAGCCACATGAATATTCGATCTTTGGTGTCGGGCACCAGAGGGACTGGATCTTTTGGCCATGATGATGCAACCAGAATGTCGCGGTGCTTTTCGTGATTAAGCGCTTGCTGCGAATGTGAGGAGCCCGGGAGTTCTATCGTCCCGACTATGACATTGTCGTCCTGCTTTGGCCTCTCCATGGTGTCGGCTCCTCTGGAGGGAGAGGGAACAGCGAGAGTCAAGAAAGTCAAAAGCGGATTTACCATCCTTTTGAAGGAGCCTCGGAGCTCCATGGATCTAGCTAAGTACTCACCCGGTGGAGCCTCCGGTCAGAGACTTGTCGTCGAACGCATTTGGCGCGTTCACGTGGCCTTTTGCGCGCCGGCAAGGAGAATGGGGACATTATGTTGGCGTTTTGTACTGGGTACGAGGTACCTATTGATACAGGCAAGAGATTGTTTCACTCAAGGGCCGAAAAGGGGCATCGAAAGTTGTTGTCGCCCTTTTTCAGCTGGCCACAGTAAGCGTCAACCCAGTTCGATGCTTGCTGGCACGAGAAATTAAACCCGTTTAGGGTTCAGCCGATCTCTCGTGGTTTGGCTTCAGGCTTGTCCGGACGCTTGGTGGCGCTGGTGGCGCTGCTCGTCGCGGCCGCGACCAAATGTTCTTGGCAAGAGTGAATTTCGACGCCTCTGATTTCTAAAACCGCTTCTCCTCTAGTCTTCTTCGTTTGGCGGTATACGCACTGAAACAGGCACTTCCAACTGCCCAATATTCTGGCCGTTCTTGCTGGTAACTGCAAAACGACTCTTTTGTCGAATGATATGCCCATACCTGTAGAAAACGTAGGGGATAGGTGTCAGCAAGAGGCTCACGCATCCGAGGATCGTAAGTGTCCAGTGGTGTCCAACATTCTGGTAGAACGGGGTCGCGACAACTACCATCCCACCAGAACAAACGTAGCGAGAGAGCGTGGCGAACACAAGCGCGCTGGCAGCATATGTCTCATACGTGTCGATCAGATACATGTATGTGGTGGTGAAGGCCAACACACCCGCGTGCCCGAACATGACGGAGGCAGCAATCGAAGACCAAATTGATATACTGCGGTAAGATGTCCAGGCCATCCAGAACAATGAGATTGGCATGGCAGGTGCACCCAGCATAGAGTACCATAGTCGAACCTCAGGATCGAATTGCGTCTTGCCGTCGGCCTCCGCCTTACGCTGGACTTTGACTGTCAATTTGTAAATCCATGGTACACATCCGAATGCGACACAGACGCCAACGAATATCCCGAGAAAGATTGTATTCGTCAACCCCTGGGAAATCTCGTATGTCAGGCGAAAAATAAAGTCGTACCCATTGAGGAATGTGAAAAGGATGATATAGACCAGACACAGATAGAGTGAGACAAGCTGAATTATCGGTTCGTGGAGTGCGAGGGTAAATGGCCGGCGAAGAGCAGTCCTCAGACGTGTCACCAACGTTATGTGTTCAATTTCGTGCTCGGCATAATATCGATCATCGCTCGTGATCTTACGTAACTGCCTCGCCTTCCAGCTCAGCAAGACGGGAGGGTAGGTCTCCGGTTGAAAGAAGAAGGTCATAAAAAGGACCACTCCTGCGAACATGAGAGTCACCCATTCTGCCCAGCGCCAAGAATGAAGGATAGGTGATTCCGGAATCCAAGCAGCCATCACAGGACCGAGCGCTGCTCCTCCGAATCCGAATATGCTGAAGAATGGAAACATGAAGGTCTTCTCCAATGCCGTGAACATGTCGGCAATCGATCCTCCAGCGCACACTGAAGGTGCCGCTCCCACAACGCTGGCAAGGAACCGGAAAACGATCTGACTGCCGACATCAGGTGCAAGAGCTGATGCTGTGATGAAGATACACAATAACGTCAGGGAGGGCAAATAGACCTGGTTTCTGCCAAGAACTTCTGAAAACGGACCACTAATCAATGCCCCAGGCCCAAAGCCCAGCAGAAAGCTGCTGATGGCACCAAAACTTTCTGTAACTTGACTGACTCCGAGGCTCTTCGCGGCTTGGGAGATGACTGCACCATCCAGGGATGACGCAGCACCGACAAGGCAGCCAATGCTGCATACTACCAACATTGCTCTGAAGCGTTTGTTAAAGGGCCAGTTGCGTGGATTCAGAGGATCGTCTGGTCCATCCCATTCAACGACAAGGACTGTTCTACCGTCGACAGTCTGAGTCTTTTGGCGAGAAAGGCATGGCAAGCTCCGTACGTTTTCGACATCAGACTCAAGTTGCTTCTTCAGGGCCTGTCCTATCCGGCGGTATTGTAAATATGTTTCCATCCTCGTGGCTAATCAAGGGGTTCTTGAGAAAGAATATTGAGAATGAAATGGTGGCAGGGGTTAGCACAGAGATATAAATAAGAAGGTCCATTGAAGACTTCATCATCAACATGACGCATGTCAGAGCCCTAAGGCACCCTATATGGGATATTACGCGCTCCATTTCAAGACCAAAATACACTCCCCTCTTGCTGTTTGGACCTCATGTTAGAGCAGCACTCGGGTCTCAACGTTGAAAGAGCTAACTCAGCACCATCCGAAAAAAGGGACAGCCAGTTCGTCCTAATATTGAAGCAAGATGTCCGCGGAGAGGACTCAAAGAAGTGGTAGGCACGACGGAGATGTTCGAGAAAGTCGATCTATTAGGGTTGGAAGAGGGCGTACTGGGTACTTCTATGCTAGAGGCTAAGATGAAGTGAGACTAAATCGGGTACTTCGCCGAGAAGGCTGAATAATGCACAAGGCGCGAGTGCTGATTGGCAGCAGGATAGCGTGATCGGGAGCCAAGACTACCTTAATTTCATGGCTCTTCGCTGAACTCACCGATGACCAAGCGACACAATTGCTTACCTAGTGCTATCTCTGGCTGGAAAGCGCATCAGATCAACTGGACACAAAGGAGAAGACGCTGGGCCGCTTTTGGATTGCAACAAAACGGCACTCCTTTTCGGACTCAGCAGAAAGAGGCTTTCGGCTTGGAACAGAATCTGCGAGACCAGCAAACGCCAGCCTTGCTGCCCTGGATTTGTGCAACGCACAGCTACAGCCTCCCGACCCTCCCCGACTTTGGATATAAAAGGGGTAACCGAGTCTTGTATTAGAGGACTTATTTTGACCGAAAAAAACAACATCCTCTTCGACCCGACTCGGCCTATCAGGCCGATTTCTTTCACAATGACACCCCTTATTCTCCCACTCGCCTTGTCTCACTCAGCCTCTCAACATCTAATCCTACTCTCACTTGAGCCATTAACACCCTCATTATTCTCCGATTTCGGCACAGCTATATGCCCACCCTTCACGCCCTCATTGACGACTCCTCCCCGCTCACCCGCGTCTATCCCTGTCCCGCTACATTCCCCTCATCAACCAGCCCCGGTCTTTGCAAACCGGAATTCTGCGCTTAAGACGTCTCCGGTCTCGCAATTCACGAACAAATACCCCCCGAGCCCGGTTTCAAACCCTCAGATGAGTATGTTCTCTTGTTTTCCCAGAAACCTAAGTGGTATCGGCATCGAGGCTTCCAATTCGGGCGAGAGCATCTTCAAAGTCTCGATTCTGGAGCGACATCCTTATACGACCCAGACATTCAGTCCGCTCGGCCTCTCCGCCTCGGATTCTTCAGCGGTCTTCCTCGTAGTTGTGGCTCCCTCGCTCCCTTCTTCAACCACGGCAACAACTCCCAGCGGACAGAAAACAATGGTCGTCGACCCCCCAGATCTTTCCCGCCTTCGCGCCTTCCTGGCCCGAGGCGACCAAGCAGTCACATATGCCCCCGGAACGTGGCATGCACCGATGGTTGTGCTGGGCCAGCGACGCGTCGATTTCTTGGTCACGCAATTTGTGAACGGTGTGGCAGAGGACGATTGCCAGGAGGTGCTATTGGGGGGGAATAATGTAGGAGTGGCTTTGGGTGGTTTAGACTTGGATGGTTATGGAAATAAAGGGAGATCGAGGTTATAAGGAGTAATCGGAGGATATAAGACGACATCGTGACAGTGGAAACCAGGACCAGGATTGGCAGCCCAATGCCATGTCAATTTTTTGTTCGACATTGACATCCTGCCAAAACGGAAATACTCAGGGGGTATCATTTGCCAAATCCAAACAAACACGGTCCGGCCAGCAACCGCCATCCCAATAATCGCCCGTTGTCGTTTAAAACTCAAGACCAGGGTGGCATGATATCCAATGCCGACCTAGCCAACACAGGGTTTGAATGGAGAGCATCACTTCCCCCCCTCAAGCTTTGTCACTAACCTCTTCATGCCTACCCATTCATCCATGCTAGCCTCACCATTCCCACACTGCAATCCCTTCCCGACGTCAAACACTGTCACAACGCCATCGAGTCCACCAACAGCCATGTGGCTCCCTCGCTTTTCCTCCCAGGCCACCTTGTTCAGCCCCTTGAACGGGACCACTCCGTTCTTCCCTCTTGTGGGACTTACCTTGACAATCGGAACTTCTAAATCATAACTAAGGTCAAACACCTCCAGCTCCCCCGCGCCTGTGACACAAGCAAAAACCGAAGGCTTATGGGGAGCCCATTTCGCATCGTAGACAAGATCTTCTCTTGCAAGATTAAGGATGGGGCTCACAACTGTCGAAGCTGCGCCGCCTGCTGCTATAGTTGATGCACTTGTGCTGGAACTCGCAGCAGGCTTCACTCGCCACAATTTCACGGACCAGTCGGAGCTAGAACTGAGAAGTAGATCCCCTAGATCAACAGGTCCTCGTGCAGGGTGGAACTGCGACGACATAACTGGTGCAGTGTGGCCTTTGTAGGCGACACGGGTGTCCACGCCAGCTTGAGCTCCGGCACGATCGTACCGGTGGCATGGGTAAATGGTGCCTTCTTCGGTGCCGACGAGGAAAAAGGTTGGATCTGCAGCAGGGAAACTCATGCTGGTAGGGGCAAGGTCGTCGGTTTTGGCTGGAGGTGGGGTGTTGAGGACGAGATATTCTTGCGCTTGTGTAAGCATGTCCACTGACCATGAGCAGACAACGCCGTCCATTGAGGCAGTGATGATATTATGAGCATTAGGTGTTCCTACAACGCTTATGCTGTAGACTGGATGTGTGTGGCCCAGGTGGGAACCGGATTGCGGCGTTTTCTGGACTGGCTGCCCCGTACGTCCAGACGTTCTAGTGTCCCATAAGCATATTTGGCCTGAATAACAGCCGCCAATAACGAGATTAGGATGAAATGGCGAGAATCGAGCTGACAGAACGTCGGACGACGCTGTGAAAACGTACTCCGGGCGAGATGGAGCATGTGTATTCCACAGCAGAACCAGACCGGCCGGTTCGTGAGGGGCAGACGGATTCTTGGTGTAAGAGGACAAGAGAAGTTCATTAAAATGTGGAGAGAATTGGATATCCGAGACAATGCGTCTGCGAGTGTATCGGTCGGAAAACAGCTGAAAAGATTCGCGTAGAGAATGGGACTTTTTGCCAGTTCGTGAATAGGGCGTAGCATCATTGTTGTCGTCATCATCGTCAAGTGCGGAGGTGCGAGTATAGTCTGCCAGCAAGTCATACTCATCGTCCATATCCAGGGCACGTTCAATGACTTTCGAGGAACGCTCGACGAAGGAAACGAATTCGGGAGAAGCAACCACAGCATTGAGTTCAGTATTGGTAAGGGTGCGCAGGGGAAAGCGCTGCTGGTGATGAGAACTTGTTGATATTGAGATCATGGATTCTCGATTGCGCGTTGCTTGCAATTCTTCCTCAATTTCCTTGCGCAGCGCTTGCCGAATTTCTTCGTCTCTTTCTTGCTCACGCCGGCTGAGCCGTCTTCTTTGTCGCAATGATAGGTCGTCATCGTCGGAAAGTTCTTGCGATTTGGCGGGTTCTTCGAGATATGGTTCTGTCTGCACGCCCTTTGTGTATGTGATATACTCCTTCTTTGAGGGGGCAGGCTCATGAGCGGAAGCATCGACGGAAATGGGAAACGAAGTATCCGAGCTCTCGGTCTGCGTGGCTATTGATTGCATTAATCTTCTTGGCGAAGGTTCGACATCTTGCTGAGGGCTGATTTGCCCTGTAAGGGTGCCCTGAATTGAACTGGGTCGACTCCCCTTTCTGCTGGGCGAGGCTGTCGAGTCTCTGTCTCTCTGCCGGTCGATTAGGCTGGAGACGAGGTGGTCAATCTCGGACCTGCGCTCTTCGGCGGTTTTGCCAGGAGAAGGGGCCTGTGTGGTCATCAGCACAGACTCTAGTAGATGCTGCTGGTAATCGTACCTCCCCAATGCTCTGTCGACTCGACGTATACTGTTCCTGGCGCAGTTCCCTTTGTCGCCGTAGCTCTGCAAGGCGAGCCTTCTTGGCCAATAACTCGTCCTTACGCGACGACATGGTGGACTTGACGTTCGGATGCCAATGGGCATTAGATGGAAAATAGTAACGGATCAAACATTTAGGCGCGCGAGTTGAGAATCGCGCGATCACGTGATGGGTTAATCCAAAAAGACGCAGGGGATAAGCTCGGACTTCTGAGAAACAATTTGCAGCTTCAACTCCCGCCACAGTTATTTTCTGTTTCTTTCGACGCCACAGCCGTTCTCGCGCAGAAGTGAACGGCTTTAGCAAGTCAGCAGCATACTTGAGCTCTGCGTATTGGGCTCCAGCTTCTGCGACTCAGGCGCGGCTTCTGTCACTATGTCAACGTCCCAGGGAGTCAATGTACGAACTTTCCAGCGACCCAACTTTTTTTAGATTCTCAATCCATGGATCTTGATATTTATTACAAGGCATTCGCTGACTCTATACAGGTACTCCGGTGGTCAGCTCTTATTGCAGGTATCTTCTATGGATTTTCGCACCAAAGAACCATCACCGCACGTACTGCAGCTGCACACGAGAAGGCCGAATACGACCACAAAGCCGAGTTAATACAAAAAGCAAAGCTGGAATGGGCAAAAAAGACGTTACCTCCTCAGTCGAAGACCGCTAGTGGTGACAGTACGTGATTGCTATGATTCAGCTAGACCTATGGAGTCGTTGAGGCATGAGACTTATAAGGAGAGCAGTTATTACGGACCCCAACGACAAGAATTTCGATCTTGAAGCATACCTGACAAAGCTTTCCGCAGAGAGCTGAGCAACCGAGCTAGGGGCAGAACAGAAGCGACCTCAAATTGAGGATTGGTAGTATCTCGAAAAGCTCGGGGAAGGCCACAAATAGATATGGGCGTTAAATTCAGTTGATACCCAGATGATATGGTCTTAGGGATGGCGGATGCCACCCATGCACAAAGAGGAAAGTGCTAGCGGATGGCATACACCTTGTACATACTGGTCGAAGGCACGCGCTGTCCTAACTGCGCTGCATGTAAAACCATGATCCATTTGACATGAACGAGGTACGGGTTACCAAGTACTCTTGCCAGCTTTCCCCTTACGAGATGCAAGGGTTGGTACTTGTCACCGGCCAGAGCATCGACTCCTCGCAAGTGTGATCGGACGTTCGAAGCTAGAGCAATGTACGGCATGTTGAGAAATCGCCGTTTGTCAAGACAAAAAGTATCACCGAGGCGGTTCGTTTATTCGACAACCGTTGAAGGCTCAATTGCATTCTTGACACCAATGCATGGCGTGCAGATATTGTCATTACCACCTACCGCAGAAGATAAGCGCATGAAATACCCTTGCCTCGCTGCTTGAGGCATGTTTCAAGTAAGGCATGTGCCTCGAACTTATGCAAGAATCAACGGCCGGAGTCGGCACTGTGTGCCTTTGTGTCCAATAGACACAGAAATGACCCCCGACCGACACGATCGAAACATGTCGTATGTATACTCTGGAGGAAGGGTTCTGTCAGCCCTTATGCAATCCCCCTCCTCGCCTTCGCGTTTGCAGTTGACGGGAACGAAGCTTTGAAAGATGTACTCGGCATATGGGTAGCATCTGCCGGCAATTGGACTGTCCCCAGTTGGTGTTGGTGTGCTAGGCGCTTTATGAGGATGGTCCGTGTGATCCGATATCACGTGACTACTCGAGAACTCCGGTCATTGTGGATGCCCGTCATGGCCCTTCCTGGCCCCCTTCGTCCAAGCAACTCCTCCATGCGGCAGAGCTACATCCCTGGTTGGACACTCCCCCTGATCCTTCCGCTCAGACGTCGTATTCTCACTGGGCCAACGGATACTGGAACCGTGAGGACTTGCTCTCAACCGCCCATCAACCCATCCGTCCGATCGATCTACTCAGACCTTTAAAATTCTCGACACAGTGGACAAAAGTTTCTTCTCGGGAGTATTGGAGGGCAGACCCGGGTCGATAACAGCCTCTTTTACCCAGTAATTCGAATACGACAACTTGAGCGATCAGACAGCGTAGCTACCTGTTCCTGGGCCTTCGACGCAACAAGAAGGCGGGAGTGTTGGCAATGCGGCGGCAATTCCGGTATGGAGCTAACACTGGATAGTATGATGGTGCAAAGACCTTTCTCGATGGCGACTGGAGACGGCGATTCGGAACCGCAGATCAATCACCGCCTTTCTCCTCCCTTGTCCTCTCTGCCTTGTTGGACACCCTTGACCACCCCTTGGAACCTTGCAACAATTCGAGCTTTCCCAGCCACCTTTTTGGGCTTCGATCACCACTGCCCCCTCAAATCTTGCTCCTCGCCAAATGAGGTGGCACACCTCACGGACAAACACCGAACTAGAGTGTCAGAAAAGGCCTAGACACTAGAAGTGGAACGACGAGTGACAGGAGAGTGCTGGCCAAGTTTTTTTTTTTTGGCGGCAGCCCTCATCCTGCAGAGACAACGCGGCGTGGCCCTTCATTTGTGTGCATACATGATGCTTTGACCAAACTGGACTTTTCCATGGTCGATCGGCACACCCAAGGCCCCGACGCAGTGCTTGTCCAGGCAGAGATTCATCCTCTTCCCAAGTCCCGAGATCGAATCTACGAATGGTATTGGCGCCAACCCCGCAAACACTACTCTTCCGAGAAGCCCGCGACCAAAGGTGGTTACTTATGCATTATGCCAACCGCCTCCAATACGGAGCAGTTGATGCCCCCTTTAAAACGTTGCGATGTATCCATTTTTGGGCGCCACATAACCCAAGCTCTCTCTGCCTCATTCCAAATTTTCGGTGTCTTTGAATGCCTGAACTCCCAAACGGAGCTGTTGACTACATAGAAAGCGTCCATCGTGGGTCAATGATCGTCGAGCGTTTCTTCAGAGTCGAGCACGAAAACCACCATCCATCACATCACCAGCACCTTTCCTACCCCAGTATTTCCCCGCAGCTAGGGTACCAGTGCAATGTTGTTAGTCACCGTCCTAGTCTCGAGCTTGAGACGCCCCCCCTCTGATCATTGGCGGAGATGCATACCACCTGAGTTGTAACGCTGGAGCTTGGGCTTGATCCAGGTTGAGGGCACCGCGTCTACCTTTGCGAGTGGTGGATTCATAGCCTAGACCCATGCTCTTCCGCTCTGTCAAGCATTTGGCTCAATTTCGCGGCCTGCTTCCAGAGGTGCTTTTGTGCATTCTTCTCCACCAAGCACTGTAAAGACGGCGTTCGGTTGAACGGGTTAGGGGCTCTCCCCTCCACCGAGAGGAGAATCATCGATCGACCCTGGAGTCCGTGACGCGATCATGGCATTGTCCTATATTATTTGAGTCCCTCCCAATCGTCCTCATGGAGAGAAATGTCCTACGTGTGTTTGTGTTCCTTGTGATAGCCTCTGCAAGTTTTCTTCTTCTAATCTTGACCAAGTCAACCGGCCTTGGACCTTTATTCTCTCTCACGGTACCTGAACCTTAGCTATACCTCCGCAGAGTACTTCCAACAGTATAGGACATTGTCAAGATGTCGGCCCCGAATGTACCTGACGTCGAGAAAGATCATGCCGGCAGCGACTCTGTCAACGGCAAATATGACCTTCACCATGACCATCACAACGAGGAGACTGCTCTCAGGAGAATCCGGACGGCCGGGAGCATTTCCATCACCCCAGAGCTCTTCGAGAAGATCTACCTCTCTCCTAAGAATCGAGTTTCCAACAACATTCGGTCGACCTTTGGTAACCCAACTCCTCTGTACGTCTGCCTTGACCTCTTTCACTACTCTTGCTAACCTCATCCAGTGCTCTCGTCGGGTTTCTGCTCTCTTTGACTCCTCTATCAAATATCCTTCTAGGATGGCGAGGAGCCGGCGGACTTGGTGCGGCTGAAGTGTAAGCTATGAAAACAGCTCGGATTTATGTCCTAAACTGACTGGGGATCACAGTGGCGTCTACTACTTCTTCGGTGGTCTGCTCATGGTGTTGGGTGCTTTCCTGGAATTCATCCTGGGCAATACCTTCCCCTTCGTCGTCTTCGGCTCCTTTGGCGCTTTCTGGCTTGCGTTTGGAGCGACTCTGACACCATATTTCAACGCATCCATCGCATACGACCCGGCACACCCTGCCCAGTCTTCTTCGGACCCGGTGTTCGCTTCTACGTTCGCCTTCTTCCACGTGTACATGGGAGTTCTGTGCTTTATTTACTTCATCATCGCACTCCGAACCAACCTAGTCTTCGTGCTCATCTTCGCTCTCCTCGTTGCCGCATTCGCATGCCTGGCAGAATTCTTTTTCCAGATCGGTGAGGGAATAGTCAACACCACCATACAACACTCTGCCGGGGGCATCACGTTCGCCGTTTGCCTGTTGGGTTGGTACCTCTTCTTTGTGCAACTTCTTGCAGCTGTCGACTTTCCTCTCAACCTCCCTGTAGGCGATCTCAGCCGATATATCAAGGGTGCGAGCGAGAGGGCCGAGAAGACTGAGTGAGCGGATAAGAGCTTTGGGTGGCTGTGTTTAATCGGGACCTGTAAGACGAGGCATGAGAAGCCAAGGCGTGCGTGGGTATGGGATGAACCGGAAAATTTTGCGTAAAAGGATGGGGGCACTGCATGGGATCCAGTCTCTCGCAGCTGCAGACGTGCTGGGCAGTATAGCTGGGTACGCGAAAATGATGGATGGTTTAGGGTTAACTCATTACGATACGATAGCTGTTTTGAGTAAAAATTATACCTTTTTAATCTCTGAATGCAACATTCAGGGGGGTCTCAACGGTTATGCAATTCTTCTGAAAGTATGAAGATCTTCGTTGGCAGATAGTACATTGTGTACCTGGAGTAACCAACAACGTCCACTTTGTCACAGTCCTTCGCCATGAGGTTGCCGCGACGAGGCTGTTCGAGTCTTACAACGTAAAGACGGTGAGGGAAAACTCGGAACATGCAATGCCATTCTAGACGTTCCAGACAGCTGCAGGTTGATGCCGTACAACACAGCCCAACTGTTGAGCTGCAGACAAGAGCCATGAGAGGCTAAAAGTATCTGAATACTGACCTCTTGCGTTGAAGAGCAATCATACCACTGCATCGGAAGCCAGATTTTTGTGGGCCTTGACCATTCGACTATTTTGGGTTTTTCGCCGTCCCAATCTCCTCTCGTCCGAAGCGAGGCTTGTCTGGCTAGTGAGGCCTCGACACAGACCATCTTGTACCTCGTATCTGCCAAAACCAAGCCTGCAGGGCTGCAAACCTACACAGAATGTAGTAGGCCGTACCGCTAGGCCCATGCTTGACTCACTGAAGCTCGGGTTCTGAGACGTCCCGCTGACGAGCCACATCACAACAAGCGTCAGCTGGTGTAAGTAGTCTTCGGAACTGACTCCAAGGCTGGATGGTGGATGGGTGGACTTGTGGCGGCATTACAGTCCATCTAGCCGTTCTGCTAGACTTGCAGTAAGTCCAGGCACCAAATTGTAGGCATAACTGTGTACATGGGGATAATACAATTCTGCGGAATGGATTCCACAAGTAGGAGCTCTGAAGCTAAAGAATGCGAGATGGAGAGATGGAGAGTATGGAGCCTTGAGTATCACATGCAGAGCCCACTCGGTTGAATGTATTGATGCTTCTTCGGGGATATATTATTCCGATCCCGGTGCCAAGCAATTCACGGCTCACCGCCACCACCCGCTGGCCTTCAATCGAGGCTTACACTTCAAAGACTCGTGTCAATTCGCTCTATTGCTTTTAGCATCTTGACACCGACAAGCTAATCGATTCAGACCAGCTGTTTCATTTCCGCCCTGGTTGACAGGGAAGCTGTTGGCGTACCTTGACCGCATGGTCGGGAATCAATTCTGGGCCACACCCAACTTGACACGCAACCTACCTGGAGCTATATCAAGATTTGCTTTTGCAAAGCCTCGCCTCCTTCCTCGAAGCAGAAGCAGATTCTGTGGGACCATAGTCCGCACCATGGCAACCACCATTCACACTCCCCGTGACCCGAACACCCTCTCCAACTACTACAACTGGCGGACACTCCACACCTCCACTAGCTTGGATATTTTGTTCGACGAGCAGAAGTTGAAAGGCAGTGTTACTCACAGCTTAGAATCCATCACAGATGGCGATAGTGACGAAATCTTGCTTGACTGCAGCCATGTCCAGATACATGGCGTCAAGGCCGACGGCAAACCAGTCGAGTGGGAGTTGCTCAAACGGCTCGAGCCATATGGCAGCCCCCTGAAGATCAAACTCCAACGTAAGCCGCACCTGAAGGAGAAGATTGACATCGAAATCAACCTGGAAACGACGCCCTCGTGCACCGCCCTTCAGTGGCTGACGCCGGCCCAGACTTCCAGCAAGAAGCATCCGTATATGTTTTCACAATGTCAAGCCATACACGCCCGATCGATCTTCCCATGCCAAGACACCCCAGACGTCAAAGCAACATTCGATTTCCAGATCAAATCCCCGCTGCCGGTCATTGCATCGGGAATCGGTGCGAATGGCAATCCATCGTCCCCATCCCACGACGGATCCTCTCAACTCTTCAAATTCCACCAGAAGGTGCCCATTCCCTCGTATCTGTTTGCTATCGCCAGCGGTGACATCGCGTCGGCCAAAGTTGGCCCTCGAAGTATCGTTGCTACGGGGCCCGATGAGCTCAAAGACTGCAGATGGGAGCTGGAAGAGGATACGGAAAAATTCCTTCAAGCAGGTGAATCACTCGTCTATCCATACGCTTGGGGTGAGTACAATGTCCTGGTTCTCCCTCCATCATTCCCCTATGGTGGCATGGAGAACCCCGTCTACACTTTCGCCACACCTACAATCATCTCCGGAGATCGACAAAATGTCGACGTGATCGCTCACGAATTATCCCATTCCTGGTCTGGCAATCTTGTCTCCAACGCCTCATGGGAGCATTTCTGGCTGAACGAAGGCTGGACAACGTATCTTGAACGACGTATCCAAGCCATCGTACATGGCGGCGACCAGTGGCGCGATTTCTCAGCTGTGATCGGGTGGAAGGCGCTCGAGCAATCCATCAATGAGCAATTTGGCGAGCAACATGAGTTCACGAAGCTCGTTATCGATTTGAAGGGCAAGGACCCGGACGACGCGTTCTCAAGCGTCCCGTATGAAAAGGGGTTCATCTTCCTGTACTACATTGAGAAACTGATCTCAAAGGAGCAATTCGATAAATTTATCCCGCACTACTTTGAGACTTGGCGGGGCAAGTCACTCGATAGCTACGACTTCAAGCAGACACTGCTCGATTTCTTCAAACCCAACGGCACCGTTTCGCGAAAGCTAGCCACCATCGACTGGAATACCTGGTTCTACAAGCCAGGCTTCCCGCCCAAACCCGACTTTGACACATCGCTCGCTGATCAATGCTACCGCCTCGCCGATCAATGGGAGAAATTCACTGCGAACCCCAATCCGGACTTTGGACCAAACAAATTCGACATTGATGGCTGGTCGGCGAACCAAATTGTTGTGTTTCTCGAGAAATTGCTCACGTTTGCAGACAAATTGCCCCAGCCGCACGTCAACTACATGGGCTTCATCTACGACCTGAAGGAGACGAGAAATGTCGAGATATCGGCGCGGTACTACCAAGTTGCGATGAAGGCCGGAGACTGGACGATCAAAGGATTCGTCACGAAGCTCCTGGGCAAGGTGGGTCGGATGAAGTTTGTCCGGCCGTTGTACAAAGGATTGATGAAGATGGATTATGAGCTGGCGGTGGACACGTTTGAGAGAAACAAAGACTTTTACCATCCGATTTGCAGAGGCCTGGTGGCGAAGGATCTATTTGGGAGTAAACAAGAAAAGAAGTAAGATACGTTGTGATGGCACTCCCATGGGCGGGAGAGCAGTCACTCGGAAACGGGCAATACATTGCACGATGGCGAGAGGGAAGAGGCTCGTGCCTGATAAGCCGCATGTGCCATGGATTCAGATGGCTAGCATCTAGTCAGACCGTGCCATGACTACGATAGCTGTAGCAAGCTACATTGGAAATCAGACCGTTGATTTCTAATATCCATCCTCCCCATTTGGGAACATGGCGTCAACTATGAAACTGGCAGCTTCGCAATGCCTGTCTATTTGTATCACCGCCACCATATATCACATAAATATATATATGTGTATATATATTTGCCTGTCACTCCAGTCTCTTCAGAAACGGTCCGCCCACCCAACCTGCCTATACCTATAAACCGAGAACGCCCTGCTATGTAGTATGTATGCAAAATAAGAGTACGCACGAAAACCGCGGGGTATCATAAGGAGCTTTTCGCGGCCCAGCCCTCATGTAAATAGACGTCCTGATGACGACGATGATGATGGACACCAATACGAAGTCAATTCCACCGTGGGCATTCTCAGCCCAGGTTGAATCAATTCGTCCTGATCCGATCAATTTCAGGCCGAAGATGAGAAGAAGAATGCTCCTGCATCCGCACCATCAGGATCCTGAGCACCTCGTCCTCCCAGTCACTCAGGTCGAGCCACTCGGGCACGACCATGCGATTCCTCGAGATAAGGATGCTTTCACCCTCGACGACCTGTTCGCCTAGCTCTCTCTCTGTGGCGGATTTCTTGCTCGCCGCCAACTTGGATCGCTCCGTCTCGGCCATCGGTCGGGGAACCCTGTCAATTGACGAATACGTCACCACGCGACTAAGGTTTCTTCTTCCCGCTGGACCTGCGTCGTCGCTGTCGTTTTCGACGCCGCCCGTTTCGGTTGTAGTCTCAGAAAGATCCTCCACATCCTCCTTTGCGGCCGTCAAGTCGGGCTCACCGCCCTTCTCGACGTCCCCTACGATCTCCCCCTTCTTCAGTTTCCTCGCCAACCTTTCCTTCCTTCTCTCTTCTCTAAGGGTTTTCAGATCCACTGGCGTCCACCAGTAAACCGGGTACCGTCTCCCAGAAAAATTATTCACCACAAGCGCACTGGCCAGCATCAACATGGCTGCCAGCAGTACAAGGGGCAACAACCACCACCCAAGGTCTTGAATCTCCACGTTTGTCGCAGCCAGCAGCGCAGTGGCGCCGGCGGGTGGGTGAATGGTCTTTGTGAAACTCATTGCGATGGATGCGCATCCGACCGAGAGTGCGCCAGCGAGCCATCTTAGATCTTCAAATCGGTTCGGGGGCAACAACAAAAATAACTTGGTGATTCCCACCCCGATGACGGCTGATACGAAGTGTCCAAAGACCAGGTTCCGGGGCTGGGCCAGTGGTGATTCAATAGTATTGTACTCCAATATGGCCGCGGCGCCAAATGAGGCGATGACGATGGGTACAGCGTGACCCGATAGCCGAGGAAGGGCGAGGAAGACGTTTTCGATGATGGCGACACCGCAGAAGGCACCGACTAGAATTGAGAGGTACAGAAAGAATGTGTGGAAGTGGTAGGTGAAGAACCATTCTAGAGGATGGAAGAATTCAAGGCATGAGTTGGGGAGGAAACAAAGACAGGGGTGGTGTGCGACAGTGGATGATGGAGAGCGATGGCCGAACCAGTATGAAATCCAGGGAGGCAAGAATCGCAGGGGATTGCGAGGGACGAAAGGATTGAGGTAGTTGTCGATGTCGAAAGGTGGTATGGGCTTCGAGCCTTTGGGCGCAGCTTTGGCAGGCCGAGACATGACGATGCCTTTGGCTGTCTGTTGTTGCGGCATGGCTGGAATGGCACTGATTTCTCACGCTGGTCGAGCCCTCGCCACTTCCTCAAAGGGGCGTATAGACCTTGGCCAGTGTGGGAGACCAGGAGGCAACAAAAGACTTGACATATAGATATATACCAGAAAATGAAAACAAGTCCCTGAATGCCGAAATTCCAGCGAGTCGGGTAAACGATCGAACCGGTGTTTGAAAAAGCAGCGGGAAAGCGAACAAGTCAGATCCAGAGATGGCACCGACCTACCGGGTTGAAAAAGGACTGGAGACGTTTCCAGAAGGAAGGCCATGTCAGCCCCGAGGAGAAGAAGGGTTGGTGACAGATGGCGACGACTTGAAGCCGGCAGGAGACAGGGAGAGGGATCGAGTGACCGTCCCTTTCCACCTCCCCCTTCTTGACGTGACGGCACTCATTTCTGCATGCAATGTCACAAACTTTTGCAGCCGACGACAAAGGGTGTTGTCAAGTATTACATGAGAGAAATACGGCGACTGGCAGAGAGAGTTAGTTGTAGTCATGGAAACTCCGGCAAGGGGCTGCCTGCCGACCAATGGGCCAGGGCCTTGGCTTAAGACGGCGAAGGAATTTTCTGGGGTAAATGTAGAAGAGCAACAGGAAAAGACATAAAGCAGCAGGAGGCGGATGGATGTGGACTGAGAAAGCAAAAGTTATTAACTCAGTTAGAACGAGTTGTTTTTGGGAGAAGAAAAGGCCACAAGAGTGAGATCTGTACTCGGTAGCAGCACAGTAGAAGAGCAACCGCGTAGTCGGTACCTCGTAAAGCGGCGACAGATCGGAATGGGTACCCAGCACTGTACGAGATACGGATGACTCCGGGGCTAGTAGTGAATTAGGACAAATACGAGGGAGGTATCTACTTGTACAAGTACCGACTACCCACGAGGTATTATTTGAGCCGAAACGCATGGCCGCCGATGACGTAAATTAGCGACTAAGTCCATGCTTGCCAAATACTGCTGCCAAATACTGACGTCGAAAAATGCGCATTGGGAAACCAGACGGCAGCAAAAGCAGCGATGGATTAGCCTATGACGCAGTCCTCTGTCCTCTGACCTTCCTGCACGCCCCTAACCATTTTTTTTTTCACAAGCACGTGATCTCCAAGCTGCGACGCCGTGAACCTGCAATGATATGCATCGACCTCCTTGTTCTGGCGACTTCACTCTCGAACTCGCGTCAACGTACCCTGTACTATGCAATGTTAATGCTCACTCACGTTGAGCTGGGACCTGATGGGCTCAGCTACACGCCTCTAACCTCGCTGTATCGAGGTCGTCCGCTTTGGCCGATCGAGTGCAGCTGTCACCAAAAAATGAGTTCTATCAGGAGCACGACAGAACTAGTCCACTCTGCCCAACTTCTCTAGAAAGCTTGCCGACGTGTGCCTGCCTGTCATGTGATCGAATTGCTGTCCTAAGGGGCGAGCTGGGCACATATTTTCCCTTCTTGTGAACACCCCACCGACCGAACTTCTCTCGCTCTCTCTCCCCACCAGTCGACCCGTCTTCCGCCTTCTCAGCTTGTTACCAAAAATGTCTTTGCGATCCGAAATCCTGAACGGTAGGCCTGTGTTGAAGCGACGTGGGTGTGAGCTGCAGCACAATAAGGCTTAGAAGCGAGCTTGTTCGACCAAGATCGGCACTAAACTCTACAATACCAATTTCCCCAATCCGGCCATTGGCATCAGCGATTTATCTGTTATTTCCAAGAACCTCAACCATCCTCGACTCGCACAGCCTCAGTAAAACTCGAAGACGAAGCCGGAATTTTAACGTGCCGAGCGAGATTAACATGCCTGGTATTACAATCCTCCAACTTCGTGCGAATGCTATTAACGTACTCATCCCATCATTCGAGTGTGCCCGCGACGGAGTCGGAGGCACCCCAGGATTTCTGGTACAGAATCCGCTTCTTGTCGTCGTCGAACCCGACAACAAGCACCATGTTGCCTCCCCACTTGCCCGCTGGACCTCTTCTGCTCGGCAAGGAGGCCAATGCCCAGGAAACCGAGACGTCGTCTTTCTGGAAACGGGGAGTTTGCCAGTAGCACCGAAAGCCGGAGACCAAGGAATGCCCCTCTGCGAGGTACTGGCGGAGACGGAGGAGCGTCATGGCTCCGATGATGTCCTTCTCTGCTTCTGTCACGTGTTTTTCGACTCCTTCAGATTGGCCGGGTCCTAGTCTCAGATAATACACAGAATCATTTTCGACGGCTGCGTCGACGAGATCGTCGCCGGGTTGTCTCGCAAATTGTGCATCTTCGTAAGCCCAATCGAGTTCCGGACAGACTCCCGATGGACTGAGGCTTTTGAAAACGAGCCTGAGCAATGAGCCTTGGTTGTTCGGATCTTTGCTTGCCGGGTCATTCCAGGCCTTCTCGGACTTTGCGAAAGCCGACTGTCGAGCGTTGAATTAGATGAAGAGCCGCGAGGGCTCAAAAGCAGGAAGACCTTGACGATTCCATTCGTAGATGAATGCGGCTGCAGAAGCGTTTGCCGTGCATATCCCCCAACGGCAGTGTTTCGATTGTGTTGTCGGATACAGCTGGTGGTAGAACGATTTGAAAGTAGAATCCATACGTAGCGTGGGCTCGAAGATTGATCGGGCTCAATTCCTGCAGATGGAAGTACATCTTGGGGGCGTAGTACTTGTCCCGTTCGTCAAAGAGCTCTCGCCTAGGCCAGCCTGTCAGTTGAGTTAAAATCCCTGCCGATGATCTGAAATGGTAAAAAGACTGACAAAAAAAAAAGCCAATGCTGCGCTTCCGTGGCTAAACCATGTACTTTTCCAGTCCCTGCAAGGCTTGTCGGGCAAGCCAAAGCTCAATTTTCGGCTGCCGCATCAAGGGCATCACCTCTGCATCAGACTGACTAAGGGCGGCGCGGCTTCCACGATGAGGTACATAGTTAGTTGTGAACATGGGCTGCGTGGTTGGCCAAATCCTCATTCCGCCCAATTGTGCCTTGATTCCGTAAACTTTTAGCTATCATTTCAGTTCAGGTCTGGACCGTAGAGAGATTATGTCTTTCCCTCTACACGAAAGCAGAATCCTGGAACTGCCCTTGCAGGATTCAGGAATCTATTGTCATCGAGGCCTGCAACATCACCCCCCCCCCCCCGGGGGGGGGGGGGGGGGAGGGGGGGGGGGCAATCGTAGTGTATTGGCAACGACGTATTATCGTCAAAATCTCCGAGTAGATCGCTTCAATTCTAATGTCGACGTCTCAAGCCGACGCCCATTATCGATTGAGAGGATGTGCAAGCTCGAGAAGAATTAAGGCTGGCTGCGAAGTATATGCTCATCTACTAACAGATGGCATCAGATGCTCCCTTCAAGGCGTGAATATACGTGGTTAAGCCGAAGATTTGTTCGGATATAGACACGAGCAAGGGGCGCTTTGCGTTGGTGGGGATCTAGGACCTTGTATTTATATCCCAGCTCGCGCTCATCAGCCACAGTGACATTCAACATGCACCGCAAGCATCCGTGTCGACCTGGACACGGTTGAGCGCTTACCAAAATCGAGATCTGCGGCGAATCATAGGCGCTCGAGCCCGAGGCTACTCTGGCTACACCTCTGCTATACGAACTAGGACGTAAATATAGTATTAGGACTGGCAATCCTCCGTAGTTCGGTCCCAATCGAGCTGAAGAGAACGTTGACCTCTAAGATAGGTCTACTAATGCACGCCGAAGTTTGAGTTATATTGAAACCATCTTTAGTAGAAACTTATAACGGGATTATGTGAAAGAGTAGAGAACTGTGCGCCCACTTGATATCGAAAGGCGTATCCAATAACATCTATATAACTGGTTTGTTTCTCCTATTTTTAGCTCTTGTGTACCAGTTCTCTCGTCACCCAACACAACCTCATAGATTCCCTGATCTTCAAGACATCTATCTGCCTTCCCATGGCCATCTCTAGGCTCTATATTTGACCCCACCATTCGTCAATCAATATGCCTGACCGAAAACAAACATCTGGCTCCGGCGAAGCCAATCTGGTTTGGGAGGACTACACCAGCGCCTTGGTCAATCCATACCAAGTTGGTACCCCCCAATGACGACAACGTGCCACCGAAGACAAACGAGTCGTCCGCTACCCGTAACACCACCGGCGAGAAGAAGATACCAGCTAGGGTCATTTAGACGACTCCGAGGGTAAGTCTCCCCGGCTGGGTGCCCCTACGGCAGCCACTGGAGCCCCCAAGCCAACTGCGAGAGGGGTTTCGGAAATTCTGCTTCCATGACGAGACCGATGACTGGTACATGTCGAAGGTGTACAACACTTTCTATGACCATCCCATCGGCATCAGCAGCGATAACCCAAGCATCAAGCAGGTTGAGGAATACGACATCACAATTTAGCATGGAGGAAGTGACTCCTCGTAACTTGCGCAACGAAAGAGGATTGGTCCTGGACTGGGTTGATGGATAAGTATTCAAAAATTGATGATGTCGAGTTCTGGGACACACTCTCTATTTGCCTATACCACTTCTAGTACACGCAAAGCTCAAGAATTACTTTTTCCGTATGAGTTGATTTTCAAGTCCACGCGGTTAGGAAAGTGAGAGCAGCAATCACATCGGCTGCACGCCCTTGCATGCTTCTCGCATACGCTTTAGACACGATTGCCCCAGATTGACCACATCATTTGTGTCATTGAGGGCTATCATGACAACATGGTTGGATATGCGGGTCCAGACCATCCCAGGACAACCAAAAGAGCTGTCATGACCAGAGGATTTAAACATCGTTGTTCTTCATGTCGATGTCGACTTCACCTTCACCCTTGCCAGTTCACTTCGCACCGCAATGTTGTGCTCGGGATGTGGCTCCGGAAACCCTTCGACGTCGACGCCCTTCCGAAACATTAAACAATGAGTTGATCCTCCGAAATGGAACATGCCAATCTCATCGCCCTTGTTGACGTGCTGTCCCTCCCTGACCGTCATTTCGCAAGTCGACACTTCGCACATGCCAATTCCCAGGAATGCCATGAGCCCAATCGCCGGATTGTCCGCTTCAAAAAACATGATTGCCCGTGTGGCTGTGGCCGTCAAATAGCCTTGACTGGTCACTTCCCCTTCAGGATCCGCCGGCGAGTCGGCTTGGAAGTCTTCGAACAAAGGTTCTGAGTAGTATGTTCCCTCAACCAGGTATGCTTTAACCAATTTACCAGACACTGGGGCATGCCACCGATGGTAGCTCAACGCGCTGAGGAACGCTTGGTATACCGTGCCGCCAACAAATTGCTCCGCCCAGGCATCCTGTGCTAACATGTCGATGACCGAATATGGCTGTCCCTTCAGCCAGAAATGGTCTCGGGCCTTGACGTTGCGCGCCACTTTGAAGGTCTTTGATTCGCATGCGTTTGCAATCACATTATCGTCCTCCGGACTAGCAACAGGCCGAGCACCCTCCTTGAACAGTCGGGTGAAAAAATCATCCCATGACTTGTAGCCCATGTGTGGTGCTGATGGATTGCACCGGAACAATTCCTCGAATTTGTAGCTCGTCTTTCCCACATTCGCCGTCACGGTGAGCTCCTCCTGGCCATGCGAACTAAACCAGCTTCCTCGCGCGTCCTTCTCCAAAACCCTGGCCGACTCGGGGGAGCAGAGGAAATCCCCCCAAGCATTGAGGACCTTCTTCAGCATCTTGTTAATGTCCGGATCAAGAAACACTGCATATCCCGAGGCTGTTCCCATGGGCCAGTCGAATAGGGCGTTGAATGGAAGACCGACCAGCCCAACGCGAGCCGAGCCCTCGGACCACGACGGCGGGGAGGTCAAAATGTGGTTGATGACATGAAGCATGTGAACGTAGTCGCGGACTTGAGGGTGGCCTTGTCCCCGCGGATCGTTGTTGTAGGGCTCCTTGTTGGGGACTTGCTCGAACATGGACTCAAAGAGCATGTACACTCGAGTGTTGTTTTCGATCAACTCCTTGAACTGAGCCAGCACCGGATGGAGTTCTTTCGGGTTCTGGTCGACCTCCTGGACCACGCCGCTGAGCCATTCTCGGTGGACTTCGTGGTCTGGGAGCCAGTCACCCAGCCTCTTTTGCCTAGAGCCCGGCATGTCAGTGCTGCCGGTGGTAGTGGAGGGATGCTCGAATCTCCTTACTTGTGACGATGCTCGTGCTTCATGGCGAACGATGGCAGCCTGTTGTAGGGAAGAACTCAGAAGCTGTCCTCCTAGTCTCAGTAACAGTAACCAGGAAAGGAGAGGGAGGAAGGACAGTGCCGGCAGTGAATTTCTGAAAAAATCAAGTTTTGATACTGGTGATATGAGCGGCTGCAGGGCCTCGAGGGGCATCATCAAGATTCAACATCATTCCCATGCAACACGTGTCACGCCTTGCGTAATCGTTGCAAACCCTCCATAATAAATACATGGCAAATACGTCACTTGGCACCGAAATCACATGACCATTCTGAGTGGCTCACCACCATCAACACTGCATCCGAAGGCACGGCGAATAGCAAATCGAGAACCAGACTCCAGAGTCCCATGCAACCTGAAATGCCATCTCGGCCCTGCATCTGGCACGTAATTATTTTCTATTAATCTTTCCTTTGGATCGCTTTTCTCCGGAGAGGCCTGCCTCATATTCTGTTGTTTCGTACGAGGTAAGTCTATCACCAATGTCATACCTGCTCTTTCCAGGAGCTCCAGCTTTACACGAGTGTGACAACAGCGAGATCTCTCTTCCCGAGCTTCCCGCATTCAATCAATCAGTCAATTAGTTCCAGTTCTGCCAGACACACTCACACCCACCCGTCCCCCCATCGATCCCGCCCGCCTCCTGATCGAATCCAGTGTCGTCGCCAACGGTGCCGTTCACGAGGCCAGGTGCCGCATTAATCAACGTCCCTCCAACACTTCTAGACTCAGGCACAATCGTCCTGACATCGGACTGGATAACCTGTAGTTGATCGACTCCGTAGCAATACACCGCTTTCTTGTTAATGTTGCCGCCGTGTCGGTCGATGCTGATTGTCGTCGGATAAGGGAACGAGCCCGGTCGGCTGAAATCGGTCGCCGAATTGCTGCTCCCTGAGTTGGTCTTGTTGGTCACATTGGACACCGAAGGCAGAAGCCTCGCGCCAAAGGCTGGGTTCGTCCACATCCGGACCAGGAATCTCGTCTGGCTGAAGGTGCAGCGCAATCGAGACCGGTCGCGGGTGGATCCTCCGTTTTCATCGTCAGGGTCAATCCCACCGTTATCTGCAAATTCCGAGGTATTCAACGCCGCCGTCGAATGCAAGAAAATCGCCTTGTCGTAGTAGATGTAAAAGCCGAAGTGCTCGTCCGCTTGGCCTCTGTTGTACAGCTTGATGGGTTGTGAGGATGGATACGGATCACTGGGGAGGAGATTGGCGGGCGCTGCGCTGCCGTCGCTTAGGACGTCGGGAGCTGGGATGATATCTGACGAATTCGACGACTGACGCCTCTGAAGTCTCGAGCTGGTCGAGCTGGATGTCGTGGCAGTGGCATTTGAAGGGTCAATAGGAAACACTGGGATGAATGTAATATAGAAAGGAGTCTGTTCTCCCTCGAACGGCTGAGTGATGTTGTCGGTCGTGTTGCCCATAAATATTTGGTCCGCCCGACTTGGTGGTGTCGGGTTTGGATTGAAGAGATCGTTTGTAAATGGGTCATCTGCACGCGTCTGAAGACCCGCTACTGACCTCCTCTGTAGCTCCTGTATGGGGACCGTCATGTTTGCTGGCACAGTGCCGTTTCGAAATGTAATCTCGAATCGAAAATTCGGCTGATCTGGAGAGTTTGGGGCCACCTCGAACTGCTCCTCCTTGGGCAAAGCACAGCTCCACATCGTGTTGGGTCCTACGCATTGCGACTGCTGCTTGACAACATCTGGTCTGGCAATGGTGGATATGCCCGTGGGAATCGGAGGATAGCCGGTAAGATTCAGCCACTGGCTCTGCACGGGAGTACCGTCGCCTGTTCTTGTGAGGAAGGTGGCGAAAAGAACAGACGCGAGAACCACAAAGCATAAGATAATGCCAATGATAAGTGTCCAACGGCGCGTCTTCTTCTTGTCGGCATCATCCTTATCAATTTCCTTCCTTCGACGAAGAAGTCCTTTCAGTCTTGACGTTAGACCTTCCTTTTTTGCGGCTTCTGGCTCTTTTGCAGCTTCCGGCTCTTTGGCTTCTGATGGTTCTGATTTTGGCAACTCTTGCTCTTGGCCGACTTCTCGGAGGGAGGTGGTAGACTCGAGTCGTTCCATGGCCTCTCTTCTCGCCTTTCCAATAGTGCTATCATTTCCATTTGTGAATTTATTGCCGTAGAAAGTGTGGCTTTGTGTTGTGATTGGCGGTGGCTGCGTTGGCGCCATCGCTTGCTGTTGATCCGATGGTATTGTTTGCTCCAGCAAACGTGGGTGGCTTTGTGTATAGTCAATCTGCGTCATGGGGACGGCACCCTGAGATGCCATTGTGTGTTGCATCGCTGGGGAGACAGGACCCGGTGACAAGACTGGCGGCTGATTCGCAACGGAAGCAATGTTGGGATACTGAGCTTCACGACGAGGCGGTTCCACGTCTGGGAGCAACGGGTCTCGTGTCCCTGAGCTTTCAGCTGCGTGTGTCATCACAAGATCTGGTTCCTGCGGTGGCTTTTCTGCTTGCGTGAGTTCTGGACTCTCTACAGACCTTGCCTTGACAACCGCTGCCGTTTCTGCCTGTCTGACATTTGGTGACAACTCTTCAGGCTCCAAGCGGATGGAGACGCCACGCCACGACTTACGCTTTTCATTACTACGAGCACAAGCGTCATCCTCGGTATTTTCCTCTGCCTGCTTGGGAGCGCGGACATCCTGTGGGGGCTTGAAGGCGATTTCTTTGTCGAAGACAGACTGTAATTTTGGCAGCTTCTCGGTGCAAGAATGATTTTGGCACTCGAAATATGGAACACCGGTCAACTGTTCGATAGCACATGCATGATAATATTCTGCTGCAAGTCCTTTGGTGAAGTCGACGGCAGGCAGTGCTAGAGTTTGGTCAATATCAGGACGGGTTGCATTGGCTGGAGGGAGCTGCGTGTTGCCGTCCCTTTCTCTTTCCCACGTTGTCCATCTAGACCAAATGCTTGCCCTCGCACTTGCTAGTCCAAGCCGCCGAGGTGTTTCTGGGGATTCGGGGGTGAGTGGAGAGACGATATCACTCTTGGAAAGTCGTATATCAGCCGGCAGCGAAGGAACTGGAGGCGTCTCCGGACTATTGTTGTTGACTTTCTCCACTATTGTCCCTTTCCTCGAAAGCATGGGCGAGAGCATAAGGTTCCACCAACCCTGTGATTTGTGCCGTCTGTTTTCAATTTCTGATGGGAGAATCCGTTCTTGGCTGTCAGATGACAGTCTCGACACCTCTTCCAAGGATTGACGGTCTTGTTCGTCCTCGCTGTCATAATTATCCGCGCTCTTGGGGCTAGATCCTTGAGCGGATCGAATAATGGTTGCCACTGCCGTTGTTTGGCCTTGTTTCCCATGTTGCCCATGTCTGAAAGGGATTTGTGGCACTGGGGGCAAATTATCGTGCTGAATCTGTATCTCACTCCGTGTGTGTGGAGAATACGTGCTCGATACTGTCCGTGTTCTATTGAAGAAAGATGGTTTCCATGAATCTGTTTCCTCGGCTGGAGTGACAACAATTGCAGGTGTCTCGGGCGTCTTCGCAGGATAGGCATTGCTTGCTCCGTCGGCGGATTGGTGGGCAGCTAACTCATGCTCAGGGACACTCATACCTATAACGATTGATCGAGAGCCTGGGGAGTAATCAGTCATGGCGTTGGCTGATCCTCGGATCTCGTCAGCCTTGGCAAGAACGCGATCTTGTCCGCCTGCGCTCATCATTTCCGTCGCCCTTGACACCTCCCTTGCCTTTCTGGCTGCTCGTGATTCTTGCAACTTCGAAACAGCTTGTCGAGCAATTATCCTCTTTAAGTCCTCTGCCCTCTGATTTGGGGATCGATCCACCTCGTGGTTAGCAAGAGATTCGGACACAGAGTGGCTAACATGCTCAGCTTTAGCCGACATGATAGATGTGGCGTATCTCGGGCCAAGTCGAGGCCTCTGAGATTGTACTTGCTCAATGACAAGTCCGTCAGTCTGAGCCCTTTTTGCCTGCGCCGAGAAGTTTGTGACAATGTTCAGCCCCGGTCGACTTTTCTTGTCAGGTCGGGATCGGGTCAACTGCTGCGCCCGCTTCCGTCGACTTGATTGCTTGCGACTTGGTTGTGAAGATTGCTCATTCCGGGTCGCTTCTTGACTGTATCTCTCCAGATGGAATTCATCCTGGCCACTCGAAGATCCGGTGTCATCATCGGAAGAGCACGAAGCGAAAGGATTGGGTGAAAAGAAGGTATCATTTGGTGCCAGTGCGATGCCGCCATTGACGGGCTTGAACGTCGTAAGAGTCTCTTGCTGAGGGGGCGACAAGGGGAATGGCGGAACCGTGTTGTTGGATTGACAATGCCCCAAATCCGTCCTCTGAAGAGTCTCCGCTTGACTACGGGATTGCTTGAAACCGATCACCATTATTGACAGTGTAAAATATTTCCACAAGTTGACTGCGTGTTGAGGTACAAATAGTGACAAAATATGGCATTGCTCCTTTTAATACGGGCCAGGGTCGAGGGGAGTTCTCAGGCCTATCACTGGAGCCTTCTATTCATTGTCAATGATCTGAGTCAATCCAATTCGTCCTCGATGAATGAAGTGGTGAGACCGTTTCAAGCCAACGGATTCTGCTTTGTGAACTGAACAAACACCGTTAACAGAATCAGCAGCGATTATTGTATTCAAAAAACAGAACAAGAAGGAAATAATAATAGGGAACTTGAGAGCGGCGTGAAGAAGAGACGAAGGTTCCCTGTGGCATCATTAATTGACCTGATTGAAGGTGGAGATCGGTTCGGCAGAAAAGGATTGATAGGCACCAAGACAACAACATTTACAATTGCAAAGGCCGATTCACGTCCGGCGTGGGTTATTCTCAGCGGAGCCTCCTCCAAGACCTGCCTGGCCCAATTATTTGTCTGAGGCTATGGGCTGCGACATGTTTCCTTGGATCCGAGCGTGCGGCGCACGAAATGTCCCAAACATAGATCTCGAAGGAGAATGAGAGTGTCGCATAGCGTCTGGCCTGGCGGCTAGGCCGTTCTTCAGAGATGATTGCTCCAGGTTGGAAGGCAGATGATGACTGGAGGAGAGGACGAAGACGACGAAATTACGCGCGCGGTCAATGTTTGACCTGATGGAGGAGCTTCGGCAGCCAATTGGAGCGGCTCATCCGGGGATTACATAAGACCCTAATGTTTCACAAGGCTGCGCAGGGCTGTGACACACAGACACTCTTTGAGTCTCGGAGAGCTTTACCGAGTATGTTTCCAACATTCATATACAGAGACCATGTCGGCCGTAGTCTGGAGACAGCCCCACTTATCTAACAGTCGAAAAGCAGCCTCCAGCTTCGACCTAGAATAGCTGTCGCGTCCCCTATCGATGCGACCAAATGGGCCCGCCAACTGTCCAGCCCCCATGTTTTTGCTCCTGCCCCCAAAAGCATATCCCGTTGACCATGGTATCATGAATCAATTGATTGATCCTGCCCCTCAGAGCCGAGAAGTCGTGCCTCTTCTCTGAATACCCGAGGCTTTTAGCTGAAAGCTCCACAATTCCAGTGTAATGCACAGAAGATTTCAAAATGTCAAAGAAAGTAACCCAAAAAAAAGATAGCCGAACGTGGGGCACCCGGTCCCACAGGAGATAGCACTACCGCCGGTCGTCATATTGTATACCCTGCATCGAGTTGCTATTCATTATCGGCGGGAGTGTCCGTGCTGGCTCATTGGAGCAGTCGATATGGTTGAAGTGAGGCCCGTATCCAAGGGGGCTTTGTGGCATCACATTCGGTGGAGGTGGGAAAGAGCCCTGGGGTTGCTGTATACCTTGCATTTGTCGACTCATTTCGTGCATCTTGGCTTCTAATTCAGCCATCTTCATTCGCTGGCTTTCAAATTCGGCTCGAGCTTGCTTATTTTGGCTTTCAAGCTGCGCAATATAGTCAATGGCTACAGAAGATCAGCGTCCTCTCCGGGGCCACGTTGCGATATCTGCTCACCTCTTGACAACGTTTCCCATTTGCTTGATTTATTATTTTGACTCGCTGGTAACCGACTTCTCAGCTGTTCAAAACAATCCTTCATTTCGCTCCGTCTCTTGCGCTCGGCTAGCTTATGAGTTACCCGAAGTTCCGGTGTACGACTGTACGGGGTAGTCCCATTAGGAGAATCTGGGTCAACTCGCAGACTGTCTAATTGTTTGTGCTGCAGGCTGTGATGGTGAGTATCGGGTAGTTCTAGCATTTGTCAGTTTTCATGTGTCACGGGCATCCCGAATACTTACCTTGCTGGCCTGGTGGTAACCTGTTGGATTCCACCGTCAGAATACTGCTAGAGAATGAGTCGGCAAAGCTGTTTCTGCGCGAGTATGTTGAAGGGGTTCTCCCTTGTGGCCGGGGTGCGTCAGGATCGGGAAACGCATACGCCTGGCCCCGCGTGGGCGCCTCTGCGCTGTAGACCTCCTGTTTAGGATTCTCTAAAATCGGAGGCGCCACTCGTCCTGCGGCAAAACCACCTCTTCCACCGCGATTGGACCCAAAGGATGTGATTGGTCCACTCATCGTTGAGTATCGGCCGCCTCCTCCCGCATATCCATTTGTCTGGATACCTCGCTCCCTTTGAAGACCCGAGACGAGAGATGTTTGAGAGGCATTGGTGCTTGTATACGGAGATGTAGGCCCGAGCCCAAGGTTGGTCATGCCCGTGTGTATGCTGTTGGAAGCAACACTGCTCCTCCGCGAGTCATCAAAGTCGCCGCTGCCTCTATTTGGATTCGAGTTTGGATCTGAGGTGGGGGGTGGCAGTCCGTTGGGTTGTTGATGCAAGACACCGTTGAAGGGAGCTGGAGGCGCCGAAGGGTTGTCTGGAGTGTAAGGTGAGGGCGCCGCGCCGGTCGGGGAATGGGCAGAGTTTAGGTACGGCATGGAGTTCGTCGAAGATCCCGACACTATGAGTAGAGGGTTAGCAAGACATCTGGTATTTGGCAGGAACCGGGACACTGACGGGTACCCGGAGTCATCCAGCTTCCCGAATCCCTTTGGGGCGGATGAATCGAAAGATCTGACGGGGCTCTGTCTAGCGGCTGGGCTGGGAGCTTCGACGTCAAAGAAGCTATTGAAGGGAGTGTCTGAGGAAGGCTGGGAGGGGGATTCGACTCCCAGGGACGGTGGCTCGTGGTTTCCATCCTGCCAAATCCGCTGAGGTTTATCGAATATGATCAGCTCAGATAGCGAGCAGAGACTACCCAGTCGCGCATATAGCGCTCAAACACGGTTGTAAAGTCCCTGACTCGTCGCTCGATTCGCTCTCGATTCCGAAATTTATTGGCGCGTCGAATCCGACAAATGAAACGTCAGGTGCGCCGCGGTGAAAAGGTGATCCAGGAACGCTGACACGACAGCAGCAAGTGGTACAGTATTCGGTAGGAAAGATGCGACGACCCAGCGCAGAACGAGCCCTGGTATAGAGCGACTGGGGCAGTATCGCCACGCTTTGCAACGTGGAATCAACACAGATCGCTTGATACCCGTTTGACAAATCGGGATATTGTCTTCTAAATTCGAGAGATCTTGTCCCTCCCCCAACCGCTAGACTCTTTACGAGAAGGTCCGATCAGATCAAGGTGCGCATGAATTGGTGTCTGTGAAAACCTCTGCAGGGTTCGAGGTCTTGTTCAGAAAAACGTGGAGCAGGAGATGTTGTGGAGCCAGATCGAGGGCATGCAGCGTGCCAGAAGAAAGGCAGCAGGAGGGCTGTGTTGAATATGTTGAGTTTGCGGGATCAGTTGTCGCACAGGGGAGCGGTGGGCGGGAGATGGCAGAGGAGGGATTTGATCTAGCCGCGGTCGACTGCAGAGGAAGTCGACGATAAGTCAACTAGATCAGCCCAATCTGGCTGGGATAGCGACTTTGCGCAGGCCGGAAGTTGCGGCGGAAAAAGACAGGGCCAGAGTGAGGGTGAGGTTGTTGACCCCAGAGGATAGGAGGAGGGACAGTTCACGCTGTGTCTAAGGGCTCCGAGAGTAAGAGCGCAAGTGGGCGCAGCCCAGGACAGGGGGGTGTGTCTTCTGCAGTCGGGAGCCGGGGGTAGGATAATAAAGATGAGATGCTCTGTCGATGGCCTTGTCAATCCGTGTGCCCAATATCTCTCCCAATGATGAACACGGACAGAAAGTTGAGCCAAAGGCCAAAGCCGAAATCAAGTTTCAGGAGGCAAAAAAGAGTCCGTTGCAGAAGAGTTAGAGAGAGAGTTGAACGTGGAGATGGAGATGTCGATGGAGATGGCAGGCCCAATCCAATCCAAAGCCATGGCGGTTGCAATCCACTCTGACCATTTTGGCATGCGATACTGGATTCAAACCATCAAATCAGGTACGTGATGGTCGAATCCGAGTCGACATGGTAGAGACGCTCTTTGACTAGATCGGGGCTATCAACTGGAATTGGGGTGCGTTGGTGTTGCTTGGGTGCTTTTGGGTGCTTGGGGTCACTGCTTGGGTGCTCGGGTGCTTGGGTGCTTGGGTGGCGCCCCGGCTTTCTCCTCGTCGTCTCTTCCCTTTTGGAGACGCCGCTAGGTTGCTTTGGGTATTTGCTGTGGGCGTGACATTTAACCAGTTGGCCAGGCCATTGACCTGATCAACATCACACGCTCTGGTCTCCTGCTATACCCTCTGTACACTATAATCCCTCTGTTTGGGGGGGCTGGTGCGAAACTGTCCTGGTTGGGAAACGAGAAGGAAAAAAGCATGTTGTTGCCTCGTGTACAGTGTGTGCGAGTGGCACCGAAGTGGCCAATACCGTAAGACTGGTGGTCACTGCAGAATCTGTGTCTGACAAAGAGAAACGTGGGAGGAGCAAGGAGCAAGGAACTATGTAGGAGCGACAAATGGGCGCCCACCAGATGGGCAGATGGGGAGATGGGGGGACGCGGTCCCCTGAAGGGGATCTACTAAGGACCTTATTATTATTGCTACTTCTTGTAGGTATTACCCGGCTCGCCGGGCAAAGGGCGGCGGTCCCCCACCACCACTACAGAGTGCTTGCGCAACTTTCCTAGGCACTTGTGGTGCTTATACGTGAAGTATACAGTAGGTACATCCACTGTACGCGGGCACCCATAATCATTTTTAGGGAGGTGCTGGTTAGGTGACTAGGTGCCTAGGTGTCTAGGTAGGTACCGTACCTGCAAAGCATCTCACTCACCCACCAGTACCATCTCAGGACCCTGAATCCTCGGTCTACCGCTTTCAGTATCCGGGGTGGATGAGCGACCTTCCAGCCCACGTGCTGCCTTGTTTCTTGTCGCATCTTGGACTCTCTCCGGCCCCCTCGCATACCCAGCACTGCCCACAGCCCGCAAATCTTTGCCTGTAGCATCCAGTCTTCTCTGCTGTCCAACTCGTGGCAACCTCGTGTAAAGTGGTTTCACCAGTACCAGCAGCTCACCAGAGTCGATCGCTGTTTCGCCTCTTTGTCACACCGAGAATCGTGCGAAATCGATGATTGTCATTTTCTCAGCTCATCTCCCCTCCGCCCACACCGGTCACAAGCACCCCCCATCGATTTCAACTAATGACAGGGACCCGAGCAGGTCGCCTGTCGGCAGTTCGACCTTAAGGTGGTACTATGCTCTATTAGGACCTGGTCGCCGACCGCCTCAAAGTCTGTGGCCCCGAGGTGGCTCCCCTATCCTGAGTGATAAAGGGTCCAGCTTCAGTCTCCAGGCCTGGTCCCGGGTCTGCTCCAAGCCTATGGAGCTAAAGCACTCATGTTACTGGAACTAGGGAGTGCCCGAACCCGCCGGCGCCCTATCGAATCCTGCAATCTTTGATTGTCATGAGTCGCCATATCCCTAAGTCCAGACGATCTTTGCCTATTATATTCGCCTCCAAGCCTCACTTTCTGCCGCTATTGATGGCCAGAACCCCACGAACATGCCAAATGGGATGCAGGAACCGCCACATAGAAAAGCATGGAAAATGTCAACAGTCGGATACTCTGAGATACATAGCAAAGCATTTGTGATTGCGGTGCAACGGCCAGAAAAAGTCACTCTTGAAACCCACCATTGAGGATGCTTGCTGACTCGCAGAGTCGCAACAGAACATCCGCGCGACACTAATCTCGCCCGCTCAATGACGTCGCAAAACACGAGTTCCAAGCCACTCATCTTGCTCCTTCCAGCGCACATCGTTAGCCTGGCTTGTTCATTCCAATTCCGCTCGCTGAGGGGAAAGGGGCGAATCAGCCAGGAGCTAGCAAGTAGGTGCTTCGGCAGGGGAATCACCACGTGGCAGCAGCAGCTAGTCAAATCCCCTTTTGCGTCGCGCAATTGCGAATCGAATCACTGCTCTCCGCTATTATTGAGAACACGGATCACGAAAACACACACCTTCTGTCGACGATGTCACCAGGTCTTGCTGCGCAATCAATACCCTGTCTTACTACGAACACCCTTGCTTCGCCGTCGAGGAGTCGAGGTTAGCTGCCAAAATTGAAGGCTAGCGCTCCAACGTCACCCAAAGCTTGGACCATCTTGCGGCGTGAGACAAGGTTAATGGCGAAAGTACGATAGCCCGGAGCCGGATTGACGGATCGTCAATGCGTACGGAGTACATACTGGTAGGTTGGTTTCGTTTTCTCGTCATTCAGCCACTACTCCGTACATGCCTAGTAGGTAAGAGCCTCCTGAATGTATCCACACCTCACTAGATATCCCAGCAGGACGGCTTTAACCCACAGCGTATTCCCTCACAGCGGTCCGCGGGCTGGCTGCGGCTCCTTGATGGAGCCTCATGCCGTCAACATCTTCTCCGCGTTGAGCAGGTCTTCCACCGTATCTTTCAGGGTGACGCTGATGGGGGTGTACTTGACGCCCAAGACTTTCTCCGCCTTACTCCCGTCCAGCTGGTACACTGGTTCTCGTGCGCCCGGAGCCCCTCGTGGTATGCGCTCCTTGATCTGGGGGAAATCGTCTCGGAGAGCATCCACTGCAGCCTGATAGTCGAAGTGAGATCCGACAATAAATCGCTGGCCACCAGCTTCTTCCAATTCATAGGCGCGCAGATGGGCAAGGGCAACATCTCTCGCATCTGCAAAGCCCGCAAAGTCGATGGGCGGAACTTCTTTGGCGGATCCATTGACGAGCTTCCAAATTGCCTCCGTCGACTCATTCAAACGATCCAGAGACCTTATTCCACCCAGCGAAGGACCGAAAATCCATGGTGGATTGATGGAAGTGAAAGAGAAAGACGGTTTGTGCTTTTCTATCCATTCCCAAGCAGCCTTCTCTGCCAGACCTTTTGCTGCACAATATGTGAAACCACCATTGGACGAATTCTTGGCTTCTTCATAGGTGGCGGGGTTCCAGTCTGACTCGGTATACGTATAGCCTGGACGAAGGCCTTTGCTGAGGTCGAGTACACAGGCAAAAGAAGCCGTCAGTACGGTACGACGCAGGGATGAGCCCTGTGTGGCCGCTGCCTCTAAGACGTTCAACATCCCGTCAATTGAGGGTTTCAAGAGCTCTTCCTCGTTGTTTTTTGGGTTCAAAATGAAGGGATTCGCTGTGTGGATGATTCCTGTCACTCCCTCGACCGCCTCGCTAAGAGCGTCTGTGGCGGCCATGTCGGGCACGACGGCGAATGACAATTGATCGGCATGCTTTGTGTGAGCCTCCTTTATGCCAGCAATCGATCTCTCAGACCGAACCGTCCCGCGGACATGATATCCGGCTTCCAGGAAGGCATGAGCGATATGGCTACGGCATAAGTCAACTCAGGAGCGATGTTCGGAGACCAGGTCTGAGCAACATCCACCTCTAGTCTTGAGGTTGGACCCGAACACACGGGAAGGGACCACTCACGAAGCCACGAATCCTGATAGACCAGTGATGAGAATAGTCTCTCCTTTCGGGGAGGGCGAGCCCATGTCGACACTTTCAATAGACCGGTGAGACAAGGGAAGACTTTGCTTGATGCACAAGGTAGGTGGCCGGTATAGGTTGCTTTGATTGACAGATTCTTGTCAGGAACCCCTCAGGACTAACCGGGGTCTTTTATAGGCATTAAATGCCAATGAGGTGATCTGTCGGTTGCTACCTCTGCGCTCTTCTTTTCTTGAGTAGCATCGTATCAGTCCATTTCCGTGCTGGCGAAGGTTAATCGACATTGTTGGCGCAAAGTAACTTCCCATGATCGATGTCGCTTCGTTTTACAAATCTCGCGTTTTCTTGGCCACAAACAGACCAACAGGGACACATACAACCCCTGTCAAAAAGGGTTAAGATAGTCCGTTGATGATGCATGCAGACCCAACTACCGAGTATATCAGTTTGACAAGAGAACACTCTACAGAGCCAAGCTCGGGCTCTAACATAGAGCTTCGCGCAGTCCACCATTTTGATCACGGCTCGCTGACTAAGTGCATGTGCGGCCGCGCAAGCCGCATTTTTCTATGCTGTCAAGCGATGCGATTGAGTCAATCCAAAGGAAGATGTCGTCAACCCAAGGAGAGCCCAGACTATAACACGAAGGACCAAGAAAAAAGGATGATTCAGCAAGACAAGCGGCAAAGTCTTCGTAGTATCACCTCCTACGGAATCCATTCTCGAGCCGGGAGGACGAGGAAGACAATTTGTATGGCACCAACATGGGTTGATATGCTATGATCAGGTAAGCTCCAAGGTCTGTAGCATAGCCCTGCAACATACACTGCGAGTGCGTGTTTTGGTGTTGCAGGTGTCTAGTTCTCAGCAGCGACGTAGTGGCCTTTTCAAGTTTGTATCGAACTTTGTGCGACAAAGTGCCAGGCCCAAAGTTCTCTTTCATTTAGCCTTTTGGACCTTTTCGAGTTAATGCTATCGCAACAAATGTCCCTGTGGTGCCGGCTTAGCTCTACCAGCCAGGGCGTCGCTGGTGAGCTGGGTCGCTGCACCGCCTTCACGTGCGCCACTTACAAAATGTTACTACCCCACAAAACCAAAGGCTCGCTTGTCTCAGCCTCGGCAGGCACACAGCAGGCAAAATCTCTTGCCTTCAACCAAATGCGAACCCATACAGGTGCTCAAAAGAACAAACGAGTGAGCCTCAACAGGATACTGGGTACAGGAAATCCATGTACGAGTGCCGCCTTGCACTCCATTGGCCTGTGACTCGATTCATACACGCCTCTCCACTTACAAGGAGTATGATCACCTAGGGCTCCATCCTTCGCACCTATCATCCACGGCCCCTGACTCAAATCTGTCATGTTGCTGTGCTGCTTGATGGAGTTTATGCTTTGCAAAACTCCTGTGCAGGTCACTAGCCATCACAGCCTCTTAGCGCTAACACGGTCTACCAGACTGCCATGAGTCCTGCTACCGCAAGTATCTCGGCAGTAATGGACCCCTACACCCCGAGGAACAACAATGGAGCGCACCAGAGAGGACTTGGAAATATCCACAAAGAAGCCTCGGGAGGCAGCCTGAGCAGCACGAGAACTTCACCGCCTCGTCGGCGAGACTATTTGAAGGGTGATATTGCCTCCATGATCATGAGCATGTTCCGGCGTACAATCTTTCAGAATTATTTGACCGTGAGAAGGGTTGACTGCTGCAGTCGCATACTAGGAAATTACGGAACATTACATCAGTTGAAACCGACCACATCGTGACGCTTGACTCCAACAAACATACAAACAAAGAGAGTGTACTGGCGAGACTAGATACGCGGCGTCAAGAGCAGTGATATACCGCCCACAATTGACTGACACAAGAGCAAAAATCAGAGCAAACAGTATTGCCAAAAGCAATCTGCATTTGTACTGATCTTTAAAGATGTCTTCCGCGTCCCTCCCACTCCCAACTCCTCAACCATCCATCGGTACTAGGAGCAGCTCGAGACCCAGCAGTTCTGCCTCAGAAGACTTTACCATGGTGGACCATCCCCGGGCTCTATCGTTGCGTTCTCGATCAATGCATGTTAAAGACCACGCCATTACCGAAATACATCCCCTGAGCGATAGTGATGCCTTCATTGTGTCTGTTCAGCCTCCACAGGTCCCAGAACATGGTCTCCAGCGTGGAACCTGTGATATCGTGCTTGTTATCGATGTGTCTGGAAGCATGTCATCTGCGGCACCCCTTCCAGATGCAGAGGACGATAATGAGAGAGAGGCTGCTGGATTGAGTGTTCTCGACCTTGTGAAACACGCCGCAAGAACGATCCTTCAGACCCTGGGCGACGGTGACAGACTGGGTATTGTGACGTTTTCGGACGATGCAAAGGTGAAATGTCCCCATGGTTTTCGCTCCATACGCGCAATATTAACAGGTAGACCTATAGGTCGTGCAAGAACTCACATTCATGAAGCCCGCCGAAAAGCAGGCGACATGGAGGAGGATTGAGAACCTCCGCGATGAAGCCTGCACAAACCTTTGGGCCGGCATTCGTACTGGGCTGGAGTTGTTCTCCAGATCGCCACTTGCGAATAACATACAAGGCCTCTATGTTCTAACTGATGGAATGCCAAATCATATGTGTCCGAAGCAAGGGTAAATCCCCCATCCATGACAAAAAGAACAACCTTGATCGATTGCTAACTTCGGATTAAATACAGCTATGTCGCCAAACTCAGTCCCATGCTAGAGTCCGCAGCCCGCGAGAGGCCCATCGTACCCACCATTCATACCTTTGGATTCGGCTACCAGATCCGCTCCGAATTGATGCAATCGATCGCAGAGGTGGGTGGGGGAAATTACGCATTCATCCCTGACGCAGGTATGATTGGAACTGCATTCGTGCATTCGGTTGCCAATCTGTACACAACATTCGGCATGTCTTCCACGTTGGAGATCAAACTTTCAAGGGACATTGCGGTAGAAACGACATCAGGAATGACTCTGACTGCTGGAAATGGAGGATATCTTATGCATCTGGGTAACATCCAATACGGGCAGTCTCGGGACCTGGTGTTCGTGTGCCCAAAGGGTATCCCTGAAGACACAGTCATGACTGCAACGCTGAGCTACAAAGCCGCCAGCGGGGCTTCCCGGGGCTTCCAGAGCCGTGCAGTCTTTTCGGACAAGACGGTGATGCCTCAAATCTGGGTCGAGTACCACATGCGCAGAGCTCAAATTTGCGGATTCATATCCTCTCTCTTCCCCTTGAAGAATAACGGCGAGCGTACGACCACCATGGACAGAAATTCGTTGATCGAAGCACGGGCAAATCTGAACACTATCGCCAGCTCCATGGATCAATCTCCCAACAAAGATGCAGTCGGGCCCAAATCGCTCCTCGATGAGATCGTGGGTGACGAACCAGCAGGTCAAATCTCCAAAGCCCTCACTTGGACTACAACCAAAACCTACTGGCAAAAATGGGGTCGCCATTACCTGCCCAGCCTGCTCCATGCGCATGAGCGTCAAATGTGCAATACATTCAAAGATCCCGGGCCATTGCTCTACGGCAAAGACAGCCCGCTCTTCATCAAATACCGCAACGAGCTGGATGCCGCTTTTGATAACCTCCCGGCACCGAAGCCATCTCGTCCGCCGAGGGTTGTGTACACCTACAGTCCCACTGGCGAAGTGACGGGTACAAGAACCATTGCGCACCGAAATGTCAGTATGAGACGCTACAATACGAGCGCGACGCCTTGCTTCGAAGGCAACTGCTTGATTTTGAGGGGCGACGGAACGACCAAGACGCCAGTCAAGAGTCTCAAGGCAGGGATGATGGTATGGACGCCCATGGGTCCACGAGCAGTCCGTGCGGTTTTGAAGACCAGAGTTGGCGGCCAAGCGCAGAAGCTGTGCCGAGTGGGCGAGTTGCTAGTGACGCCATGGCATCCGATCAAGTACGATGGACAATGGCGCTTTCCGAACGATATCGCTGAAAGCAGCATGCCGTTCAAGGGGAGCGTCTACTCTGTACTCCTGGCGCCGTTCCACCACTCAGACGGCCACGCGGTCGAAGTCGGAGGTCAAATTTGTGTCACGTTGGGTCATGGCCTCGTCAGAAGCAGCGAAGACGACATTCGCGCGCACAAATTCTTTGGCAATTACCATCAAGTTGCGATGAACCTGTGGCGGCTTCCATGGAAGAAGGGTCATTTCAGATGTGGTGGGATGCTCCGAAGCGCGAAGACCGGCCTAGCTTGCCGATTTCTGAAGCCATCCATAGTTAATAGGGGCGTCACAAAGACTGTGTGGGTTGGGATGAAGATGAGATGCGTTGGCTGAACGGCGGATTCGGACAACAGGGCAGGAGTATTTCGTAGTTGGGCCGGGGTGGCTCTTTCAGCCTCGCGGCCTGCCAGAGCGGAAAGGGAGGCGGGAGGGGGGAGAGGAGTACCGCGGTGGTATGTAAGTTGGTCCCAAAAATGGCACTCCGCTCCGATATTATTAGGTGACGGGCTACAGGGTCCTTGTACAGGATATTAGGGAGTAGCTTCGAGTAGTTAGTGAATGCTAGCAACTACCGGGTACTAGGGCTCGGACCCCGCGCACTAAAACCCTCACAGCTCTCACACAACCCCCTCAAACCCCCCCCCCCCTATCAGGCTCCAACATGCCCCTAACCCCCAACACCATGCCGCTGTGATGCCCCGCTACGTGCCCGCCTTAGCGCCCGCGCCTTGCATGTGTTGCTCAGGAACAGCTGGTCATGGCTGGCCCAAGATAGGCCAACAAGTCGCACAGACCTGGACGCTAGGTTCAGAGAGGTTTGATGCACATGTGGAAGTGGAAATAAATAGCCAAGGGAAACACGAGCATGGGAAAGGGCACCAAAGGGGCGGTGTGCAATTATTTAGAGACGGACAAAGAAAGAAACCACTCCCTCTTCCTTCCTCCTACTCCTCCTCCCACTTTCCCCTCCCATCTTTACCCTCACTCCCCTCTCGTTCCTCTTCGATTCCACCTGCACGCGACACTCATACTTGACTTTGTCGTTCAGTTCATTTTGCTGCTTTTCAACATGGCGTCAAAGGACAAGTTGATTTCTTGGGAAGGTGAGGGAAATTCGTTGCGGTTCCTTCAATTGAAACTCTCGGAATTGATGCTTTCCTCGTGTTGTCGAGGCTAACAGTCGTCTCTGTGCGAGCACAACAGACTACCAAGGCTGCCTCAATGCCTACTGGGAGTGGGCTGAGAGCTACGATTCCAAGGTGAGTTCCTCTAGACAGACCTCAAATCTTTCACCTTGACCCCATCTCACTTACGGCCATCTGAACCCCCAGGACTGGGCCCGCTTGCGTAAAATCGTCGCCCCCACCGTCCGCATCGACTACCGCTCCTTCTTGAACAAACTCTGGGAAGCCATGCCCGCTGACGACTTTATCGCCATGATCTCCGACCCCAAAGTGCTCGGCGACCCGCGCCTGATGACCCAGCATTTCTGCGGCGCCAGCAAGTGGGAGAAGGTCTCTGACACCGAGATCATCGGGTACCATCAGCTCCGTGTTCCGCACCAAAAATACACGGATGCCACCCGCACCAAAGTCCTCGTCAAGGGACACGCACATAGCAGCAATATGCACTGGTACAAGAAGGTCGACGGGGAATGGAAGTTTGCAGGCTTGAACCCCAACATCAGATGGGGCGAGTATGACTTCGATAAAGTTTTCGAGGAGGGCAGAGAGGAGTTGGGAGACAAGGAGAAGGAGAAGATTGCAGATGAGGTGGCCAAGGCCGCCGAGGGCATTCCCTCCAAGTAAAGAGCTGGGGCCACCAACAACGGAAATGTATCTGCAAAGACAGCAAGGCCCACACACGGACTGGTGGGAAAAGTCACTGCCTAGGATTATGACAGACATAGGATTTGCTGCGAGACGAATACAAGAATTTTCGGGACTCTGCGTTCGTTGAAACCTTGACCAGCGGACCACATCGTTCGACCCGGACAAACTGCAGTGGTGGCAGGATATTTTTATCACGGCCATATTCCTCGCATATCGATTCTCACTAACGAATGTCTATTCAGGAATCACGTGAATCGACACCCTTCGCCTTGCGTCAATTTATTCGCTTCTCTACTTAGGAATGCTTCGCAAACCATCAATCACTCACTCAAAATAGATCGGGTTTGTCAGGCCGAGCAATACATCGGAGGCGTTACGAACCTCGACCATGACAAAGTCCATTCCGGCCACGTTCTGCTGGATCCTTTGTGCATTCACGATCGACACATTGTGAAAATACCCCTTTTCGGACACGAAGCAAGCATGCGCGCCTTCGAACCCGGTGGCAGAGAAGCTGGCATATGCGTCGCCAGCGCTTAAGGCCGCCTTTGGGACGATGTCTCCGATCTCTGCTTTTATCTTTCTACCGCCATCTCCGTAAACCACTCCAAAGGCGATGTCCATCCCAGGACCCTCGACTAAATACACCCGGCCCCTCTTCACGCCCTCGACGATGCTCGCCTGGCTCTTCTCTCCCGTGGCCCTTACAACAGTGGTGGGCAAGCCGTTGATATCCGGCGGACTGTGCGCATCACTCCCACCCAAAGCTGTGAGCTTCTTCCCCTGGGCAAGCTCGCCCTGCCAGAACTTGACTGCAACTTCGTCTAGCGGGTCAAACCTACCGTTCCAAACTTCTATCGCGTCATTGTGGTCCCAATCCAGTGTCCAATCGCACCTCGAGCAATTCTGGAACGGGTGGTTGATCGACACCAGCCCTCCGGAACCGCGCACTTGGGTGGCCGCGTCGACGAAGCCCGTGTCGTCGGACGAGTTGGTGTACCTCCACTCGACCTGCTGAGACCGCTCGAGTCCGATCGCTTGCCAGTGGCCATGTCGCGTCGTGACTTCAATTGCCCGGCCAATGAGAAGATCCGATCCGTTGGCTGGGATCCAGCGCCCGATATTGTTGTTCCCAGAGTCGGTGTTGTGTTCGGAGAAGAAGATGAAATCGAGATCGTACGAGATAGCGTGGGCGATGTGCCCGCTGGGTAGATACCGGCCGTCGGAGTAGATGGTGTGCATGTGGAAATCGCCGCGAAGCCATTTCCAAGGGGTTGTGGAGGGAAGGGGTTCTTTGTAGATGGGAGCTAGCGAGGGAGTCCAGAGCGGTGAGCTGCTTGGGGAATAGGCGAGCGAGATGTCAAGCGTCCAGTCAATGCCGGAGCGGTTGGTTGCGTAGGGCCCCAGCACGACATTCCATGTCCCGGGGAATAGGGGTCCAGCATTCTGGATCAGCTATCGTTAGATTTGGAGCTCATGGTTCTCGAAAGGGCGAAAGACGACTCCCTCCTCTCCTCGTCCTCCGATGATCGGCAGAACTTACGTATCCCGGCGTGGCGTCACTCGCAGAGATGGTGAAGTTGTTCCGAAACCCTCCTGACCAGCCTCGCGAGCCGGAGTAGCCAGTCTCACTGTTGATGGCGGCAACCCCATGAGGATCGAAGACGCCCAGGTCGAGCGAATTTCCCGCCCCTTTGAAAGAGTAGTTCTGCAGCACGTAGATCGAGGTCACCTCGGCGGAAACGTGGAAGGGCACATAGACGAAGCTGAAGAGCTGGTCGGGCGTGATGTGGCCTGTCAGGGTGAAGTTGGTGGGTTCTCGGAGAGCAGACTGAGCATTTGCATGGCGTATCCACGCAAACAAGACGGATGAGAGGAAAATGGACGACTTCATCATCGCGAAGATGCTGGCCAAAGTGCCCATGCCATCTAGCTAGTTAGAAGATACGAGGTCCCTGGAAAAGAGCTGGGCGTCACAAGTCTCTTGTACCGGGTAGCTGAATCGCTGCTCCCTTGCTCGCCTCGATTTCAACACCTTATCCTTGACCGGCTCCTATTTTGCCCTCCTCGTCTCTAAGACTGAGAGTCTTCATAGGAAGCTGTGAATTCGACGTGGATGATGATCTGCATTCCACGTGCATGGCGCTCAACTCGCCCATTGGAGTGTGAACCCTGCCGGTAGCATGTTGAGTTGCATTTGAAAAGCTTGGTATACCATGAGGGGTGGGAATAGAGCATAAGAACGGATTTAGCCTCTCGAAACAGCAACATCTTACGGATACGTAGACACGAAGGATCGTGATGGCGCCATGGAATATGATCTAGTAAATGGCAAGTTACAGACCTGAGAAATCCGATACAGAGGGCGCAGGAACCTCGGTCGGGCGCCAGGCAAGCAGCCTCGCAGGTCACTCGCTCCCTCCCATCCCCGCGAATCATTGGGGTTGGTGTTCTCCTTCGAACGATATTGGACCCCCCTTGACCTCTCTACCACCAAGCCCGGGAGACATCCCCGAAACTAGGATTGAGACACGGCGGCGGCGGGACGGCAAACGTTTGCCGACCGGCGAGTGACCGACCGTCCTGTGAAATTCGGAAAGGAGACCGTCAAAAAGAGGAGGGAACTAGGATTAGGCAGCACAAGCAAGAGCTTGACTAGCATTTTCGCTACGTGCCCGTCACAATGGAAAAGAATGAGACGATTGCCGACCTCTGCGAGGTGTTCTACGTCGGCGGGAAATATATCAAGGATGATCGCGGAACTCATATGACGGGACAAGTTTGCGTGCGACGCTTTGGCAAGAAAGTCGATAATCGACCGGCAATCATCTACATCCACGGAGCGGCGCAGACTGGCACCCACTGGGAATCCACGCCGGATGGTCGACCTGGGATCGCCTTGCTCCAGGCTCAGGAAGGCTGGGAATGCTTTGTCGTCGACCAGGTTGGCATAGGGAGGTCGCGATATCACGCCCATGATTTGGGAGATCTCAGCCACTACACAGCAGAGGAGCTGCAAGAGTGTTTCACCTCGCCTCCGCATGATTCATACCCTCAGGCAAAACTGCTTACTCAATGGCCAGGCACCGGCAAGATGGGGGATGCCTTCTTCGACGCCTTCTATGCCAGTCAAGTCGGACATTTTGCAAAGTATCGAGACGTGGAGCGGTCCTTCCGCCCTCTGGCTAAGGACCTCTTCTCTCGTACCGGCCCGGCCTTTTTAGTGACACATTCGCAATCAGGTCCTATAGGTTGGCATATCGCTGACGAGTGTCCCAGCATGGTCAAAGGTATTGTGGCTTTGGAGCCGAATGGGCCGCCCTTTATCTATCCAGGTCTCCCCAAGTTCTACGCCAGGACGCAGGCTGTCCAAGCGGGGACATTCGTGCGCCCATTCGGTCTGACTGCGACTCCACTAACCTATGACCCTCCCCTGCCGGCCGGCACGAAAAGACTGGAGTTCACACGAGCCCCCAGCGAGCTCTTGAAAAACGATCGGGTACCAGGGGCCCGGCTGAAGGCGCCGGCGCTGAAACTGGTCAATCTATCTTCTATACCCATTGTTGTGGTGACGGCTGAGGCATCCTATCACGCGGCGTACGACCACCTCACGGTCCAGTTCTTCCACGATGTCGGCGTGCCTGTCGAGCATGTATATCTGGCGGATCGAGGTATCCGCGGCAACGGCCATCTCTTGGCCATTGAGAAGAATAACCAGGAAGTCCAGCGGTTCATCAGCCAGTGGCTGGCTGAGACATGGGCCAAGAATGCTATGAAATAGACTGTCGAGCTGCTAGGAAGGGGGGAAGAGAGAGAGAGAGAGAGAGCGATATTCAAAGCTCTCTGCCTTATTCTCATTAGGCGGACTTCTACGCCCATTCGCCTAATCGAGGGCCTAACTTTAGACCTTTGGGACCTGATTGGCTATATCCTGCGTGGGATAAATGCAGCAATCTATTCTACAGTTATGCTTATGTTCATCCGTTCCCGTACATTGAAGTCTTTCCTCTCTGCCCAGATGTTGTAGCTGCAATCCACGTCTATGATGTCCCCAACAATTGGAGATGACGCATGTTATTCGTTCCACGATGCCCATGCATTCATGGAACATGAGTACGACTTCCTCATCATTGGTGGCGGCACCGCTGGCCTTGTTCTTGCAAACCGACTCAGCAACGAGCCGCGCTTCGCTATCGGTGTACTGGAAGCAGGGGTAAGTCATCTCAATGACCCACTAGTTGATATCCCGGCTATGGCGACAGCGATGGCCGGCGATAAAGACTATGATTGGCACTTTGTTACTGCCCCCCAAGGACCCAAGGGCCTTCAATGCCATTTGCCTCGCGGTCGCATGCTCGGCGGATCAAGTGCAATCAACTGGATGGTCTATACACGCCCTTCGCGTCAGGATTTTGACGACTGGGCGTCCTTGGTGGGAGATCCCTCTTGGGCAGCCGCCAGCATGAAGAAGTATCTGTTGAGGCATCAGACCCTCGAACCGCTAGATGATGCCCTCACTGAGCGCACTGGTATCGCCTATCTCGCAGAGAACCACGGCCTGGAAGGACCTATCCATACCGGCTTCAACACCCTCCCTGTAACGCCTCTCGAGGAAGCTGTGTATCACGCCGGCATGGAAGCCAGCGGGCTGTGTGCCCCGCTTATCGACCCCTGGGCCGGAGACCATCTGGGATTTTATCGCAGTCTGGGCACCATATATCGCTCTGGGCCGAACAAAGGCAAGAGAAGTTATGCCGCCAGGTCGTACCTGGAACCAGTGCTTGACCGGCCAAACCTGCATGTTCTTTGCAATGCCCACGTGACCAAGATCCAGCTGCACGGTAGCATGGTCGTGGGGGTAGAGATTGACCACTTAGGAGAGCATTACCTTGTCAAAGCCAAGCGAGAAGTTCTCCTTTGTGCCGGTGCTCTGTCGTCTCCGCACATTCTTCAGCTCTCAGGGATAGGAGATCGCGAGGTGCTCGAGAAAGCTGGAATAGAGTGCAAGATTGAGTCACCGTATGTGGGCGAGAATTTGCAAGACCACCCAGCCATGATTGTTTCTTATGAGTTGAAGCGAGGGGTCATCTCTGCGGACGCGATGAAAGATGAAAAGGTGCAGCGTGCGGCTCTGGAGGAGTACCACAAGCAAGGTGATGGACCCTTGGCAAGCATTAACAGCATCCAAGGCTTCGTCCCTGTCCTGCCGCTGTTGAACGACAATGACTTGGAAGAGATCAGCCGAAGCGTCGAGTCACAACCGGGCGAGTCTTCATTCCAGAAGGCCCAACGACAACACGTCCTGAGGCAAATCAAAAACGCCCAGTCGGCATTTATTCACGTGTCGCCGACTCCAGTGACTGTGGACTGCTATGCAGAAGGCGCTTTTGCCGATCAATCAAAGGTGTTTGTCAAGGCACTTCCTGAAGGAGCGCCGCACGGTTTTGGTTTTGCCGTCGGCCTGCAGTACACTTTTGCACAAGGGTGGGTGCATGCGACATCCAACGATCCGTACGCCCAACCAGAAATCAATCAAAATATGCTGGGACACCCGGCCGATATAGTCACGGCATCTGCTGCTTTAGAGTTTGTTCAGATGCTGGTTGACATTCCATCATTGAAGGATCTGATCGCCCGACGCACCTACCCTGGCGAAGAGCAGTATGATTTGCACAAGCAGGAGGACCGGCGCGAGCATGCGAAGGGGGTCTGGGCGGCGCAGTATCATCTTTGTGGAAGCTGTGCGATGGGAGAAGTGGTGGACACGAGGCTGAGATTCAAGGGCGTCGAGGGCTTGAGGGTTGTGGACGCCAGCGTTTTCCCAAACCATGTCAGTGGTAACATCCAGAGTAGCGTGTACATGATCGCGGAGAAAGCAGCCGATATGATCCTGGAAGACAATCTGGGTTGATTGAGAGCAGAGACCGGTAGGGCTGGCTCATGAAGGCAGCCAGCCGGAGAACAGACCTTCCGGCCCCGAGGCCTCCAGTCAGTTCCTCAGCGGCACCTGCTTCAGTACTCTGAATCAGGAGGGGATCAAGATTTTCTAGTCTGTTGCGCTGACACCGACCTCGGGCGGTTAGACGATATCCCGAGTGGACGATCGAATTCCTTCCCTCCAGCTCGCCGGTACCCATTTTGACATCACCAAGTGCGAAGAGCTCGGCGAATGGTCAAAGTCTCCTGACCTCCTATGGGTTCAAGGCGTCAAAGGCATGAGAAGGTGCCCCAGTAAGGTTAAACCCAACACCTTCTCAAACCATTGACGAATGAGGTACACCAATCTTGATATGTAAGAGTATCAATAACATACTAAAATCTAGCAGAGGACGAAAGCCGAACTTTCTTGAGATAACACTGCTGGCTACGAACGAACGAAAGCATGGGTTTCTTGCATGCATCTCGGCACAAATTTTGCATATATCTCTCATAAATCATCAGCGCGAGGATAAGGGTCAAATCTTTGCAGCAATTAGGGAAGAGCTGGCATATATTGGGTTTATACAAATCTATCCTCCTAGTCTATATGTTCACACTAAGGAGTACAGAGATGACGACTTGGGATCGTCGAATCTAGGAATTTCGAAGAAACATGACCAAGCTTCCGTGGAGACCCGTGGACCCTCAACCGGCGCATGGCCTTACGGAGGAAGGCGAGGAACTCGCCCGATAGAACCCGAATCGATAGGGCTTGAAGTTGGAATGGAAGTGAGTATAGTCGCCCCTTCAGGTAGCATTGGTTGTTAGAGGTATGCTGTAAAATTGTCCTGGATTTGACCTTCATTTTCTAACGATGCTTCCTTGGCCTCCAGGAGACCGTTCCCGGTGGTCTGGTGTTCTTGAAATGGGACTCATTGTGATTCTAGTGAACCGCGAGTTATTTCTTGTCTTTTGACACGACAGTGCATAAAAATCTGCCCGCAATAGGGGGGTTGCGTTTGGCTCGCCCCTTAGACCCATCACTGCAAAGAGGCCGACTCAACCATATCTCCTATTTGATGGCCCACAGCGAATACCAACCATGTGCATAGAAGCCTGAACACACGTTTTGAGGCGATGTGAGACTGGCCAAGGCTGAAGACAAGGCTGTCACTATATTCCACACTAAGCCATATTCGATTTGGCACGAACAGGACCATCAAGGGCGTTTTGAGGCGCGTCAGGCGCGTCCTCAACAATCCAACATATCGGGTACGGGTAGAACATTCGGTATAAACATCTCAACATCTGTACAGCCATTCCTGGAACTGGCCTCCTCTTCGACGACATAGGCAATGCCACTTTGCTTTTAGTACAAAGCCAAGATAGAAGGGGATTGGACTTTGCCAGCTTGAGAATGTCACAATGTTAACGAACGAACCATCACAGATGCATAACATCCTCGTCATTCTCACAATTCTGAGACGAGATATGTCAATCTCTTGTGCGCCTCGCTGCATCTCGCATCGCTCGCACCTCTGATTTGGTCGTCACCAAACCCCTCTTCGTTCTTTGCTGCTGTGTGACCTTGGCGTCCGGGTCTTTTCCCTTTCCACTCGCCCCTCGGCACACGGACGATGCGCATGTGATGGGACGTTCTCTCTCCATAGGCAATCATATCAACCGCCATGTTGCTCCAAAGGATGGCTCGCAGGCTCTTCCGGACCACGTACAGATACACCATGCTATCCTCAAAGGATGTTGTTGAATTGACCGAGCCCACACCTGGTCATGCCGACGATGATAGCGAGCAACATACTTCTCAATATAACGGCATATGGTGCCGCGATCGGTCAGTAGATTCCTCCAGCCTCACCCTCGAGAAATCGCACGGGGACCTCTCAAGCTGAGGCTATGGACTTCTAGGTTTTGCGGCGCTCTCGCCTTCAACTTCGTGGGCTTCGTGCTTCCAGCTCTCTACAACACGCTTTCGAAGTTATGGGTGGCCAACATTGACTCTTCCATGGTTGTCACGGTCGACTCATACACCTATATTGGCGTTGTGGCCGAGGTCATCAATGAAGGTCTTCCCAGGGCTGCATGGGTCATCATTGGAGACAAATTCTCCCGCTCGCTCCCATCTCGCATCGAACTGACACAAACTCTGGTTCTGTTCCAGGGCATCATGGGTTTGGTTGTGAGCGTCATCATTCTCGGGGCCGCGAAACAGTTTGCCGCTGGGTTCGTTCCAGAGGAAGTTCGCAGGGCGAGCTTGACCTACGTCCGCATCAGCTCTTTCTCCGTATTTAGCGCAGCGTTGGAGGTCGCCGTGACCAACGCGGCCAGAGCGCTTGACCACCCCGACGTGCCGTTTCTCATCAGCGCCACACGCTTTGCCATCAATATTGTTTTGGACTTGCTGATCCTCTCCCGTTTTCACGTGGGTTCATCCAAACCCACCGTCAATATACAAGCGACAATTCGACTCGGGTGTGACTTTGCTGCCGCATTTGCCGGCCTCGCATACTTTGCCTTCATCGTATTCGGACTTCGAAGGAAGAGCAGTGACCTCCAAGGCCTACCGGTGCCCCGTTCAAGTCTTAAGGCATTGAAAGTGCTTCTGAGACCTGGGGTCTTGACATTTGCCGAGTCTGCGGTGAGGAACACATTCTATCTCTGGCTTGTCAGCAATATCGTCTCCATGGGTGCAGACTATGCGACCGCATGGGGCACCTTTAACACGATTCGTTGGGGTCTTGTTATGGTTCCGGTCCAGACACTGGAGGCAACCTCGAACGTATTCACTGGACATAAATGGGGTCAATGGAGGAAGAAAGTGGGCATCGACCTCCAGAAAGCCAAGGCGAGCTGGAAGCAGCTTCGAGGTACGCATTCTGCTCCATCACATCTCCTGAAACTGTGGCTGACCCGGTGTGAGCGCCTGCAGATATAGCCACTCCCGCTCTTACCGCAGTAGCAATTGCACTCGCAGTCGAGGTTCCGCTCTGCATCTTCCTGTCTCTATTCGGGTGCAAGCCTTTTGCATATTATCTCTCTGGGTCGGACAGCGTGGCGTCCATCACAGCACACATGTGGCGAACCATCGACTGGTGCTACATCTTCTACGCGCTCAGCACAGAGCTGGCAACGATCCTCTTATCGACAGTGCCCAGATGGTACTTGTACCAGTCGCTGGTGTCCAATATGTTTTACGTCCTACCCTGGGCGATCGTGTGTCAAGCGGCACATCTCAACTCTTCGGATGCTTGGAGCTACCATGCCTTTGTGTTTGGGGGGAGCCTAGTTTTTAGCTTTTTTGATGTGCTGCTGTTTGTGTTGCTGTGGGCGTGGAAGTTGAGCCGGGGGACACTCAGCTTTGACAAGGTAAGACTTGTGTGAAAGCAAATCAGGTCAAACAGGTTCGAGATGGCAGAGGACAAGCAAGCACTCGAGTCTCGGGAAGCATTTAGAGGTCGAGATCTGATGCAACGTGATGTAAGATTCTGTGGGATCACTTGAACACTCTTTGGTACCTTCTTCTCTCCCCCGCCCTCATTCGGCCTCTATATCTCCCATCGCTTGAGCAATTCTCTTTAGCGCCTCTTCTATGTACGACCGTGGGTGACTGAACACAATGCGAAAGAGCCCCGGAGTCTCTGCCCCGAAGACCGCGCCACCACCTAGGAACACTTTGTTCTTCATGAGCAGTTGCATGATCTGGACACTCGTACCATTATCAGCCTGCTCTTCACCAGCATCTCGCCGCCGCTCGGGGTGTCGTTCCAAGTAGGCCTTTCCAAGATCCACCCAGAGGAAAAATGCAGCATTGGCACCCGGGGTGTACGGGATATTATGCTTGTTGAGAAACTCAACGACAAGACTGTACGACTTGGCCAGCCGGGTTTGATTGGTTTGGATATAGTTGTCCACCCAAGGATCGTCTTCGAGTATGTTGGCAGCGATATGCTCTGCGACGGATGACGCATAGGAATAGATTGCGACCTCGAGCAGCGCCTCGCGGAAGGCTTCGTTATACTGCGAGATAATATATCCAACACGGAGACCGTTGGCACCAAAGTCTTTGCTCATGCCCCACAGGACGTGGACGAGGAGGGGATCAATAATGCCCTCTGGTGCGATGGATAGGATAGACGTAAACTCGACAGGGGGAGGGGATGAATCGTGACGATTCTTCCAAGTGGAAAAGGCATATATCTCGTCGCTGACCAAGTGAATCTGGTACTTCTTGCACAGACGCATGTAGGCGACAAGGGCTTCGCGAGAGTAACATCTCCCGAGTGGGTTATGCGGGGAGCACAACATGAGGGCTTTCGCGCGGATGCCCCGCTCTCTCGCCGCCAGAATGGTGCCTTCGTATTTGGCGACGGCCTCGACGCTCATCGGATCTACAGAGGCAAACGAAACCGTGAGCGCCTCAACGCCGGGCCTTAGTGAGATGTCCGGAATGAAAGCTCGGTAGTATGGGCGGCCCAGGAGAAAGCCGTCTCCAGGGTCACAGAACGCCCAGGAGGTATGCTCGATCGCGTGAGAGACGCCATTTGTGACAATGACATGCTCCATCTCCAACGGAAGAACTGGATGCAGCCGCCGATTGAGGAATCGAGCCACTGCATTTCGAAGTCGCTTGGATCCCAGCGGCCCATCGCCGTAGGTGAATGCTGTTTGCGGCACATGGGTACTGGTTTGAATGTAGGCTTCCAGTTCAGCGTGCATCAGGCTGTTTTCCGCGACGCCGACATTGACATACCCGCCTGGATTAGAGGAGGGGTGCCACTGGTCAGAATAGACATGCCATAGCGGAGATTCAGGGGGATTTGCGCACTCTTGGGCACGACGTGAGAGGGTAGACCGACCCAAGGAAGTGCCGGACATGTTGGGCAGAAAAAGTGTTTGCTATGAGGTGCTGTGTTAGAAAGGACAAGAAGGAGCAGCGGAAGAGATCAGAACAGATGGACAATTCCTTCGGACTACATGGTCAAGACCCATCCAGCTTTACCTCTACTTTTTCGGTCGAGACTTTCCGAGGCGATCTGCACGTGGAATGCGATGCAATGGGAAGTTTACGTTCCGTAACGCGCCCTGTGATTCAACATGTGGCGTCCGAGGGCGTACAATTTGGTGGTGAGCATTGGAAGCAGAGCCCATTGAATTGATGCGCAGATCGACCATGCTCTCCAGACAGCTGGCGCCCTCTACGAGTGTGTCATCACGTCCTCCGTAATATTCTGAAGAGGCAGTACGAGCTCGCGAGGTATCCCAAGGAGCAGGTCTCCGCCAAGCTGCCAATGCCGGACCCGCCAAGCCTACTAGCGGTGTCTTTTGTTTATCTCGCCGCCCGAATTGGATCCCGCATCTTGTACCCAGTACCTCGTATCTCCATCTCGACTTGCTTGGACTGGATGTACTGTAGCTTCCTCTCTCCGCCATCGACCCTTCTTCTTCACCTCAACTACGAATAATCCTCACTGTCGAATTGCATAAAGCTCTCACATCCTTACCATGGCTCCAGCAAGCTCTCGCAAAAGGAAATCCGATGAAATGGACGAACCGGCCGCTGGTACTGTCACCCCCTCCCGCAGTCCGGTGCGCAAGAAGATGAGAATCACACAGCAACAGAAGCAAGCATTGATGGACAACCTGCAACTCGAAAGTGAGATACTTCGGTCTATTCCGTGATCGTTCCTGACTGGTGTCTAGTAACCGAGCGAGCGCGACAGCTGAGAGCAGGCTATGCTCTTCAATGTGCCGATCTGCGAGCTCGCGTTGAGAGACGCGTCAACCGCATTCCTCTCTCCATCCGCAAGATGACCATGGGAGAACTGATGCAACAACATGAATCTTCAAAGGCCATGCAGAACCGCCCTCGAGCATCACCTCCCAACCCCAAACCAACAACATCAGTTGAAGTGCCTGCACCAAAGCCGCTACCTCCTCTCCCGCGAGAAAGTGGCACAGCTAAGCTACCTTCTCCACTTCGATCGCAACCACAACCTCCAGCCACCCGAGGAGGCAAAAAGCGCATGAGCCCTCTAATTCAGATTGCTTTGGATAAAGTGAGCGAGCACGACCCGTCGGAAGCCGCGCCAGATACCCTCCCGGTGACCAAGAATACGAGGCGTGGCAAAGCAACAGCACCGGCACGCCCGACTTCTCGCGCGGCTGCGAAACAAATCTCGGTTCTATCTCCACGCTCCCACAACTCTCGCACTCTGCCTCGCTCGCCAATAAAAGACCCCTACCTCCCACCTTCCCCTGCGAAGAACATGCTCATCCGCCCAACAACGACCGCCATTTCTCCAATTCGCCCAGCGTCCCCACTGAAATCGGTCGCCACAGCAGCAACATCCGCCATTTCAGCCGGCGTGCACGGCATGATCGAACAGGCGAAAAGAGGAGGTACTGCCACCGCCGCGAAACTGACCCGGACGGCGTCCAAGGAGAAGAAAGAAGCTACTGCGACTGCCAAAGCCCAAATGCTCCCGCCTCCGAAACCGAGTGCTCCACCTTCTCCGCAACGTGCATTCAGCCAGGCAAGCACTCACAGCATCTCAACCGATCTTTCTGTGGCCTCAAATGGCACTACTGTCGTCAAGCCGAAGCGAGGAGGTAGAGCTGCCACTGTCAAGGCTACCGCACAGTCAAAGGATCCCGTTGCTATAGACAAAAAGAAAGGGGGCATGGCAAGGGCTGCTAGTGCGGCTAAGACGGCGCTGAAGAGGAACGCCACTGCTCCTAGCACTACGGCGACAAGTAAAAGAGTGGTGGTTGCGGAGCCGGCGGCGGGAAGAAGGGTGCTGCGGAAGAGGACCTGAGAGAGAGATGTTGACATTGCAGGCTTTTCAGAATAACACGGGAATGAAACCAAGAAATGGCAAAAGCATATAAGGATGGGTGCCAAGTTTGGCGGTGGGAATTGGATTGTGATGTGCGCGTATGGATGGGATGGGATGCCCTTTGCAACGACTATCCCCTTCATGTCGATTACTGCGTCCTCTGCACTCCATGGGTAGAGGACGGAGTACCAGTGCTCCAGCTAACTGGGTTCATGTCAAAACCGAGAAGAATCAATTGATTGCATTGCTTGTTTGCTTGTATGTTTCAGCTTCCTAATCACAGAAGTTTAAGACCACATTCGATACCCTGGATGAACGCCAATCAGTAAGAACGGAGTACAGGAAAATACAAGACGATGCCCACTAGACGGATGAAGAGAATGTCCAGGTTGCGCGCGCCCACTCTGCACAGTCCCTTTGGTTGGAAGGTTTGTTGTTTTTCGACATCAAGCTGAACTCATTCTGGAGTCTGCTATTTGGAAAAATGCTGTGTTCAGACAAGGGTAAAAAGGCTGATTTTCGTCCCATATCAATATTCCAGCTCCGAAGCTCCATTCCAACATTCCCTTGGTTGTTGAGAACTTTCTGTTTTGAAGATGTGATGATGTGATGATGTGCACCTCTTTCGGCGTGTCCATCTCTCCTTAACTCGTACAAAAGCGCCCGAAGAAGATGTGCTTTTTTTTTTTTTTTTTGAAGTATCCAGCCAGATCAACTCTAGTAGTCCAGCTCTGCACCGTCACCAGCCTGCGCCGCCGCAGCTGCGCCAACATTGCCTCCGCTACTGTTGGGTTGAGCATCAAGATCCTCGTAGCTCTTGATGCTTCTGCCTTGAGTCGCCTCTCTTGGTCCCATAGCGTTCATGCCACCACCTGCACCATCTCCCCATTTGCCACCACCTCCACCTCCACCCTGGGCAATGAATCCGGGAGTGAGACCGGGGACAAGGTTGCCTCGCAACATGCCCCCCATGTTGTTGTACCCACGTTGACTGCCTCGTTGATTTCGATCATATGGTCCAGGCCGATTGCCGTATCTGCCTCCGCCACGTCGAATGGGGCCACCGGTATGTCCTCCGCTTCCATTCATACCTTCCGTGCTGAAGTTGACCCCAGGCACGAGTGGACCATGAACATTCTGCATATTCATCATCGCATTCTGTCCGAAATTCATCATGTTCATCCCTATGTTTTGGAGGCTGAAACCACGAGGAGTGCCATTGTTTAGATGATGGTTTTGAGGGAGAGGGAAATGGCCATTGGAGTTGGCATCGGACCGCGACGGTGCGATATGCGAAGGGTCTAGAACGTATGTGTTGACAAGTTGAAGCTTGGATTGTCAGCACTTGGGGATCGTGGGGTGAGCAATTGAAAACTTACATCTTTCTTGAGAGCCAGATACCACTCTTCGTGTCGCTTCTCCACGTGTTTCCGCCAGAAATGCTCGGCTTTGAACAGCTTCGTGCATTCGGGCACCCGACACCGGAATTTGGCCTCGTCCTCTTGCTTGACAAACTTCGCCAGCTCTTCATCTAATGCTTCCTCGACAGGCTTGCCTCCAATCTTCTTCAAATCCACATACTCGGGTTCTAGAATTTGCAGGACCTTCTCCTCAAAAGTCTTAACCCAGTTGAACGCCCGAAGGAGCTGCTGATCGTTTTTGTTGAACTTCTGAGTGCGCCTCTCTTGGACAGGGCTAAGCGGCTCATCATCTATGCCATTCTCACTTCGGCCGTCTTTCTTCTTGCCCGGGAATGGCTCGCCGAGTGCGCTCGCTCTGGCCGCAGCCTTGGCTGCCGAGCTCAAACCAGCCCGCGGTCTCCGAAGATGGCCACCAGGGCACTTTCGGACCAATTCGTGAACGGAATCGGATTCGAAGACGCAAAACAGGCAGAAGTTGAAGACTCGGCGGAGATACTCAACCATCAGATCAAGCTTCTTTTTGATGACCAGCAACTCTTCGTCATCCTGTTCATCTTCGTCCTCTTCACCTTCTTCGCCTTCCTCTTCAAACTTAATCTCGTCATCGTTGTCTTCGAAGTTTGGCTTTTTGGGTTTCGGCGGAGGCTGTAAAAGACCCTGATTTCTCATTTGCTCCGCTCGAGCATCAATCCTCGTCAAAGCCCCAGAATGCTCATCCTTGCCTAGTTCGGCGTCGAGCTTAGCGACAAGTCGTCTCGCAAGTTCGTGATCTCGCTCGATCCGTTCTGGCGCAGAGAACAGATCCCAAAGAGCCTTTTTCCGTGGTGCACTTGGTGCGTTGTGGATGCCAACATGGCAGGTAAAGTCGCCTCTCACTGGATCAGTGATGGTCTTGCCGTTGATGAGATCAAGAGCTTTTTGAGCCGGGGTGATTTTCTCCGGCTGAGGCTTCTCTTCGCCCTCTTCACCATCTTCTTCCCGGCCATCACCCCGCTCAATGTCCTGCATAACATCGCCGTCTTCTTCCGGAGCAGGATTCAACATGATCCAGCCGATACGATGGAATTTCTTTGCCGGATTGGGGTCGCTCAATGATAAGCCCTTGAATCCCCCCGCCTCCTCCCCCAGATGTTCTTTGCAGAACTCCTCAATGCGGTCACGGCCGACGTTAGGTGCAAGCGTCTTGATGAGCAAAGCGGGCTGTTGAACAGATTCATCTTTCAGATCACCGCCTTTGGCAGGGACAAGGTCCAACACGCCTAAGACTTCACCACCACCAACAGCTTCACCTTCTTCTTTCTCCACCATTCCACCGGCCCCATCGCTATCGTTCTTGTAGATTCCTTCAAGAGTAAAGTCATCGAAGACTCCAGTTTCCAAGTCTTTGACCCATTGGTCGAAACTTGGTTCTCGGGACTCCATCAGACGCTTCCGAATCGGGTCTCGCACTTCTGGAACGTATCGTTCTTTGAACCATTCTTCACCCTTGTGCTGCTGAACAAATTGCCTCGCCATCTTCACCTGAAACTCCTGTTTGTATAGGTCATAGGCCTGCTGAATTTGTGCCCGCTCCTTCTCGCGGTCTTCTTTGGCTTCGCGTTCACCCTTGACACGATCTGAAGGACGTCTGCCACCATGCTTAGCTCGTTCTTTCTCTTCTTTGACTTGTTGTTCAAACCGCCACCAATCTGCGAAAAAGCTGAAACCCGCCTGCGTGTCCAGAGCTAGGGGGTTGGCGAGAGGATTGACCTTGACAACAGGCTTGCTGGATTCTTGACCTGGAACATATCGATCGATATTTGCAGCAGTGGGCGAAGGTGCTCTTCTGCGATCATCCCGTTCTCTTGCGTCTCTCGTATCTCTCGTATCTCTTGCACCAGGTCTAGTGCCCTCCCTCAAGTTATCGCGCGAGACTCGATCTCGGTCCCGGTCCCTATCTCGGTCTGGTTGGTAACGATCAATAGCTACCGGGGAGCGTGAACGGTTGCGTGGATCAGGCCGACGTCGATCGTTGCCTCCTGGGCTAATTGTGAGCCATGAATTGGATGGGAACATGTGCTTTGCTTACCAGGGGATCTTCGTCGGTATGAGTCGCCCCGTTCATAAGACTCATCCCGTCCACGGTATCTGGGGGGCGATCTGTCATTTGTTGGAGAGCCATAGGCCTCGTATGGATTCATTTTGTTTCGAAACTTCGAGCCTTGCGGTAAACAATCCTTCTCCGTCCAGATAACGAAATGGCCTAGGTGAAGCCCACCAATGCGCTATGTCATTTGGAGAACTAGAGTGCAGTGCTGACCGTAACAATGCCGATTCAGGTGATGTGGTCTCCGAGTCGCCGAGATTTCGAGGTAGGGTAGCTAAGAGTAAACATGGCAGAGGTTAGAAATGACTGAGGTGATAACGAATTGGAGGACGACATTGAGAAATGAGTAGAGGCGCGGGTCAAAGAAGGAAGAAAGCTCGCAGGCATCGAGTGCGCCTATCTGAGAAAAAGATGCAGGCCAGCAATAGTAACAGTATATAAGTGGAATGGTAGAAGGTGGACTCTGACCCAGCGTCGAGACAGTTCGGCGACTGGAGAGGTCAAAGTAAAGGGCCGCAAATCGTGGCGGCAGAGAGATGATGGCGCGATGGCAGGAAGAACAGAGGTAGTGAGCTTACAAGATTTAAAGCAAGGAGTTGGTTGCACGCTGGTATCGCAATGCAGCACCAAGTGCTGTTGATGAACGATGAGAAGTTGGATGAACGACGAACCGCGGCGTGAAACCCTCTTGACCCTCCCCAACTTCCCAAGGCGAGCTGAGGCGGAGGCGCAGTTGGCTGCGAAAGAGCGCGATTGGTTGCTGGGTGGGAGGAGGCAAAAGAGGCACAATCCTGTAGCACGTGATATGGCATGGCATTTCCGCCTTTTTGTTTCTGGAGACATGGCTGGCAACATTCATTAGATTTAATCGTCTACATCCATATTCATATCCAGCCCTGAAGTACCAGTCTCGCTTGGCCATTGGGCTCAACGCTGGACATGCTCGCCTGTGGGCATTCCTTTTGCGAACCATTCTGTAAGAAGCTCCCAGTCTCGGTCATCCAAGGCAGGCTCGCCGCTCCCATACTGGGAGACCAAATGGCCAGCCAGGCTTCCGCTGCCTGCTGCCTTACTCCCCCCTCGCTGACCAGGCTCATCAACCCAACCCTTCTCTTTGAGGATCTTGTCTCGATTTTCAATGGACGGCTCGTCCGTGAAGCGTTTAAGTAGGTCGAGCTCGGACTGGTCTAGGACAGCGTCCGGCGTTTCGTGGAAGTTAATGATCGAGCAGGCAAGCCTGTGCGATCGGATTTGCTCGCCGGTGTGCCCTGTCAACTTATCAGAGAGGTACGTTGACATTATAACCTCCTAGGTACCTACAAGTCCCTTGTGTGACAGACATTATCGCGTTTTGGCACTTCGCAGTTACTCCTTGTGTCCTTCCGGATCCCTCGGGATTTTGAGGATCTGGAACATGAAATGGCCATTGCTGGGGTTTTATTACCACTACAGTTTCAGACGCCCTGCAACGTACAAACACGGGACGGTCGCCAGAGAGACCATTGCTTCACCAATCACAAGCGGATGACATCTGCGTTATGATGCATGGCCCAATGGCCCCACAAGCGGCAAATCCGCCCCCAGTCCACGAGCTGCACATTCCAACCTCTCCGTCGCACTCTTCCATCCACGTCCTGTGTACGGAACACGGAGTATTATATGGAGAACTATCTCGGGTCCCCCGTCCTTTTGGGCTGGCCCAATATGGAGGCCATATCTACGTCCCGTGGAAGTCGGGGTCGTGTCGTCAGCAATACTGATCTTCTTCAGCTGCATAAAATAATTAGCTGTGAAATACAGAAGTAAACCCATTTGATGTCTACATTTGAGCATTAGATGCTGTCCAAGGCAATGTCAATCAATGGTACAACCTCTCTTTCCTCACAGCCGCAATGCCTCCGTCGGCGTTGACAATACCCAGAGTGGTGAACGCGATCGTGTTTGCCATTTGCAGATTTGACCAGCATGTACATAACGTGACTGGCGAATTCGTGTCATAGAGCGCGGATCCACCCTCTGGGGGAGGACATATGAATTTTCTTTCACTAGCATGGATATATTTCCCAACACATCCGGCAACAATGTTCGGATAGTGTGAAGACGGGTGTAGGCAGGGACTGCATTGGAAAGCCATCTTACCATTGGTCAACCACCGCGAAGGGCACAGAATGCTAGGTGAAAGGGCATGAGTACAGAAGCCAAAGAGGAATGCGTTTATGAAGCTCGAGAACGTCAGACAACATGTTCTGTATATGCAAACCTGAAGAGCAGTCACTCTAATGCGAGAGGCTCGATATAACGCCACAGTTGAGTCAGGCGTGTTGCCTAATACCTGAAGTGTTAGCGGGCCAAAGAAACAAATGGCCAATTTCAAAGCCGATGCTCGGAATGTTGGAACCTACGCCGAGATCGCCGGATCATGTATGTAGTGCGCAAAAGCCGATTCTTATATATAGCATCATTTCATAAATATTGTGGGGTCATTGAATTGCGGACACGTTGACGGTGTGTCCTGCTCACGAAGAGTACGATATCAGGCCGATTTACTTGTCTCAAAAAGAGACCACCTCCACATAGATGCCATGTCATGAAAGAGCCCAGAGATATCCCCCAAAATCTTCTCGCGATGTGAAGACACGATTCTCATTATGACTCCTTCTTTTCAGTCTCTTGCTGATTTTCAGCTTCTTGCTTGATCGTCCATCCGTTGAGATGGCCGGTCCCGGCTGTCAAATATGTTGCGAATCCCAGCCAGGCAAGATATGGCGTCATCAAATACGCGGCTGTCTCGTCGACCTTGTGCCACACATAGGTCATGTAACCCACAGTGCCGGTCAGGGTGACCACGTCGAGCATGGCTTCAATCGGTCTGCCTAGGCCGAAGAATAGAGGCATCCAGATGAGATTCAAGCCCAGTTGTATCGTGTATAATGTGGCCCCTCTTCTTGCATTTTCCACTGTCTGGGGATTCGGGCTTGCCATACCGATCGTCCAGACACGATGAGCGGCGTAGCCCATGATCAAATAAAGGGAAGACCAAGCTGGAGCGAAGACCCAAGGCGGTGGTCTGAAGGGAGGATGCTTCAGAGCCTTGTACTGGTCTTGCGCGCTCCTGAACTTTCCTCGCTCTGTCGCAGCCTGGTCTGAGAACCTCTTAGGAATTAGTTTTCCGGGTTGGGAGACGAGACCGGATCCCAAGCCCAGTCCGACGGGGAGAAGAATCGAGATGGGGGCATTGGAGAAGACGGACGCAGGGAGCGTGAGACCTGGAACGTAGGCCATCACTGCGGCTAGCTTAGGAGGATGTGATTTCTGGAATGTTGCAGAGACACAAGGATGGCCGACTGTCCAGGAGGTACCGAGTACGGAGTCTCAACTCTGCTCTTGGGGAGAAATGTGCTCGGAATTGAGAGAGACTGAAGGCGATGATCAAAAGATATTGCTGCAATAGCTATCAGGTGAGAGGAATGTTTTGGGTTCCTCATCAGGTGAGCCGAGCGTTGTCTGGGTCGCGAGTCGTGGCTGCAGGATGACGCACGTTCCAGGGCTTCCAATATGTTGGGGAAGCCAGGGAAGCCTCACCAGCCTCGAACCGTGCCCTTCTCGCCTTGTCGAACCTACCTATCTCGCTATGTACCTCGTACGGGGCCTCTGTTTCTAGATTCGGACAGCAGCAGCCACGCCCGGTCGTTCAGTCGGGAAGGAAAAACTGATTTTCCCAAGATGTAAATTGATCTATCAAGTATATGTGAGTTCATTTGCTGTCGCTCAATTATATCGATCACCACGGTGATCAGGCAAATGCTCCCACTATCGCCATCAATAGCCCTCCCAAGCCCACAGCGAGACATGCTTCGATCCTTCGTTTGCCCTTCAAAACCTCATAGCTCTTTTCACTAAGGAAGTCCTCTGCGATCAATTGCACCAGCCCAGCAAAAAGCAAAAGACCACTGGAGATGGCATTCGTGATACCGACCATCAACAGTCCCACCTTGCTCGCAGGGTCATACAAAGAGTGCAAGACGATTCCCATTGCCTGGCCAATGGGTGTTGTCGCGCCATACGCGAGAGCCATTAGCCAGGGTTTGGGCGAAGAAGCGTCGAACAGCGCAGGTATGAGTGCCGCAATGCGCGAGCCGAGCGCAAATCCTTCAAAGGTCTGATGGAAGCAAATGGCGATAAGCAGGACAGCGAATTGCGTGCCTTGCGCAACGGAGACGGCCATGCCGATGAAGATGCTGTGGAAGAGGATGCCGGCTTCAAGGAGCAGGCACTGGAGAAAGAGACGTTGGGGGTTCTCGTCATCTTTGGAAGAGTGACCATGAAAGTTGTTTTCATGCTGGGAGATTTTGCGCCTGTGCGGGTTACTCAATGTTGCGGATTCGTCGGTGGCGGGATCGAGGTCGTCCAGGTCCAAATCCGAGTCGCTGGACGCCGAGTCGCGAGGTATCGGTGATGCATCTGTATACGGCGTTGTTGGCACTTGCAGGCGATCTAATGGAATATGTCCATTGCCATAAGTAGACGATCCTCCTTCTCCTGTGGACTGTTCTCGGGCAATCTTTTCCCACTCAGCCGCGTGACTGTGTCCGGCCCCTTTGCTTGCAAAGAACATTTCAATGCCCACTACCATGAATACCGACAACATGGCAATAAGCCCGGGCATTTGCGGGTATGTCTGTGTCCAGAAGTCCGGCAGACAAGGATCGGTCATGGATATAAATGCGGTAGGGAGGAGATGGATGAATGCCGTTGCGATGAGGACACCTGTACCGAAATGCCTGGAGAGGAAGAGAAAGCGGTGCGGAATGGGGAGTTTGGGAAAGCGGCGAGCGATGATAGGAAAGGAGCATGCTGTGCGTATGTCAACATCAACGGTCATGTTCGAGGGAGCTGCTATCTGGACGCACCGAGTGTGCTCAATGCTAGGATGAGGAAGAGGGCAAAGACGTGGATACTGGTGTTGTAGGTACCACGTCTTCCCACCGTTCCGCATGCCGGCCTCGCGGGCGCATCTTGTCGTCTCTGCAGCTCTGCATGGAGGAGATCGAGGGGTAGCCTGCTCAATAGAAGTCCACGGTCATCTGCCAGTAGCCGTCAGATTTGATATTGGCGCTTGGTAGCAGCGGAAGAGCAAGGATGACGACCGACCTCGAGCAGCGAGCCCATAAGGCTCGCGATGCATCACTCGTACGCTTCTTCGCTGAGCGAGTTAGATTGTCCATAAACGCAGTAAGAATTAAGTCTTGTCGTGCGTTTGCACGACCGCCCTGGCTCTTCAGAAGGAATCTTGCCGGCTACATACGCACACAGTACCTCGTACTGGGTACTTGGTAGGCATTGCAAAGGTGGATCGCTCGGCGACAAGGGGTCCTCGCGGAGCCAATCCGGCCTTCCCGAAATAGCCATAAATTCGTGATTGATAATGTAAAGTCCCGCAAAATCAACCATCAAGTTCGCTTGAACTCCTGATGGTGTAGTTGGTTCATCACGTTCGGCTGTAATTGAGTAATTGTTACCGAAAGGTCCCTAGTTCGATTCTGGGTCAGGAGAGTGCAGCCTCCCTTCAGGGAGAGCCATTTTTTTCCCCTTGTCACTACAGAAGTGAGAAAAAATTGAGGTGAGTCGAAAATTTTGGTTTGTGCGGACCGAGGCAGGAACAAAAACACAAAACACCTTCTAATTTCCATCTTCGATCTCTGTAGCAGTAACCTAGATATACAAATTCCAGAGCGTGTTTTCATCCGGCCGAATCTGCTCCTAACAATGAAATTTGATGTTTGAAATTTTTCACGTGGTCATCATCCTCACATCCTCGGATATGAGGCACAATTATCTCCTGGTTGACCAGGTCCAGAAAGTGCAAGGCCTTATAAAACCCAAAGCTGCATCATTCCCCTTGTTGCACAGTCACTACAATTAACCTCATACGCCTTGAGGTTCTCACCTTCATGACTTATGCTTCTCCTTCTCCGGGACTTCGGCTCCTTCGACAATTTCTACACAAGGAATCGGTTAGTCTTCTGTTTTGACGCATAAATAGGCTGGTTACCCGCCTTTTAACGTCACAGGTGTCGGGTGTAATTCAAGACCCAGCTGCTCATCCAAACGCTTGCGGTGTTCAGGATCACTGGTATCCACCACGATCACCTTCTGGTACTTCCCCTTTCCGTGTTTCATGTCGTCGGCTTCGATCAGTGCCAATAGAAGCAGCGCGGACAATGTCGTCGCTTGGGCCAGCACGCGAGCCTGAACAAGTTTTCTCACGCCTGTCTCCAAAGGATCCCGGCCAAATAGCCGCAGACTGCCTAGCATCGACAGCGCCCAAGTGGTTCCCAAAACGGGAATTTTGTGTTCATATAGCCATTCCCGTGACAGCTCTTTCCTACTCTCGCCGATATGGCTCCTTTCAAATAGTTCTCGTCTTTCCTCGAAATATTGTTTGGTTTCTGGGTGTACCCGAGACTCGAACGCGTGGCTCCCGTGGTTGGTCCCGTAGCTGATAGCAAAAATGGTAGGGTATATAACAAGAGTAGATCGCACAGCCGGAGAGAGATGCCTAAAGGGTGCGGAATATCGACGTAGGGCCGCTGTAGCTGCGATGCCGAGTAGGAAACCACCAACGCCAGCAGCTACCCCAGAATTGCGGACATGGGCGTAGTAATCCTGCTCTTCCTCTTGTGCCAGGATCTTCATTTTTGCTTTTGCTCGAGGGATATGGCGATCGCCCACAAAGACCTCCAGCCGCCTCTGGGCTCTTTATAGCGGATCATTATACCTTGTGAAATATCAATAGGGACTCCGACGCAGCAATCAGCCAACGTCGATCATTTGTTTACAGAGTGGCGTGAGGTAGCTCCATCGGAGCATGTTGCGCTCAATCGAATCGTGCATTGGCGAATTCCAGTGCTCTCATTTGTGCCTGCGTCAAGCAAAGGTCGTACGATCGTTATTCGGATACCGACTGCCGAGAATCTGCCCGTCTGATGACCATTCGTCAGATGCCGGAACTGGCGGATCGAGCCAGGTAAGTGAAATTCAAGACGTCCTGCAAACTTAGAAGATGAATCCTGCAAGCCTTGAGGCATAGCATATACTTAGCTGGCGTCACCCTACCTTCATGCATGCTCCTTTAGGTTATTACCATCAGACCAACATGCGGGCAAGGGGTTTAAATACAAGGAGTTGTCCTCACCGCAGTCTAGATTGCAAAATGTCAGACATTGACCGGTGTGCATGTGTTTAGCACGTGCGCATTTACCTTTCGCGACCTCCGATGAGGACGAACAGATACAAAGATGTGCTTCTGCATAAGAACCAAAGAAGAAATTTGTAATGGCGTCGTCCGCTTTTCTACTGACCCTGCCAATTCTCATCCGCGGTGAAGGATCGATAATGTTCCAGCATCTGCTCCAGGCAGATCAGTTCGACGCAGAAGTTGTTCTTCGAGTCTTGCTCCAATTGCAATTCGCCAACCCCGCACATCTGTCAAACCGTAGGGAATAATGGCTGGGTCATGAGCCTGCCTATTGTACACAAGTCCTCAATATGGATAGCCGAGTCAGGCCAGAAAGTTCTCACAAGATGCCGAGCAGACAGACCCTGTCCGAGGCTATGGTTGACCATGGATCTTGTTATACATGTCCGGCATAGTGACAACCAGCAACGCAGATCTTCGTGTTCCATCAACACGAGTCACCAAGGTAGGAAAGATGAAAGCGGCTCGTTACTATGGCAAGCGCGACATCAGGATTGAGACAGTTCCCGATCCGCCGCCACCGGGGCCCAACCAAGTAAGTCAAACTCAGGCAGATCTTTTACGAACGCTTCTTCTACCTACCCATTGACACCGCTAATCGACCTAGGTGACGATCGACGTCTATTGGGGTGGCATCTGTGGTACTGATCTCCATGAATATACGTCTGGCCCTTTCACAATAAACACACCCGACCAACCCCACGGCATAACCAAAGACCATCTTCCTGTCACCTTCGGTCATGAATTCTGTGGCCGTGTCTCCGCGCTGGCCTCAGGGTATCCTGCCGACGGCCCCCTCAAACTTGGGACGCCCATAATGGTCGATCCGCGGATTGTCTGTCGGAAATGTACAGCGTGCACAAGTGGGTGTGATAATATGTGTGCAAATTGGGGATATATTGGCCTCAACGGCGGCGGCGGCGGTGGTGCGGGCTTCAGTGAGAAAGTCAACGTTGAGACGAGGATGTGTCATGTTCTTCCTGATGACGGGAGCGTTGATCTGAATAGCGTTGTCCTTTGTCAACCCTTAACCGTAGGGCGCCATGCTCTTTCTGCGAGCGGGATTACGGACTTTGCAGGGTTGAACGTGCTTGTGCTTGGGGTTGGGCCCGTAGGATTGGCGGTCCTGCTAAATCTGCGGGCGAAAGGGGTGGGCACCGGTCTCAGTGGGAGGGTGTTGGTCTCAGAGCCAACGGCCAAGAGGAGTGAGGTGATTCGAAGGCTCGGACTGGCTGGGCCCGAGGATCTTTTGGATCCGCAGGCGTCCAATGTGGCAGAGATCTGTAGAGCGAGGACCGGAGGGAGAGGGGTCGACATTGTGTTTGACTGTGCCGGCGCAGAGGGGGGCATGCTAGCAGGCATGGAAAGCTTGAGACTGAAGGGAACCTACCTCAACATCGCCGGATGGAAGCAGCCGTTCAAGGTGCCGATGCAGTTTGCTTTCTACCGGGAGCTAACCATCAAGTTCTCCATGGGAAATAATGATAATGATTATCGGGAGGTGGTGGAGGATTTTGTGGCGGGCAAATTCGCTGGAGCTGAGGCTCTGATTACGAGGAGGCTCCCTGTTGAGGATTTGGCAGAGAAAGGTTTGGAAGAGCTGGTGAGGAACAAAGACGACCATGTCAAGATTGTCGCAACATGGAGGAAAGACCTATTGAATCCGTAATCAACTCGTTGATGTTGGGATAGCCGTGAATCTCAAACTAGGCCATTGCTTCGACTGAAAGTCCTTCCTTTGATCTAGGCGCTTGAAGGCGAAAGCTAGTGGCACCTGCCTGAATCGCGCGTATGAAATAAATCCGGCGCCTCTTCAATTGTACGATATTTGGCCGTCGGTGTCGCGGGAATGAGTGGAAGATCAAGGGTGAGAGAAGGCTTCGTATGTACAATCCAAGACTGTGGTCTCGAGAAAAGCAAATCAGCGCGGAAGGAAAAGATTCCGAACATCCAAGCCTGTTGCTTCGGAATCGCCCTGATAGCCACAACAGCGAGCGCCGCTGAGAGGTTCCCGATGGAGCCATCGGAAATGGGACCGGAAACGTTCCAAATTCTGGCTGGGCGAATGCGGAGTCCGTCGATGTAATTATGTGTGAAGCTGCAAACGACGAATGACACTTGCGGAGTTTGTTGTCGTAGGATTGTTGTACGCAGCGACGCCTGTATCTTCCATCCAGTACAATAGGAATCGGGTACATATCTCAGCCTCGCGGAAGCATTTCGGCCCTCCAACCCGTGTCTCTGGACCGAGTACAGAGGGCAGGTCCTTATAATATTGAGGGTTGAGATTCGCGTCGACAGCGTTCTCAACATATATAAATGCACAAAGAATTATGCCCCCTGCTCAATGCCTTTCGATGATCACCGATCAGGTAAAAACACCGCAAGGCATAGCAAGAAAAATGTTCAAAAGCAGAGACTTCGAGATAGCCATCATTGGAGGTGGTATCGCAGGTGTGACCCTCGCTATAGCGCTTCATCACCGCCACATCCCCGTCACAATATACGAGCAAGCGCCTCAGTTCGGCGAGATCGGCGCAGGTGTTTCCTTCTCCCCCAATGCAGTACACGCTATGAAAGTCTGCCACGAGGGCGTGTACAAGGCGTTTGAAAAAGTCTGCACCCGCAATGTGTGGCCGGAGAAAAAGTATGTCTGGTTCGACTATCTCGACGGTTATGCGGGGCCAAATCCAGGACAAGAGAGGCAGGACATTGCGTTCACGATTAAAAATTCTTTGGGCCAGAATGGAGTCCATCGCGCGCATTATTTGGATGAGATTGTCAAGCTAATCCCGAGGGATATTGCCCGGTTTGGGAAGAAGCTCGCCGGTATCTCTGAAAATGTGAATGGAAGACTGGTCATGAAGTTCGTGGATGGATCAACCGCCGAAGCAGATGCTGTGGTCGGGTGTGATGGTATCAAGTCTCGGGTTAGGCAAATCATAGTCGGAAAAGACCATCCCAGTGCGCAACCGAGCTATACTCACAAGTATGCTTATCGAGGGCTAGCAAGGATGGAGGATGCTATCGACGCCGTTGGTGAAGAGCTGGCCATGAATGCTTGCATGCATGTGAGTCTACTATTTGCAGCCTTTGAGGTTATTCGATCGGTCCGCCTCAATTCCGTGCTGACATCCTGGACACGACAGATGGGTCCTAATGGGCATGTTTTGACGTTTCCAGTCAATCACGGCAACACACTAAATATCGTCGCCTTCAGGACGAGTCCAGATGATTGGCCAGATTCCCAGCAACTGACGAGACCGGCGAAAAGAGAAGACGCTTTGAGAGACTATAGCGGATATGGCTCAAACGTGATCCGACTGCTAAACTTGACGAAGCCTGATTTAGACGTGGTAAGTCGCAGTAGCACTGGAAGAGCAGAATCGAATAATACTGACAAGTTTGGAAGTGGGCAATCTTTGACCTGGGGGACCACCCCGTACCTACTTTTCACAAAGGTCGCATATGCATATCTGGAGACGCGGCACACGCGACATCTCCTCATCACGGTGCCGGAGCAGGCTTCTGCATCGAGGACTCAGCCGTCCTGGCCTCTCTGCTCTCCGATGAGCGCGTCCAGTCACCATCAGATCTAGAGGCAGTATTCGCGACGTTCAATGCTCGGCGCAAAGAGCGAGGGCAGTGGCTCGTTCAGAGTAGTCGGTGGATTGGAGATTGCTATGAATGGCGCGCTGATGGCATAGGTAGAGATTTTGCAAAGATCGAAAGAGAGATCAATGAACGGAATGGACTTATTGCAAACGTGGATGTGGATGAAATGTGCAAGGAAGCGGAGGAGGAGCTGCGGGTGAGGCTCGGATAATGCGGCAGAATATACGATTCAAAGAAATGTCTTTCTGCTGGGTTCGTGTCATATTGCGCGGTTTGAAATGGTGTAGACATGCTCGACCGATATCGGTTCGCATTGTGAGCAGATGAGGGTGTGTTGAGGAACGCCTTCATGCTCGGGTCGAGGATGAGGAAATTCACAAAATGTGTCTCAAACCTTTCGAAGGCTCCTGGGAAACTTTGGCGCGGTAGTGTGCTGGGGGGTGATAAACTGAGGAGCAGAAACTGAAATAACCCTGTCGCACGAGCGCAGTCCAAGCAAACACCCCGGTTAACCTTCTATTTTGGAAACGCCGTGCTGACCCTTAATTAACGCGAACAAGGCTACGTATAGCAGCGCAAGGTTAGAGAAGAACCTACGCCCATCAGTAGCCACGCCTGAGAGTCCCAGTACGTATGCAGCAATAGACAACTCCTTTACCAAAGTGTCTACCCAGCTATGGCGCTTGCTCTCTCTTCGTCTCTGCTGTCCTCGCCTCCAACCCGATTCATATCCAGAGGAGTCTCAGCAACACAGGGAAAGACACAAAATCGGCCAGCAAAGGAACTTCCTTTTGAGCTAGCACAACATGTACAGACCTACCTCGAAGAAGGCCTCTTCACCCAAGCATTCAGTTTTCTCCTATCCATATCCGGCAACAGTGCGTCAGCTATCTCTCATTTGGGGCCAGTGACGATTCCACCGCCGTCTCAGCTCGCTCTTACTGCCACACTAACGGTCCACCCTACAACAACATCCAGAACCAACTCACGCGAGAAGTGGGATCAGGCGAATGCCGCTCTTCAATTACTCAGACTGGTCCACACCCTCGTCGGACCTGTCAATGCCGACTTCACCACTGCATTTGCCTTCCGTAAATTTGACTTCAGATTCACGCGTCACAGTGAGCATCGTCTGGACGACGGCGAGGATGATGGGGGAGGAGGAGATAATCCATCCGGCGAAAATGATCTTAATACCACATACGCCCGCTCGCAGAGCCTTTGGAGACGCGCTGAAGACTTCTGGCAGCTCGTAGGTTGGGCATTCAATTGTGCTTGTCTCCCTGGTATTTATGCTGTGCGATGGAATCATTATCAACTTCTCCTTGAGTTCCTGATCGATGTGCTAGAAAATGATTGGCATGTGCGAAATACTTCAGAAAGCACGTCTGCTGATGAGTCCTTGCTCTGGCAATATATCGAACTTTCGGCTGGTGGACATGCACGCGCTAGACGGATCTTGCGAGCCATTTTTGCGGGTGGGAGCCGGAGCTCACTTCGGGAATTTCGTGAAATATTCCCCCATGAACTAAAGGAACCGGAGCAGCAAGATGGGAAAATAAAGAAGCGTCAAGTCGATGTCGATATCGATAAGGATATCTACGGTGACTATTTTGGTCAGGACGACTTTGATATGTCTGATAGCGACGATGAAGATGATGTGGCAAGTAGTGGCACCGGAGCCAGTGGACGACATCCCAAGCGCATTCGGACACGGACACGAACACCGTCATCAAGGGGAATAACACCAAAGGGCAGCGCTGGGAGCCTACGCAGTGCGTATACCACGGACGGTGAGGACTCCTCTTCCTCGCTATCAACGACCCTTGGCGACCCCTCTTGCCTCTCTCTGCGTCTGCGGCTATTAAGACTGCTCACGCACGTATCCGCGCATCAAACCTTGATGTCTACCTCCCCTACAACCTTCCCCGACCTGGAAGATCTCTATACCCTTTTTGTGGAATTCGTTCGGCCTCTTCCTCTCCCTGTCTTCGCCCAGGTCGTCCTTCCTACCCCGTCAAACCCATTCGAACCATCTTTGGCGATTTTGTGCGAAGCCCTCCTTCAACGCATGCTCGAGACCTCGGCTCCCAGCGCCCGCAGCCGCGTCTTACTCTCCCAGGAAAAGCTTGAACAAGAATATCTCCCCTTTGCCGCGTCAAAAAATAGCGTCGACGCCAACGCGAGGGTGAGTATCTTATTGGAGAGTTTAGCCAGGTGTCTCGCGCAGGTTGGAGAACTGGAGAGGAAGGATAGCTTGGCTCAGGCTGCCAGGGACGGGGTGCAAAGGAGGCTCGGGCGTGTCACGGATTTGGCAGAGAAGGGCGGTGGTAAGAGTAGACAAAGAGACGAGGGCGTCGCGTGGGAGTGGTTGGTTGAAAGCGGGGAGAGGATTAGCAGACTGATAGAAGGTCTGGCGCAGGAGAAGCCGAAGAGAAAAGGACACAAGGCTCGCCGCGCCGAATATCAGGAACGTACGTAGGGTGATTCTGCTGTCTTTGTCAGAAAGACAAGGGCCTTGCATTGCTCATCGCACATATCTCGTAACGCTCACTATGCTACAGTCGGAGACCGCGTTCTTTCTCAGACCTCTCTAGCCCCCTGACCTGTTTGCCACAACCCACCATCACTCTCTCCTGCAGATAGATGGCCCGTCCAGCATAGCACAACATGTCGCTAGGGCGGCGGTCTTGGGCCAATAATCTGCCGTCTCGCGCCTCCTACTCCCAGCCCCGGACCCCCGCGATTCTGGCTATCACCACCCATAAAGCCGTACTGATGGACATCCCAGGTCTGACCGGGTCCACTCCCCTCTTTTATATCTCTAGCCCTTGAAGCGGTATCCTTCTGTGCCTCTTCCCATTCTCTCTGTCGTTCTCGCTCACGCTCCATTTCCCGCTCGAGGAGGGATTTCGAGGCCCAGCCACCCGCTTTCGTGCGCTGTTGGGATTGGATACGGCGTTGATTTTCAAGGTCCACTTCGGTGGTGGTAGAAAAGTCTTGGGGCCGGTGGGACGCAACATTTGGTTGATAAGGAGCGGCGTTTGAGGCAAGGTAACGGTCGGTGCGATTCGTGCCGGGCTGATAGGTCGCAGGGTCTGGCAACGGACGAGAAGATGTTGACGGTGTAGGTTCAGGACGCGGTGGTTTGGGAGGGAGTTGATCATCCTGGGCTTTCTGCCATTGTTGCTGCAAGTAGTCGCGCTCTGATGCTGCCCAGTCGTCCTCATGGCTTGTTTGGCCAACTTGTGTTCTGCTTGGTAACGCAGGAGCTGGGGGTTCGGGCTCGGGCACAGGTCGCGCGGATTGGCTTTGTCTCTGTTGGGCCTTCATCTCCTCCAGTTGCAGCTCTAGCTCTGCAATGCGTCTACTTTCAGCTGACTCTTGCTCAGCGATGGGCTTTGACAGATGGGGCGAGGCGGTAGAACTTCTCGCCTGTTCTGCTTGGTATTGACTGAGAAATTGTCCGTTGAGACGAGCATCACTGACGGTGCGTTGTCGACTTCGTGCCTGGGTCATGCGGGCTTCTCGGTCTGCATTATCTTGGGCTTCTCGCTCCCGGTCACGTTCATAAGCCAACTCTTTGCGACGCTGTTCTTCACGACGGACACGTTCTTCCTCTTGTAGACGTTGTCGCTCAAGGTCTCGCTGCGCAGCGGCCTCTTGTTCTCTCAATTGCTGAGTTTCATGCGCCCATCTGCGCTCTTCTTCTAGGCGTGCTTGTTCTTCTTCTGCAGCCTGTTGAGCGCGCTGCTGCCGTTCAAAATCTTCTGCCTCAAGTCGCTTTCTCTCGGCATCTTCTCTGAGACGCTTCTCCTTCTCTGCAAGGCTGGGGACGTTGGGCGCAGGAGAGGTGATTTGTCTCCGTGCGCCGAAAGCAACCCCTTGGTTACCTTGACTTGCTCCTCCCATGTACCCGTATTGATGAATATTCCACGCGGGTGCGGTCTTGGTCTCGTCAGTCTTGTTGCTCCAGCTGCTAACCGCGCCGCCGGAAGCCAGCCCTCCCCGACTTAGGATGTTCTTAGTTGGGCTAACACGTCCGGAATAGGCGGCCTTATTGAGGGGATTGAATGTGATGGAGGGACTGTCAGCATTTGCATTGCTCGACTCTCGCGGTCGCGAAGTTGTGGTAGTGGTGTAAGCGGGAGATCTCGGTCCGCTTGAGCCTGTTCCCTGTGGACTCATGGCCGATTTGCTCTTTGCTCCTAGGGTTGCAGGGAACGCAGAAGGATTGAGTTGGCTCGCTCTGCGACTGAAGGCAGCAATGCATTGTAAGACTTGTGCAGGGTCTTTGGAGTCGTAGAGGTCGACGGTGAGGAAGCGATCATGAGAAGGCAAACTCAACGGCGGAATCTCGCAAGCGCGGAGGAAGTGGGAGATATTCTCCATCTGCACGAAGGGCATGTTTGACTGTTTATATTTGATGCCGGGGGACACGGCGAGATTGACAAGCCTGATGTTCAAGTCAGCAGCGCAGCCGTGCCGGTTACAAGTATCGCATACTTGCAAAGAGCTACCCCGTCTCGCAGGGCATCCATCAGGTCGCCTGACGACAATCTCTCGCCCAGAGTGCTTTCGATCCAGTTTCTCACTTCATTTGCAGCGCCGGGGGTATATCGCTCAAGGCGCAGTTTGCGCATGTCTTGATCGAGACTTGTAACCGACGCCATAGTTTCAGCGAACGTCTGATGAGCCAAGGTTGCTGCTGATATTGAAGGAAAATCTATCAGCAGGTAGAATCGTATCCAATTGAAGAAATGTAGGCCTGTGAGCCCCGAAGGCGGCCGCGCATGCAGAGGCAAAGGGAAGATGGCTGTGTAGATTGGTGTGGAGTAAGGGGGCCAATTGCGGAGCACAGGACCTTGCTGCAGGTTGACGTCGATCGAAGAAATATGCAGCCGCCCACTCAATGTGCAGGGCTGTGTCCCTAGTTCAACTCAAGCTACCTTCTACACTCGCAGTTGACACACAGCCATCAAGATGGGAGGAATTCGAGACCTTTGGCTGCGATGGAAGATGCTTCGCCTACCATGGAGGAAGAGATTTCTAGTTGGTCCGTGCAGTTTGAAGGAGCTGAAGGCTGGAGTGAATGGAAGCGGGCTGACATAAAACAGGACAAGATCTCTACGGCAACACCTTTTGGGAGTTTAAAGATGCCCTCAACCATAATCGATGGCGGCGTATGGTGAAGACTCAAAGACGAGCCACTCTCTCCTCCCTTTCAGATGTCCAGATCTCACCTCAATGGCATCAATGGCTTCGCCAGACACGCAATGATCCTCCAACAATGCAAGAACAAGCTGCCGATGTGCAGAGACAGGCTCAACTCAAGATCAATGCCAGACTGGCCGATGAAAGATGGGCTGCAAAGGCAAGATACATCGAGAAGCCAAAGCCAACAGTCATCAATGCCCTGTTGTCGGCTGATCCTCGACAAGGCGAAGCTCATGCCGAACAATCTCCAGGTCAGCCACCTCAGCTAAAAGAGATGAGCAACACCATCCAGAGTAGCGGACATCAGCAGAGACAATCGAGTGTCACGGGGTCAAATCCGGGAGCAGATTGGGCTCCTGGAGGATGGGTTCCTGGTGCTGCAAAGCGATGACGCCCAAACCCTTGAGCCTAGTCTGTCCCATTTACTGGCATCTTTCGCCCTTACGGAGTCCACCGCTCACTATGCTGCGTGACATTCACACAATGTACACCTCTAACTTTGGAAAGCCTCCATTAAGAATCCATGGAGTTGAGTTGAATGTCCTGTTCGGTTAATGCTTATGCTGTGTTAGCTAGCTCCTCCGGCTCCACTTCCGATCTAATGGCTACCGCTACAAAACCTCCACAAAGCTTTTCAGCCAGTCTCAACCGAGCTCACAAGGATTTGGGATGTCTCAGCGCGACCTCTCATTACCTCTGAGAAAGTCAACCGGCAACACATAACCTCCAGAGGTACTGATACCGAGCTGAATTGTTGTTCACAGCTCGTAGCCTACATTGGTCACGGTTGTTGGCATCTTAAATACGGTGGCTCTACATTATCTCCTGATTAAATTGTTGGCTCATCAATGACTGAACTTCTCGGTCCGGATTTCGATCTTTACAACCGAGATGCTGACTTATTTTGTGGATCTCGGTCTACGCCCCCCTGAGGTTGGTGGATCCGGGTTTTTATAGTCGCCATGGCCAAAGTTGAAAGGAATGCCAAAGTCGACATTTGCCCTGTGGATATAATAATACTCGTTTTTGCTGCTGAGGATTGAGCTTTCGTCTCTAGAAGGCGTTCCAAGGTTTCTTGTGTTGACCACTTCGAGGCTTTTCTTGTTGATTTGTTATTCTCTTATTTATGTTGAGATATCTGATGAAGAGAAGAAAAGTGAGCCTCAGAAGGGGTAAACTTTGCTGAATTTGAAAAGCGACTCGCGACCTCGAGGTTGACCTCGGTGGCGTTCGACGTTGTCACGCTCGATCAGAGTGACGCAAACCCGCAACGGGAATTCTCGGTAATGTTTGCTGCCGATGCGCTCGGTGGGGAGCTGTTGGCCTTGCAGACATCCTGTGACTGGGACTGACTTCGCGCAATGTGAACTAGAGAGCCTGTCTTGCTCATCATTCATTGGGAGCATGCTCGAGAAATGTCACCGAGAATATCTTGCCTTTGAAACAACCATGCCATCTGACTAATAACAGATCTCGACATTCATCGATCTGACTGCACGCATGGGAGCTGAGTCACCACAAGTGAGGATTTCGCGTAATGTCGTACCAAGCTTGTTGACACAAGATGGTCTTCTGAAGGTGGCTACACCTCTGCTCTGCGCGTTTGAAGCAGAGCAGTGAATCTCGATCTCCACGTTCTTGCTGGTATTACCGAACTTCTCGTTGCACGAAGGAAGACATAATGGCAATCATTGGTTCGGCTGACAACGAACGGGTAGTCTATGCGAATGAGCCTGAGGCGACTCTCACGAAAATTCTGATGGCAGGTCAACACATCCAAGCCTTTCGAGCCACCGGGACGGGGTTTGAGATACCTGGAACCCGGCTTTCCGAACGCGCTTGTTCTAGCCAAGAGTGGGAAGCCAAAAAGGTTGAACGATAATATTGAGCATACAATCCCAGAGATCAAAACTTTGTCCGGACTTTGGTCGTTGCCACATCGGGAGATGGTCATATCCCTTGTTATATCGTTTGGTCTTTCATGGATAATTGCCTATTCGGACGTTGGGGACGGGCAGACATAGACCAGTCACCAACGCCGAGACAAAAATTGGTCGGGCAGTTTGTGACCCAGGGACAGCCTTTGAAGAAAATTTCGGAACCATTCTTTTGACAAGACCTAAACAGGTCCTCTGAACTTTGGACTCTCCTTCTTCTTACCGCCCTTGTTTGCTCCTGAATGTCACTTTCTATCTCATTCAGCCAGCAGCTCAAGAGACCTTCGCAAACACGCTGTTGTTGATTCCCACCACGGTCAATGACACAGTTTTGGAGTGTAAGATCATCTCTTGTCACAGATCCATCTTGCTCTGGACACTAGAACGGTCAAAGGTCACGATTAACTGCGCAGCCGAGCGTACGAACCCAGCCTTTTTCATCCAGGCAGTTTTTAAGACTTTCTCGCCCGTCACCATGGCGCCGCCCTATTCCCCTTCGACCCAAGACGACCAAAAAGTACTTGTTGGTCAAATGATTGGTCAATCACGACTGCACGTTACCTTGCTTGGACAACCCCCATCAAACATTAACGTCAACCCGGCTCATGGCATTGAATACTACTATTGCTGCAACGAGGACTGTGGCTTTCTCTGGGCAATCCAGTGGAGCCCACAACCGCGGAAGAGACGCAAGATGCCCTTCGATTTGAACTCATACAAGGAGACAGCTATCCCAAGACTCTGTCGTCTGTGTCGAGAGGCGTTGTTGAAGAAGGGTTCTGTGGAAGAAGGGGCACGGCGTAGGGTGAAGCAGGATACAAAGCAGCAATGGGGCCCATTTGAGACATCAAAGAAAGAGATGAGTGGAGACAAGAGTAAGATGATGTATACTACTGGATTCGAGGATGTTCCCCTGGGCGATGTTAATGAAAGAGTAGACGAGACTTTGGCACAGGACTTGTCGTGGAATTTGATTGAGGAAAGCGATGCGAATGAGGAATGGAGTGTCATCAACCACTTTGGCTCTGCTGCGATCGAGCATAGGGATGCACATGTGGACACTGAACTTGTTCGGCCATAAGAGGATCTTCTTGTTAGGGCCAGTTGGAATATTCGAAGGCTGAAGGTCGGCTGTCGCGCTCTTTGGACAAAGGGTTAAGCAAGGCTTCTTGCATATGGAGGCCGTCACGGTATCAAAATACAGCCTTTCCAGCCACTGGCGTCTACCAAACGAATACCGCGAACAAGTGACGAGCTGAAAGACATTGCGCCTCCTTTTGGCGACTCCTTCACTGTCCACGAAAGATTTTTGCGCACAAATCCTCTGCTTCTCTTCTTCTTCACACTCTTTTCCACATTCAGCATCTTCTCCTATCAAGCAAGAAAGTAACCCATATCACTTCTACCGCCAAACTCTCCCCTTAGGAACTTCGCTGTCCTTAAATAGATGTCTCCAGCATCTGTCACGATGATGACCCCCAAAGTTCTCGCCCGCTCACCACATCTCCCCGTTCATGGTAGGACTCTCTTTCCCCTCCGCAACGACGTCCAAATCGTCGACGAACCTCCTGCAAACGCGGCTGCTACCCTATCATCGATCAACGAGAAGCAGACCGACGATGACTACAAACTGGAAGGCATTATTTTGTACATCTGCGCCAACCATCCGAAATGCAATCGTCTCTGGGCCATCACCTGGGTGGAAAAGCCAAAATGCCCCACGCAACTAATCAAGGTTGCGAAGTACAAAGAGTTGGCGGTGAGGAAGGTGTGCACCGACTGTGAATTGGCGGAATAAGTGGTTGTCGACGAGGCTGAGGAATGGGTTGGAGCATGACGAACGTGTCATTGGCAAACGAACGGTAGGAAGAGTTAGCGATTGTGGAGGCATTCGTTTTCATGCGCATAGCAGGCCTGCCTCGCGTCTAGAGAAGGCGCCACGTCCATGAGGAGAGGCAAACAAAAACATCTTCATGAAATACATCGTGCTCATCCTGAAAGCCCAGAATGTCAATCTGGCCACCTACTATTTTTCTCGTGTTGTTGCGTCAGAACACATCGGTGAACAACCACATATTGACACCATGCAGGGCGCTTCTGCTAATCTCATCAATCTGTTCTTTTAGTGGTGGATGTCTCCTGGGGGAATACCGAGTATGGTGATGGAAACCTGTGAAGTCAAAATATACACGTCTTGTGCGGGAAAGGCCCACATCGCCAGCTGTAGAAGAATCAGGCAAGTTTCCCGAAGCGGATGGCGAATGTTTCTATCACGACCGTCATTGATATCGAGGACGAAGTACGTTACCATCACCATCCTACGTCAAGGGGGTCTGTACCACTGTTCTCGGTAGGATTGCGGCCAGAGATAAGATGGCTGTCGAAGGCGTGGAGCAGATGATCCACCGGGATCCTGCCCTGTTGTGAGTTGTTTCGCCAAACACGACGTTTGCTCTTTACTGACCTGCTTCAAAAGCTATTGGATCCTGCTGCCCATCACCATCGTGATGATATTGACTGGGGTCCTCCGACACTATGCCTCGGTTCTACTACACACTCCGCCAAAGCCTCCGAACAGTCTTTCTGAGTCTCGTGAACGACAAGCGCTTCTCCGGGGTATCAACCTGCGGAACAACGCTGCTGCCGCGGTGACGACATCTTCATTTACCCGCCGAAAAGAATACCTTATCGATGGTTACCACAAAGGGACATTTTTGAAAGGTGGACCAGATTCCAAGGATCAAGGTGCAGCAAACCCCATGTCCGATCCTGCAGCCATGGAGGGTATGATGGGAATGATGAAAGGAAACATGGCCATGATGATCCCTCAGACTCTGATCATGTCCTGGATCAACGCCTTCTTCGCCGGCTTCGTCATTCTCAAGCTGCCTTTCCCACTCACTATTCGATTCAAATCCATGTTGCAGTCTGGCGTCATGACCCGAGACTTGGATGTCAGATGGGTGTCCAGTTTGTCGTGGTACTTTCTGTGCCTCTTTGGCCTTCAAAGCGTGTTTATCTTCATTCTCGGCAATGAGAACGCAGCCAGCCAGATGGCCCAGCAGATGGCGCAAATGAACCCGGGTGCAAATGCCAATCCGTTCGGTCCTGGCCAGGAGCCTCATAAGATGTTCCAGGCGGAGGCAGAAAACCTAGAGGTTTTGGATCATTGGAGCATTCTTGACGGTGCAGAGGATCGCTTGCTGCGGATCTATGCCAGCTAGATCTTGCGACCTATAAGACCTGGACGTCGCGGTCTCCGATTCCTTGGAATTTTCGCCTGTTCCTGACACTTCAATAACTTGTTTCGCCCCAACCGGCAACTGTTGAAGACTCACCAGGCCGCCAATTTGTCGAACTGGGCGCAAATCCAGGATATTTGCTTGTAACAGTTTGGGCTCTAAGGGAATCCAGCTGCCGGTATAAACCATTCGTTGGGGGAATATCACCTACCCGCCATGAAGGCCGATATGGCTGCTTGAAATATGAGTAGCTGACCGATACGTGCGTTGCGCCACGAGGTCGAAAATGTACCCGCTCACAAGTAGAGCACCTTCAGTGCGGAGTTGAGTCTTTGAGATCAACATTGAACCATTACCAGACTCCGAACAGGCGGCCTCTAGCATTGCAGAATTGGACCCGTCAACGAGGGACAACTTTGCAGATAATGCGTCGAATAGAAAGAGTGGTGTGCATTCCAGTAAATTAGGTGCACTAGGGTGGACGGGAAATGCCCAGCTTGTTCAAGCTTGTGACTTGTGTCTATTGGGGTATCGTTCTGTGCTATGCTCTGTTCGCCAAAAAAGGGATTCTTGATGTCTTGACCATGCATTCCGCCCGCGATCATCGTTCACACATGCGTCTTCTCCAGCGCCTTGGCCAATTCATCGACTTCTTTATCTTTTTCCTCCGCTACCTCCTCCTCCTCGGCCTCCTCGGCCTCTTTGAGGACTCTCTCTGCTAGTTCATCCTCTTCCTCTTCCTCCTCTTCCTCTTCCGCCTCTTCTTCCTCTTCCTCTTCTTCCTCTCCTTCTAATTCATCTAAGTCGTCCAGTCCCCAATGGTCTTCTGGATCCTCCCCCTTCCCAAGCTCATCTTTTCTGTCGCTTAACAGCACGGCTAACTCTTCAATCGAAGGATCCTCTTCCTCAAACTTGTTCCCGTTCAGCTCCACTCGTCGTAATCTGGGTAAATCATGTTTTGCAGCTCTTAGGAGGGTCTTCACCCCAGCTGGAGTGATATCGTTGTACTGCAACCTGAGAATTTCCACCCTTTCGTTACCTCCTCCAGAGAAAGACTCGAAAACTTTGATTGCGCCGCGAGCACCCAGTAGGTCATCGCCGACACCGAGTTCCTTGAGATTCGACCAACCACTCAGTGCTTTTGCCAGGGCATGTGCGCCTTTCAAGGTGAATGTGTTGTCTTGCATGTCCAGAACCTCAAGATTTTCGCATTTTGACAGACCAGACGAGATTAAGTGGGAGATACCCTCGGGTCGAATACCATTTTGCGTCATTTTCACGCTTTTAATTCCGATTCTGTGTGCCTCGTATGCCTTTGCCCAGGCGGGCATACTTCCGTTCTCCAACCTGTTACGGCCACACACGATACTTTCCAGGTGTGGTACATCCTTCCCTTCTCTTCTAGCTGCCTCCTTCCTCTCCGCAAGCGTAATGAGAGCTTCGGCAATGGCAGTACCCGCCAGGGGACCCATGCCATTATTATTCAAGACTAGGTGCTTTAGCGGGATGTGTTTCGATAGGAAATCTACGAGAGGATCTTTCGTGTTGAGACCGAACGCATTATCGCTTAGATCTATTGTGTGAAGGTTGGGGCATTCGAGGAAGGCATTGAGAAGAGAGGATAATGCTGGTGGGATTTCGTCGAGGAGACGGGAGGTGAAGATGTCGTGTAGATCGGCGCTCTGGAGAGTCGGTTTCGAGGCCAAGATAGGTGCGAGGGCGGCGCATGCAGAAACGCCCAACGTATTTCCAGAAAGATCGATGTGGGTGACCGCGGAGGACGATGTGAGGAGGTCAATGTGCTTCTCGAGATCTTCTTTGGTGTCGATTTTGAGGCCCTTGCCAGCGAGGGAGAAGGTCGACGAGGCTTCCTCAGCCATCTTCGTGAGAGATATGATAGATGGTTAATGTGGAAAGAAGGAATAAGTTACGAGGAATCAGACAGAAGAGTGTTGACATCAAATGAAAACAAATAGTTAAGACCCTTGCTTAATTCTAGAATGCAGGATCACTTGGCGCATGTCACCTTCATCTTTAACTTAACGCGGTGGGCGGTTTTTGCGACGTGTTGTTTTACACGCGACTTGAACCAGCTCTGCTGCCTCATGCCAGCCATGTAATTGAGCAGCTTGTGTCGCGATGAGGAGTCCTCTTGATCACCGGGCTTGCTTAGTGCTTGCTTTCGCGCTATGTCTCTGTCGGGCGAGCGAAACTGCCTTCAGCGTCAACGACGACCTGTTCGCATTTCCTCAGGTACATGCTGTCTCCCGGTGTGTTGTTTCAACGCTGACGACGCTACAGTATAGCATTGAATTCCCAAAATCATACATACTCGACACAGATGCCACAGACCTGCTGGACCGGCGGCCGAGGCAAGGAACAGCTGGTGATCCACAGTCAGTGCAGGCATATCTGAAGGATGTCTCCACGAGCATCAACCCGGAGGCGAAAGATGGCTCCATAGCAGAAGACTCAATGCAGCTGGGCTCTTATGAACGCCTATTTCTCCATGGATATCCCCATCTGTGCTTTATCCCGGAAGTGAAAGAGGCGGTTGACAATCGGACTACTCCAGAACCGTCCGCGGCAGATCGTGAGAATGACTTGGACAAGGCCGTTGCAAGGGCGTCGCAGTTGCTACAGGGCATGGCCTCGAATCAATGCCTATACTACTCTACAGGATGGTGGACCTATTCATTCTGCTACAACTCCCAGGTAACCCAATTTCACGCTCTCCCACCAGGCACCAATGGAAGGATATGGCCACCGCAGGAAGACCCCACTACGCCTAGCTACGTCTTAGGCAAATTTAAACCTCAGAAACCGGAGGATTCAAGACTACAGTCCGGTACTGACAAGGCGCTCTCTACTGAAGTCAAGTCAAAAGCCGAGACCAACTACCTGGTGCAGCGGCTGGAAGGAGGGACACCCTGTGACCTCACGGGTAATGACCGCAGGATCGAGGTGCAATTCCACTGCAACCCGCAACTAACCGACCGGATTGGCTGGATCAAGGAGACTGCCACTTGCGCCTACCTCATGATCATTTACACGCCGCGACTTTGCAACGATGTCGCCTTTCAGCCGCCAAAAGAGAGTCGAGCTCATCCCATTACTTGCCGAGAGATCATCTTAGAAGACGATGTACTAGCGTGGGAAGCGCGTCATGATGAGGAGAGCTCTCGGCAGGCACTGGGTCAAGGGCAACCTCAGCAGATCGTGCTGGGCAACGTGGAGGTGGGTGCCATGAAACTCGTAGGTCGCGAGGGCAAGAGACTCGAGAGAGGGCGCATTGTCCTGACCAAAGATGAAAAAGCCGAAACGGTTATCATGCAGAGAAAAGGGGAGATATCTGGCATGTCCAAGACGGAGCTTGAGAAACTTGATCTGAGCCCAGAGGATGTTGATGCGTTTCGCAAGGAGCTGCAGAAGTTGGCCGGCTCAAAGGATTGGAAGATTGAGAGGCTGGACGATGTCAATGGGCACATTCAACTCAGAGGTGTGGTGGCCACGGATGACGACGAAGAGGACAACGAGCAGGAGGAAGGCAAGCCTCCATCGCAAGAGAACGATGAAGCAGCAGGCAGTCAGGAAGAATATGCTAGAGAGATTTAAGCCGCCGTTATGTCCCAAGGACGAAATACAAAACGCACTCTATTTCCAATGTGACTTGAGAGGTACGGAGTACATGGAACCCGGGTCCCTGTGGTCCTTCTAAGTACGGTAGTCGTATCAACCTGCAGAGCTCTTTCTTCATGCATGTTGATGTAAGCATTTTTTTGGTGCGGGTGGCGGTGGATGTTGGAAAGATGGCACCAAACGGTGGTGACGGGAAACGCAGGCCCCTTCTTGGCATCCAGTTACGCCGGAGAGGTTCCTGGAACTGGATCAAACGGCGAGAGAACCTGGAGCACTCCAACCAACTCACTTACTTTTTATCGTGTTCATCCATCCGCACGTCCCTCTGTTTGTCTTTGTGAGCGTGATAGACCCTGTACATTGTCGACCTCCAGAACTGGGAGCCCGCCACACGTCAAGAAACCCTCGACCTCGACCGCGTCACCTTCACCCTCGTCCTCACTCTCACTTACCCTCGCCCGCTAGCAGGCCATCTTACTGTTCGCTTAGCCGTCGAGGTGAAACCCCCAAATTGCGCTACCTCATTTCCCTCCCATTCTCTCCGAGTCGCCCGACTTCACATTGATGGCATTTACCTCCACACAATTTATTTGACCACTGCTGCTGCTCTCTGCCCATCGATCCCGCCTCAGTCCCCCATTATGGGCTTCGTCGCGATATGTACCGCCATCTACGACTACCACCCGCAGAGCACTGGCGAGCTAGAGATCAAGGAGGGGGAACTGTTATATATCCTCGAAAAGAGCACCGAGGATGACTGGTGGAAGGCGAAGAAGAAAGCTGCTGGAGACGATGATGACGAACCTGAAGGCTTGATTCCGAACAACTATGTCGAAGATGCAAAGCCTGCCCATACCGCCAAAGCACTCTATGACTACTCTCGACAGACAGACGAGGAAGTCTCTTTCGCGGAGGACGCTATACTGAACGTCTACGATACCTCCGATCCCGATTGGACCCTGGTTGGGATCGGTGATGATTTTGGTTTTGCGCCCGCCAACTATATCGAGATCTCAAGCACAGCCGCCGCCGCCGCCGCCGCTGCTGCTCCTGCTGCTCCTGCTCCTCCTCTACGGTCCCCCTCTGTACGATCAAGAGCATATTCCAACCCACCGATAGCTGAGCCAGAGGCCCCCGCAAGTCCGATCTCTCCGGCTAGATCAGTGCATAGTCCTGCCGCGAATCTGGCACGCGTCTTGGGAGGAGGAGCTCCCACTTCCCCGACAGCTGCTCGACCAATATCTTCTCCGCCACCTGCGATCCCGCGTCAACAGTTCACTCCAGATGCCTCGGACGAAGAAGAGCCTGCGCCGGCCCTCCCGCGACGACCTACATCTACATCGCACGAACCATCTCAAGGCCCACTTCCTTCTCCTCCTTACAATCGCGCCATCCCACAGCCGGAAGATGAGGAGGCTGCGTTCCGATCGCCTGGCGGTTTTCACCTGTACAATATTAGTGAAATGGTTTCAGCCATGGGGAGAAGGAGAAAAATGCCGACAACGTTAGGCATCAATATTGCAACGGGTACGATCATGCTCGCTCCCGAAAGGTCAAGAGATGGGCCATCACAAGAATGGACTGCAGATAAGATGACGCACTATTCTATCGAGGGGAAACACGTCTTCATTGAGCTGGTCAGGCCAAGCAAAAGTCTAGATCTGCACGCTGGTGCAAGGGACACGGCAGAAGAGATCGTGTCTGCGCTGGGAGAAATTGCGGGTGCTCAGCGGGCCGAAGGTCTTCGGGAAGTCATCACCGCTGCCAGCAGTGGCGGCACCCACAAGAAGGGAAAGGTTCTCTACGATTTCATGGCTCAAGGCGACGATGAAGTAACAGTCGGCGTCGGAGACGAGGTCATCATACTCGATGACACTAAATCTGAAGAATGGTGGAATGTAAGGCGCCTGAAGAACGGCAAAGAAGGCGTCGTGCCCAGCAGCTACATTGAGGTTACCGGGTTTACAACGATAGAGCCACCTTCGCGCTCTGGCGCCAATGCTGGTTTGTCTGTGATAGACCAGAATCGACTTGAGGAAGAACGTCTGGCAAGAGAGGCGGCTAAAGCTGAAAAAGCCCGTCAGGATGCGGAGCTCGCGAGATCTCGCAGTGAAATTCCTCAACGCGGCAGTAGCCTCGCCGATGAACGACCTCGCCGGCGGGGCCGGAGAGAGAGAGATGGGCGGGAAGGGGGTCGGTCGAAGCCAGATCCTGCCAAAGTAAGGACCTGGACCGACCACTCAGGGACGTTTAAGGTTGAAGCAGAGTTCTTGGGAGTTACCGGTGGCAAGATCCATTTGCACAAGGTCAATGGTGTCAAGATCGCCGTTCCCGTAACGAAGATGTCACCTGAAGACCTTGACTATGTTGAGCAGGTAACAAACGAACCGATCGAGGAGCACATTCCAGTGGCTGATTTGATCAAGATGAAACATCGAAATCAAGAACACTCTAACACTCGGAGCGGAGCCAGCGTTGACGCCAGGGCGACGGAACAACCGAAAATACCCGAATATGATTGGTTTGATTTCTTCCTCGAGGCGGGTGTTGGCCCTCATCAATGCGACCGATATGCTCAGGCCATGATCCGGGACTCGATGGATGAAAGTGTCCTTCCCGATATCACACCTGAAACTCTGCGGACCTTGGGTTTCAAGGAGGGCGATATACTGAAAGTCATGAAGTTTTTAGATCAGAAATTTGCGCGAACACGAGCTCCGACGACGAACGGGATCAACGGGGAATCAGCACAGGGCGGCCTATTCTCGGGTCCAGGTGGAACTTTGCATAACAACACACGCAGAGGCAGGCCAGAGACGGCTCGGTCAACAAGCGATATTGTCGACGCGGATGCCTTCACACCGAAAGAGGAAGAGAAGAGGCCACCCTCGGATGCCAGGCCCACACCTCTTACTCAGGCGCCTCCGAGGGAGCCCGTCAAGAGTGGTTTTGACGATGATGCTTGGACAGTCAAGGCACCTACTCACCCTCCCGCCGCCTCACAACCTACTGCTGCTCCTGCTGTTGCCACTCCACCACCAGGGCCCAGGCCTCCTACGGGAGCAACGAAGGATTTATCTTCCCTGCTCGATGGACCGCTACCGGCTCCTCTTCAGCCTACTCCAGCCCCTGCTCCTGCGCCGGTTCAACAGCCACCACCACCACAGCCTCAACCGCAGCCTGCCCCCGCACCTGTACTATCGCCTCCTGTTCAGCAACCCCAACAGATCGGTGCCAATCCTGCTTTTTTCTCGCAACTAAACCAACAACCCGCACAACTGCAGCCTCAGGTGACTGCCTTCCAATCGCAGCAACAGTTAAACATCCCCCGACAGCGACCATTAGCACCACAGCAAAGCTTTACCGGTGCTGGATTGCTCCCGCCTCCCCCTCGCCCGACTTCCGCTCCTCAAAATCCTCAACAAAACCAGTTCGGACTGCAACCATTGCAACCACAACTGACAGGTATTCCACGGGCATCTGCTCTGCAAGCTTCTCCTGGGCAAAGCTTGAACGATCTCTCGCAACAACGGCTGCAGCAGCAATTTCAACAGTTGCAGTTGCAGCCTCAGGCTACCGGTTTCATTCAACCAAATCAAGGTATTGGACAATTTGGATTGGCTCCACAACCTACAGGTTTCCAACAGTCGCAGCAATTTGGCCAGTTCCAACAGCAGCCGTATATTAATGGGAATGCAGCCGGAAGTCCTTTTGCAGATCCTCGACCACCTTTCCAGCCCCAACCGACAGGAATACCATTTCAACAAAGCCCGCCACCGGGCGGCATCAACACGGTTCTCCCACCAGCACTCCAACCACAAAGGACAGGGTTTATGTCTCCTCCCCCACAGCCGCAGATCAACGGGTTTGGTCAAAATCTCCAATCACAGGCAGGGTTCCCTCAGCCGGCACCGCTTCAACCTCAGCAAACGGCCTTTCAGCAGCCACTGCAACCACAACCCACCGGCTTTGGACAAGCGCCGCAGCAGAATGGATTCGGGAACTTCCAAACGCCACCAGTGCCACCGATGCCAACTCTTCCTCAACTTCCCTCCATCGCACCTTTGCAGCCGCAAAAGACGGGTCCCGCTCCTCCCGTGAAATTTGGCGTTCCTGAAGCCAAGAAGTTGACCCCTCAGCCAACGGGAAGAAGAGCAAACCTTGCCAATGCGAGTAAGTTTTCATTTCAGGGATTACATTTGAGGACAGGAATACTGACAAGACTGTAGCTGCACAAAATCCATTCGGTTTTTGATTTGGGCCCGCGGACGGATGTGCCTATGTCTATATCTTCCCTGACCGATTCAGCACTCTTGGGACTGTGACGTGGGTAGGGGAGTGTCGACGCTAACCTAGCCAGCTTTGCAAAGACAACCTGTTGAAGGGCTTTCAAAGAGGGGAAGTTCCACCCACGATCGCCGATTACAAAGCTAGTCTTACTCCAAGGGCACAATGGCTTCCAGAGGGCCGTGAAGATATGAACGGGGTACAAACGAATTTCACATCGCAAAGTTGAGAACTCATGGTAGTTTCAGCGATCGAGATTTCGTGGTCGAGGGGTTAGTGATGACGGGAGTCTTCTGAGAGACTGTTTTGCTGCCGTTGAGACGTTTCATAGCGACCTCATAAAGGAGTTTGTCCATGAGATGGAAGTAGCGTAATATTCCCAGGGTGCACCGAGACTGAAAGCTGCAGCTATTAGGTATATATTTTGGCACCGGATCTAATGACACGAGATCAACTGGTTATTTTTAATATCGACTTGATGCTATCACGCAGTCTTCCGTGATGCGGTGGAAACAATACAAAGTCGAGAATACTTTCTAGCTCGCTTGGTCTCTGGTCGCTAGTCAGAGGCCACAGCTCTGAAAAGCTGGAGTATCTAGGTACTTAGGATGCGTAACCATAAATAGCACCAGTACTGACTGGCACAGACTACCAGTTATATCACTGGATGGAGTACTACTTTTGTAGCATGTTATGGAGCCCTCCTGTGCGGGGTCGTGGAGTTACACCACTTGGTCCATACGGACTACTAACCCGGGGCTTTCCCGGGGATTGAATATATAATGCCTCCAAGGATAATTTTAGCCCCTTGTTTATATCTTGCTCAACTTCTTCGAAACATGGCATTGACATATGAAGCACGTCTGGCCATAATAGCCGGCGGAATCGGTGAGTTTACTTTCCACTCAGGACGATATCGTTTCTACTTCCCCGATCAATCCGATGACCTAATCACCTATGTATAGGCGGACTCGGTTCCTCAGTTGCCTCTCGTCTTCATGCGCTTGGAGCGGCTGTGGTCCTTTTATACGCTCCATTTGAACGAGACCGTGTGATCGACACGGTGAAGCGGGTGTTTGGTTCTGAGAAGCCCGAAAGGGTATGGACGTTTGAATGCGACATTACCTCGGAGGCCTCTGTTAAAGAGGTCTTGGGCAAGGACGGAAAACTTGCCGATCCTTTGGCGTTTAAGGCCTTCCCAAGTATACTGATCAACGCGGCGGGCTATGTCTCGGTACAGCCCTTTGAAGAAACCTCGGCGGAAGAGGCGATGAAGAATATTCTGCCGAATCTTCTGGGCCCGTTCAATTGCAGTAATGCTTTCTTCCACCTCTATCAATCCAGAGCCGCCCAGATCAATGAATCTCCGCCTCCCGGACGAATCGTCAGCATTGCATCACAGGCTGCCCACGTCGCCCTCGATGGCCACGGTGCCTACTGCGCCTCCAAGGCCGGTCTGTTGGGACTCACCCGCAGCATGGCGTCGGAGTGGGCATCCAAGGGTATCACTGCCAACACCGTCTCGCCGACAGTGACGTGGACTCCGCTGGCGGCGAAAGCGTGGGCAGATGAAGACAGGAAGGCGAAGCACTTGGCCCAGATTCCCACGGGGAGGTTTGCGGTCCCCGAGGAGGTGGCTAGTGCTATCGAGTTCCTTTGTCGAGACGAGAGTGGCATGATTAATGGGGCGGATGTCCGAATCGATGGCGGATTTACGATTCGATAGCTGGAGGACATTAGATGTTCTGGTCTTTTGTTCGGGTAGTTCCTCCAGCGAACCAATCCGTCGACGCCCCAACAGCATTGTTAGATAACTTTTAGGAATGGGTTCCAGTAGGCAAGTCGGGATCTCAGTAGACGGAATGATATCTGATCAACAGGCCGTGTCAATATTAAATTCAAGATCACAGGGGTTGCACATGATTAGTAGTAAGTCCTCCCTTTTTCTAAATCCTTCACATCTGTACCGTCGACCTGCGTCAAGCCAACCCTCCCCACGCTCAAATTCTCCTCCACATCTGCGATCTTTACTCTCACCATCTTCACCCTTCTACTGCGCTCAAAGCCCGAAAGTGTGCTCCCTCCCTCCGGCAAACGCAAATTCGGGTTGTCCCTGGTCAAGCTGCTCACGAACCCAAAGATGTCGGGTGCGAGGGTGTGCTTTCTCAGCCACAGCGCGCAGATTGCCGCGCCGAGAAGGACAACGTTGGATAGGATGTCCATCATCAGCCACGGCCATGACAGAGAATATTGGGGGTTATATATGGCGCCGTCCATGGTCAAGAAACCAAAGTCCGAGTTGTCCTTCGGCGCAATGGACCCGTTGACTGCTAAATCATCTTGGAAACTGCTCTCGAAGCTGAGCATCTGGGATGACGTGAAGTACGTGTTCACATATCGCGTGACCGACATCGATAGTGGGAATTGAGCTTCGGCACTCCGCTGTTCGAGAAGTGATGGACTGTTGAGTCTGTTTTCATTGAGGTCGCTCTTCAGGTCAACGAGGCCGTTGTCACTGTCGAACGTCGAATAGTCGCCTTCGTGTTGCGGCATCCCGCACGCCAGGAGAAGGGAGTTAAGGAAGGGAGTGGCAAAGACGTCGGAATCGAGCAACGTGCGCGGGGAGGTGCTGATTTGTTTCATCCGCGTGGGCTTGCAGGTCGCTGCGGTGCAGATGGCGTCGATCCGAACTGTAACATTGGTCATATCGCAGGTCGAGGTAAGGCTGTGGGTGTCGTTGACCCAATTCCAGAAATATAATTCGCGGGGTTTGTTCAGGTCCAAAGGCATGGTGGTCATGTTCATCGTGGTGGATACCGCGCGCAATGATCCCTTTGGCTTGGGCTTGGTGGAGAGAAAGGGCGCCGTGCAATTTGCTTGGAAGCTAGACACTTCGTAGGTAAAGGACCCGACCATCTTCTGCGGCGTCCAGGCGTTCGCCCCCTGAGTCCGGTTCATCCAATACAACGATGTCCCAATCGACGACATGACGGGCTGGTCGGACATGTGCGGGATCTCCAGCCATTCCTTCTGGTCGAATTCGAGAGAAGAACTATCGCGCGCAGGGCCGTACCACGGAGTAAGAGTGGCTCCGTAGATGTCTGCTCCTTGTCCCGCTCTGGCCCCTTGCACATTGGTCTTCTGCGTCCCCGCCGTAAACGAGCTGTACAGGTGATATCGGGCGCTCATGTCAGTCAGTTTGACGGGCGAAACCTTGTCGATGTCAATTTGGTCCCCTTGAAAAGGAGATATTGCGTATGGGGAGAGAAATGCAACCGATTGAATGCCAAAGCTAGCTGAGTTGCGGTACGAGTACTCTCTTGTTGCTGCCTGCGATCCCACGTAGTACCAAGACCAAAGAAAGATCAATGCCACGCCAGTGAAGGTGAACCGCCGCAGTGACCAGATGGCCTTGAAGGTGGCTGTCAAGCTGACGGATGCGTGCAGTTGCTCGATTTCCCCGAGCGTGGTGCCCCTTTCCGCCCTCCACAGGGCGTACCGTCGCACGGTAGTGGAGACAATCACGATGGAAATGATTGTGGAAATAGTGGTGAGCTGGTTGTTGAACTCGATCAGGCGGAGGGTCAATTGGCTGGTCTTGTCAATCGAGGGTCCCACATGCGCCTTGTCGATTTCAGAGGCAAGGACGCAGAGTCCGGCTTTCATGATGAGGACGCATGGCAGGAGACATAGTATCACATCGACTGTGTCCAGACATCGCTCGACCACCGGTTCATTGGTGATTGGGACTGGTTCATGCGGCCACTCTCGCAAGGGGGGCTCGGAGAATGTCTTGTCGGGCGTGCTTGGTGTAGAAGGCTGCAATTCGGTGGTGTCGGTCCTTGTTCCTGTGTACGCTCTTTTTGGCTCGTCCGGGAGAGGCTCAACGCCTGCCTTTCGAGGTGCTGCCTTGTGGTGCCAATGCTGAATGACTGCGGCGAGTGTTGTGCTTGTGCCGCTCGTCAGGTTTGCCGCTTGATCCATCACCTCTGCTGCAGTTTTCGTCGATGCAACTGCACTATTGAAAAGCGAAACCACAAGAAGAGGCAGAATTCATCCTTCCCTTTAGTAGCTGATCTCTGAACTTTATACCCAAGCTGTAGAAATACATTGCCATTGCTCGCCTGTCGGGACTCCCGATGCCAGTTTGGTGCCATGTAGGCGTAGCAATATCAAGCGAAACTCTGTCTGTCGATTATTAGACATCAAGGCAGCGATAGCAAGACGAGTTGCTGCAGGAGGCTTGCTTGTGAGGGACGGATAGTCTTTTCGACTGGACTTTGCGTCGTCTGCTGGACCCAAGGGGCGCGATGTAGAAGGGGCACCATGGCTTTTGGGAATTGTCAGCTACGCCACAGTTCTGGGTTTCGCACGTCCCACGTTCTGGGCCCAATGTCTCAACGCGCGCTCAAAAATTGTAGATATGGCTTGGTTCTGGTTGCGGGCAACAGAAACATCACCTGTTGCCTAGGCTGTGACACAGGCGACACTGCGCTCAGTTCAAGAAGCTCCAAACTCTTCCTTTGAACTTGGAACTAAAGCGCAGCCTGCCTATTGGGTTGCGAGAGCGAACGTACACGTACAATATAGGGACGACAAGGGAAACAAGAGAAGTGTTGGTAGGTTTGTCCTAGCAAAAGGGTGGAAATTACCCAGTAGACGTTTCTGGATCTGGCCCCCTTTGTGCTCCACTGGCCATGTGGGCGCCATGGTCGGAAAGCATCCGTAGCCGAGGGCAAATACGAGGAAACCGTGTTGTAAATAGGGATTTTTGTTTATCCCAAGGACATTCCATTGGTTTTTCCAGTCTGGAAAGGTTCTCGGGCACAGTGGCCACGGACCTTGGACTATATGGACCCGTACATCTTGTTTTTGCCCCGTCAGCCTCGTCGTCAGCAAATCATGTTGCTTGGCGCCCGAGAGCGGAACAAAAACGGCCCGCATCTTCATCCATGGCAGCGCGATGCGGCGCAACGAATAGAGAATAATCATATTCCGTGAATCAAGTTCGGGGCTTCGACCCTCACAACAACGAGAGGCCTCGGGCCGCTTCGTTCCGCGAAGTAATGAAAATATGAAGCATAAATAGCCGCCATCTTCTAGCTGGCGGAGAGGGCATTGACAATCAACCTCTGTGACTACTCTTCCATCCTCTACAAAGGCTCTCATAATGCCCCCCTCAGCCGCACCACCGCCACGGACCAAGCTCGGTCACCATCGACTTCTTTGTCCCAATGCGTCCATCCTTGTCTCCCCTCTCTGCCTGGGGGCCATGGGCTTCGGCGAAATATGGTCAGTAGGCGGACCTCGTACCAACGATCGAACCCATCGATCACCCATCCCTCCATTGCACACGCTAACTGAAGCATAGGGGTTCGACAGTGGGCGAGTGCAGCAAGGAGACGAGCTATGCAATCCTTGATCACTTCCATACAGCCGGTGGCAACTTCATCGACACTGCAAACTTCTACATGGCGGGACAATCGGAAGAGTGGCTTGGTGACTGGATGGCTGATCGTGGAGTCAGAGACCAGATGATCATTGGCACCAAGTTCGCGTTACCGTACAAACTCCCCGAGCAGATGCCGGAGGGAAGTGTTACCTCTAATTTTGGCGGCGCCAATAGAAAGAGTCTACGTCTCTCGCTGGCAGAGAGCTTGGAGCGATTGAAGACAGACTATGTCGACATCCTTTATGTGCATGCCTGGGACGGAGTGACAAGCATTCCGGAGCTGATGCGATCCCTTGATGATGTCGTCAAACAGGGTAAAGTCCTGTATCTGGGGATTTCCAACTGGCCGGCCTGGTTAGTCGTCAAGGCAAATGACTATGCCCGGCAACATTGCTTGACGCCGTTTGTGGTCTACGAGGGATTGTGGAATGTTGTGGCCCGAGACATCGAGCGAGACATAGTCCCAATGTGTCAAGCAGAGGGAATGGCCATCACGGTCTGGGAAGCAATGGGCGCTGGCAAATTCAAAAGCAAGGCCGAGAAGGCTCAAAAAGGAGGAAGACCAGAATACGACCTTTCCGGAAAGGGACTTGAACCATACGAGCGTGCCACTGCAGCTCTGGAGCGAGTGGCGAAGAGGAAGGGAACGAACACATTTGGTATCGCTTTGAGATACGTCACACTGAAGGTGAGCAGGCCATGTTGAGGTCGAGACATAAAGTCAGCTGTTAACCTTTAGCAGGCGCCCTATGTGTTCCCAATCGTTGGAGGTCGCAAAGTCGAGCAGCTTCAGGCCAACATCGACAATTTGAGCATTCAACTTTCCGCAGAGGACATCCGAGAAATTGAGGAAGCCGTCCCCGTAGATCTAGGCTATCCTCACGCGTTTCTATCCGGCCAGCGGGACAAGCACGTCGGACCAACAAAACCCGCAAAGCTCGAGCTATGGTGGGGGGCGTTTGAGGGTGTGGAAGAACCCAAGGTATGTTGTTGCAGTCAACCTGAGAACAGCTAGGCAGGCGACAAGTGACTGACCATGGTTAATTTGCATCTAGGCCATCGTTTGAAGTGCAGGACCGAGTAGAGAGGATAAGAGGGTGGAGACTTCAGATTGCTTGGTGAGATGTGCAAAAATAGAGCGCTTAACTTTGTCTCAGTTCTCAGACCCATCGGCTCAGTTGCCATAAGTGGGCAGGGCCCACTGTTTTGCGGAGCAAAACGCCTTCGCGAGAAGGGTCTGAGCTCCAATACGTGGTTTTGGGGTAGAAAAGCGTTCGTGGTCTTAGATGCGCGAAGAGCCCATATATTAGATTAACATTCACTCCGTTTCTTAAATAACTATCGAACGATTAGTCTAAATAAAAAACTTTCTATATATAAATTATACTAAATTTAATTCTTTATAAATCTACTTATTTAAATTTTTAATATCTTTAATAGTTACTAAGATATTTAGAAAAAACTACTTTTTAAGCTTTAATTCTCTATCTTTAAAGTTTAATAACTTTACGAAAAAAATTATTTACTTACTATAGTTAGTATAGATTAATAGAGAATCTTTAGTTCTATATATATAGAAAGTTTTAGTTTAATTAAAGATATATAGATAGAGATATAATCGATTAAAGTAGTTATAATCTATAGAAAATTTAAGACTTTTAAAAATTAAGGTGTCGCCAAGACTCTTGGCTATTTATCTAGGAAGGTTACACGATAAATATTTAAAAAGACGACGTAATTACTAAGATTATCTATATAATCGCTTACTAATAACGTCATTTAAACGGCTCGAACGAAATCTAGGCTATTTTCACGTATCGGGCCTCAGACTCGTTTATCGCAACATTCTTTGAATTTTGTGATTGGCCGGCGCTTTAGCTCATAGCCTAGCCAATCAGGGCGTAGCCCCGATATCGGGTCTGAGGACTGAGACAACGCTTAACTCCCTAAACTCCGACTTCGGCTTACTTTCCCTTTGACTTTTGCTCCCTGCTCGCCTGCTCTGCTCCTATGCACACAGATCACTTTGCTTCGTCAGCCAGCTGTGCGTCTTCTCAACACTCAACAAAGTCGCGCTTCTCTCTCGCGTGAAATGTCCCAAACTTCTAAGGCCTTGAGAATATCAAAGAGATTTCGTGAGGGATCTCGGACTTGTTCTGAGTGTAAGAAGCTAGCATCTAACCGTCCTAACCAAACCTGCTGAGCTCGTCTCTCCTACAACGTGAGATCTGATTGTGAATTCCGTCTAATTGTTGATAGGTCGGCGCAGAAAAGTCCGCTGTGCATATGGCCCGGATTCTGCTGGCGAATGCGCCCGGTGTCTTGCACGCGGCATTACGTGCATAGTGCCAAAGCCACGCGGGATTGACGATGCCAGTGATGAGAGAAAGACTTTGAGAGAAAGAGTGGCCGACTTGGAATTATTAGCGGAATCCTTCTCCCGAGAGAAGAAAGATATTGCTCAATCTGCTGCTCCTATCGCTACTGCCCGAGATGAGGCTACGGCTGAAAATTCGGACGATGATCTGGCTGAGCTCACCCGCCGCGCTCCACTGGTTGCAGCACTAGAAGCTTCTCAAGTACGAAATAAGGAGATTCGTTATCATGTTGCTCATGTGGACGGAGAAGCCTTACTGACTCTGAACAGCTTCTCTCCACCCAACGAGTCGCGAGCACGAGTGAAGTGAACGAGGGTATGGAGGACTTTCATCCCCATGCTGGCCGGAATGTCCACTTTCAGAAATCGGGTTCCACGCGTGAAGATGCGATATGCGACCAACTCAGAGCTACTTTACCCAGCTACGATGAGTTGAGACGATGTTTCTCTGGAGACACAAGGTGGTGGGACTTCTGGCATATCAAGACCTTTGGAGCAGATGCCGCTTGCGAAAGCCTCCCGCAATTTCTGGAACGAACCTACGCGACCGGCACTCCCATAGAAGTCGGATTTCTTGTCTCGTCTTATGGTCGCCACAATGCAGACGAAGCTTCGCAGTATCTTCCCATTGTTGATCATGTGGTTCTTGCAAACGATCAACTTGCGAGCACCTTAGATGGTCTACTTCTGACGGTCTTCCATGCAAAAGTGTATCTCGACGTCGGTCAACCTCGTCGCGCCTTTCTGTGCAACCGCCACGGTATTTCTTTGGCCCAGATCATGGTTGTCTGCCCTTTCACATCTCCGAATGATCTTTGTGGGCATTGCTAACTTATCGCAGAACCTCCACCGCAACTATTCAAACTCTCCCAGACGCAGCGCGGCGTGGTGGACCCTGTATCTCGGCGATCGGTTTTTGTCCGTCCTGCTTGGTTTGCCATATGCTATTTCAGACGATTCCTTCGTTGTCGCCTATGTAGACGACACCAGTCAAGTTGGGCACGCGACTTATCCCTTTGCGATCCGCTTGGGCCTGCTCACAAGCCGCGTGATTGACCAAGTTCAGAGTCGTAAAGGACCAAAATTCTCCGAGATTCTGGACATCGACGATGAGCTCGCATCCCTCGCTAACGCAATGACAAGGAATTGGTGGGACCACAACATCCCGGTAGATGCTTACTCGACCGACATGAATGAGTTGCGAGAAAGGCTCATCTGCCAAGCGCAGTACTTCCTTACAAGGACATATCTACATTTACCATATCTCTTGAAGACGCCAACATCCCACCTCTATGTAAGCAGCAGACTGACCGCCATCGATTCTGCAAAGGACTTGCTGAAGCGTTATCTGGCTTTGAGATCGCATGTCAATGACAACCCCATCTTCGATTGCCAGTCACTCGATTTCGTGGGGTTTATGGCTTCAGTTATACTGGTCGTTGGGTCATTATGCGACGGAGGAACTCCTCTCTCGTCGGATGATATCGATCTGATCAACAAGACCGTGAATGTTCTCCAAGAATTGGCTGGAAATAAGATCAACCATCTCTCTCGCCAATGTCATAAAAGTCTAGCAACTCTACTTGTGCTGGCTCACCTGGACAACTCGCTGAGCTCTGCAGTCCCATCAAAGATAACAATACCTTTCTTTGGGACGCTCTACGTGACTTCTGAACGGCACTCGAGATCCGACAGCATACGGACATCCGGCCAGCACAACATTCCCTCAGGCTATACAAGCCGTCATGCAAACACTTCGACCGGCAATATTCATGACAGCGACCGCAATCGCCAGTCCCCAACAATCGCCTATGAAGGCTTATATAGCTTTGATTCGGACATGGCTTGGGCACAAGATGAACTCGGCACGGTGCCCGAATCTTTCGGTTTCATGACTGACTTAGATCATGACTGGGAGTCCTTCTTCAATTCAAATATATAGTGACATGATGTCTGCGGAATCTCTCATTCACGTTGACTATTCTGTACAGTGTCATTTACATGGCGTGCATTTGGTATAAGCGGACCACTCAAGATCGCACCTCCATCGATGAGTCCGGCTCAACAGAGAAGTCTCGTTCCACTGCTGACATTGTTCATTTTACTTTGGCACTGTATGCCCACTACGATGCCAGATCGCGAGCCTTTTTCCACAGCTTCTGCAGCGATGCTCGACATTCTTAAGGCTGCTGCACATGTACGGGGCAAAAGTGAATATGATGGTGGTAAAGAACAAGCATCCCGCCCACGCACTGCGCCACTAATGTCAGCATCAGTCCTTGAACGTGGATCAAAATACCGACTGGTTCATATTTCCGCTCGACAAACTTGTCTTGGTCTTTCCTCTTATGCCACAGTAAGGGCAGTCAACCAGTGCTTCGACATGGCCGAGGTCGTGGATTGCAGTTGGGGCCGGATAGAAAGACGGAGCCGAACAGTTCTCAGCCGCGCAAATCACTCTGATTGGTGGAGCAGGAGGATGATAATGCCTTGCCATTGAGGTGAGTAGAAAGCCCAAAGTTGAACAAGTCCATACTTACATCACCGGGGAAGCATAGCTGCCTGCAATTGACGGGGCTTCGTACGGTGGACAGCCTTCAATGTCGGATATCAGCTCTGCCTTTCCATTCGACCCTGTCTCTTCGATCTGAATACCTTTGATCTCCTGTCCGTACATGATGCAATATTCTCAATACAGATATCTAGGTGCCAGAAAGGTGACGCACACGGATGGCAAATTCCTCAGGCCGAAGGAGTCAGCTTAGGAGGTATATACGGATGGCTTCGGTCTCGGTCCTCCAGGCAGAAGTATTTCCATGCATGGAGTCATGGTCCTAGCCACCCAGATGATGAATTTGAACTGGACCTGAACGGAAAACTAGGCATGGTCCACAGTTGAGAGGCTGCCCTCGTAACTGGCCATTATCCTGCACGTATTCGGACACGGCTCGCGACCTTGCCGGGGCGCCAAAAGTGGACGGTAAACATGTCGCTCGACCCCATTGTCATGTGACTTGGAGACAAATGGACTCGGGATTAACAAGGCCAAGATGTGTAATGACCGGCAAGCTACGGAAACGTGCGAGTAAACCGTTTGTCATGTACCATCACCCCGATATGGCTGATTGAAGTTGCAGCTACTGGAACAGAGCCTGTCTTCCTCATTAGACTTCTGACAGGACTGAGTTGCTGACTATAGGACCCCATTCGTATCAAAAGGGAGGAAACAGAATGCAATCGACGAAGATGCATGATCTACCATTGACGAGTGACCTAGGTGAGGTATGAAAAGACAAAAGGGGAGAGACAGGTGTGCTAGCGGCGAGAAGAAGAAGAAGAAGAAGAAGAAGAAGAAGCAAAAGCAACCACGGAGCGTGAGAACCCAATTTGTATCGTAGACCTTGACATCATATATGCTCCGCACTACTACATGTTGAACTCTGCACTCCAAAGTGCAAAGACCTTCTCCTGGTGCCAAATAATCTCGTATGGGAAGTGGGAAACTCCATGCTGGCACGACAGTTTCCCAACCCGGTAGAGGTCAGCCTTATGATCCACAGACCTAGACCCATGCTAAGCAACTCGCAAGGCCAGCCACAATACCGAGTAGGTTTCAGCCAATATCCAAATATCGAACAGTCCAGTGCCACCAATTGGCAAGTAGACGGAATAGCCAAGCTTCAGATTTTACCAGGTTGTAAAGACACAATCTTCAGTGCTTGCAATATGGTACAGTATCGGGCCTAGGCGGGCTCGGCGGAAAACGCTTGTTGTTCTGCCGAGTTTTCGTAGTATATCAAGATGCGTCATCAAACTCGGTGTTTGAGTTTCACTTTTCCCGTCTGCCTAGATGTTGCTACCTTTTATTCTCTAGTCCGTCTGGGAAAGATGAGTTCTTCTTGCCTTGGTCTCTGGAACATTGTCTATTTCAGAGCTGGTCTTAGCTGACTGATTCGCAATGGTCCAAGTGCTTACTCTCTTTCTTAGTTTCTTGTCCCTTTCAGCGTTTGCCGGGGCGGGACATGGGCGTGGAAAGCTGCTTCCGTCTGGTGAGCATATAGCCTCGAATACTTCAACACCTTAGTTTCTAAACGTTCTTTAGAGACAACAACTACTTTCCATACTCCATTGTCCTTCTTTGAGTATGGAGCCCAAAGAGCTACGATCAAATATCCACCAGTTTCAGTACCGCCAATGAACGAGAACAATGGCATGGTCCAATATTTCCAGGACTCGACCACACTACCATGTCGAGACTGTGTCGTCACTTGGCTGCAAATGGGCATTGAACATGCTGACGGAAGAAAGGCTGATGCCGACACAGGCATGTGGCTTCACCATGGGGTAATGGTGAACAGAGATCGGACGGATGCAGTTTGTTGGGATGGGTCGTCTGGCCAGAGATTTGCGGCCTCAGGCAATGAAAGGACGGCGATCGATATATCAGCTAGCGGGCAAGCTTTCTTCTGAACCTAAAACCGGAGGAAGTGGCTGACCCTCTTCAAGGACAGTCAAAGCTGGTTATTACATCGGCCGTTCAGACAAAATCGCGCTCTCCGTCGACTTGATGAACATGCTTCAATCCGAACCACAGACTGATATTGTTTTCACGATAACTTACGAATATATTGAAGGCCGCCACATTCAAGACTTCTATGCAGTCACCCCTTACTGGCTGGATGTCGGAGGATGCAAAACCTCAGACGTACCTGCTTATCGGGATTCAATATTCAACTATTCCAGTCCAATCCTGAAAGGGGTCCCCCAAGGAATGATTACCTTTGTCGGAGGCCATTTGCATGACGGCGGCACGCATATCGATCTCACCAAAAATGGAAGGGTCGTTTGCAGGCTCAATGCTTTGTACGATCGGTATCGGTACCAGGATGACGGGAAGCTGATGGAACATGTCTCCATCATTGAGACTTGCGAGACGCCTGCAAAGACGGTTACGAAAGATGAATGGTCTATTGTTGCGTGTTACAACACCTCCTTGCATGAGCCCATGGAGATGATGGATGGTTCCCTTGAACCCGTCATGGGCATCATGCTCGTATATGTTGCTCAGGGACTAGAGCGACATGGCATGTCGAGAACCATGTCTTTGAGTGTTATTCTCGGAATCGGCAGTTTGGCCGCGGTGGCATTGCTAGCTGCTGCCTGGTGCTGGCTTGAAGGACGCTGTGGACACAGGAACAAGCGCTTATCATTCGCGGATATGATGTGGACCAGAGACCGAGACTTGGAACAAGAAGCAGTGGTTCCCTTGATGAAAACATGAATCATTCAGTAAGGATATCTGCCAAAATTGGTCCTTATCCTGGTGCATGAAGAGATAACAGTGAACAGTATAATATGATTCCATCGGAAAGAGGAGTCACATTGAGGGTGGATGGAGCGTAGTGGCCGCGACGTGCTTCTATCAGCCGGCGAGCGACAAATATAACTTAATCTTGAATATCCCAGTCCAAGGAATATATCTTAGTAGCATTGCGTTATGAGCGAACGGGAGGACGATAACGTTATTGGGATAGAACCAGACTAACATAGGCGCACCGACTTTCATCGAGGATCCTGAGATGGTTTCGGATTCTATCAGCTGCCGTCGACATTGAACATCTGAAGAGTTTACACGCCAAGCTGTCACGTTGCCTTCAAATTGACAAACCAGAAAGTACCTACAGGTTCTGTGCAATATGAATTGTCGTTGCTGAAAAGGAATTTTACCATGATAACCTCTTTGTTAGGCTGGAGGGTTCATCCGAGTGCGTTGGCGTTGGCCATAAACCTGGACCACTGGCATTTGTGAAGTTATCGAGAATCACCCTGCCGACAACACGGCTGTCTCCTAAGTCAGTCGAAGGAGTCCTCAGACTGAAAGAAAATCGAAGTTCAGTACGCGTGCAATTCCTCGCTCACTTTCAGATTAGTCCCTACCACACTCTCCTACTCCTCATCTTCCGTATCTTTGAACCTTGTCCACCTTACGGCCCTTGCTAATCACTCCCGCGAGATTTGCAACCCCAATTGATTTGTTTATCAGTCGGGAGGGACTCGAACCATATGTGAAGACCGAGAGGTGCGACAGAGAGGACCGAGGGCTTCGAACAGACTGTCAAAAGCCTCGCCGATGTCGGCTGAAGATCGTATATCGCCGGTACAAGCCAGTGCGCTGTCTTTGCCATGCTTCTCTTGGATCGCCTCGCAATAAAGTGCAGTAATTAAAAGTCTAGTAGACCAACCCGAGTCCTGATATCTGCCGAACACTACCTAAAGACAGAATAAGACCCTTAAGAAGTGAAACACCTTGAACAAAGAGCAAAATTATTAGTCCAATGACTGAACGAATCTTCTTCATCCGTCTTCTGACAGTAAGAGAGCTGGCAAATTGAATATTATCTGAATCAACCCTTCTAGCTTGTTGACTGGACCTGGTTTACCGGTGCTCCCACTCGTGGACCTCCAGCTTGAGGGGCTTGTGCGTTTGGCGGGTGCTGAGAGTTCGGAATTGGCTGCGGTGGCTGTGCTGATCTCAATGCTTGTGGGTGTGGATGAACTGCGCTTATACTCATGTTTGTCTCTGATCGCCAGAAGTTTTCAGACCCTCGATGTGTGTGAGTGATAGAAAGGTGGATAATGTCGCTAATTTGGTTGATTTCAAGGCAGAATTTGAGATTTTGGTCGAGAGATTCCGTAATGAGGGAGACGTAGGGTTTGGAAACAGAAATATTTAGTAAAACCTCCGGGGAAGCTCGAGTGAGTTACCATTATCTTGATGAAAGGCCTGCTGACGTTGATTGCAAAAGCTGATACCTTGTGGTGGGATAGCTTCTTGGCCACCATGCGCCGTAGCTTGTCTAAATCACTTCTCTATCCGATCAAAGCCGTGAAGGGTCGCGCGGTGAGAGGGCGATCTAGGACTTTTATCCTCAGCTAGGGTAGAGTGCAAAGCTAACTTTACACCTCGTGCTCGATGTGGCAGGAAGATGATCCTACATATAATGTATATATACAATGCCAGTCGAATATATTTTGGAATGAACAAGGGTTCAGGGAACAAAGACAGTTGAAGCCATCGCCATTATATAAGTAACGACCATTCCTGAATGCAGTAAATAAATGGCACAACAACATTTTTAGTCTCAGACTTTCCAGACGACGACATACCTCTTGTTGAAGACGACGATGAACCCCTTAACTCCAACGTGATAGCCCAAGCCAGAGTGGCGCAGGAATTAGAGGCCTGCATCGAGCAAATACAGAACCCTCCTATATGGAAAGCATTCCGAGAGTATCTCAGGGAGGTCTTATATTCCCACAAAACCAGATGAGGCGCGATCACAAATGCAGTTATGGTGGGAAGCGGATCTATGTCGGAGGTTTCAAGTGAGCACACCGAGCAAGCAAGAGAAAGATCAACATAGCAGTCCGCCTTCTTTAGCTGTATGGTTAAACGACTGGGTAGGTTAACCCCATATGTCAAGGTCGGGTGAATCTTATACAAATCTTTAGAAGCTTACCAAAAACCAAGAAACGCACCTCTCACCGCTTTTGCAGCAGACCCCGACTATATCTCCCAAGACCAGCCCGCTTTCCAGTCGATCGGGGTAGAGCTGGAAAGCAGTTGGGAGGCTATGGAACTGGTGCAGCAGAACACTTTTCTATTTATGCTTTCCCTGAACAGAAACGTCAAATCATGGGCATTGCAACATGGCCCAGGCATTGTTTCCACAGACAAAATTATCGAAACTGATCCCAGCGCACGACGGTTTTTGGACAGACACCCGTATAAAGAAGATGCAAGTCGACTTCTGTCAGGTTTTGGTGCGACGTTTGAGAACCATACCCTCTATACTTGATCGACCCAAAGCGGTCGGCGCTGATTAGGCTGTAGTTGGAAGTTTGAGGAGATAAAAAGAAGAGAGGCATGCTTATGCAGACTGCAGCTACCATAAGTAGCGGGAAGCGACTGGACGTTGATGGAGAGTTGTGCAGGCATGATGCCGTCGAGGACAACTGCAGATTTTGGAGTATTCGGAGTTGCACTTCTTAAACTTCTATGGGTTTGTTGAAGATTCTAAGGTCGATAGAGTAAAGGAAAGAAATATGGGTGCCCAGGCTTTGAGTCGATTAACACTCGAGGGATGGCCCTCCCGTCACGTTCTGGCGGGCAACGAACATGGAGGCTCCAAACTCTGCGAAGAATCCTGTCGAATGTCCACTTAGCGGAGCAAAAGGGGTCAAGTGGGTACATCCCTAATTTCCGAAGACCTGTAAAATTGCAATGTCTACATCTACTGCGATCAGTGCGCGTACGGATCTCATCCAATGGATATTCGGGGTATTCGACGGGGCGTGGCCCGTCTGCTCATTGCGATCCATGAGAATAATGCTTCCGTTTCCGAAAGCGTCGTCAAGGAAGAGATCCGGGGACCACGAACGACAACGGTACGTGTTCTCGTATGCCTTTTCTGAGCATGCTCTCCGTTAGCAAGAGTCCATCCTCAAAAATACATAGCGCTCATTTCTCTTGAGGCAGCGACTTCATCAGTAGGTCGACTGAGCGAATAAAGGGGTATTGACATTGTCTCGTGGTTCACGTCCACCACACTTGACGCTTTTGCTGATTTGATACATGGCGAGCCAAATTGTTGTTTGGAGAATTCAACCAATGGTTCAATTGTAGCTCTGGCTTTTGCTAGCTCCTATGCCGTGGCCTCTAACGATACCCAGCTCCACAAACGGTGGCACAAACGCTTTGTGGGTTTCTTTATCCCAAAGCTGGTACTCGGGCAAAGGAAGAAGTAGATGAACTTGAAAATCGAAAGGATGGACTGAGGCCTGACCATGGAAACGCAAAGGAGCGATTTCTTGACTTTCGCCGCTAAGCCACGCGATCAAACGCCTTTCCCTTGGGTGAGATGCAAATTTATGCACAAATATTCATCATCGTGGGGAGCGAGCCAACTGTGACCATGTTTGCCTGATGATAGATGTCAAAGAAGGAGAAAGTGACTTGAGGCAGAATGTAATCGAGGCCTTTCAGAGAACGGCAGCTCGCTGTCAAGGAGATTGAGAGAGCTTCGCGGGAATAACCTCTGCGATCATGGCTAGGCTGTGAAGGATTTCCCCATCATGGTGGATGGCTGGACTTAATCGGGCTCTGGCTGACGATTTTACAGACATAGGGGCGTTGGCACTTCCAATATCCGATGCTGAGGGAAAAGAATCGGCTGGATCAGCCGAGTCGAGGTTGGCAATGGAGAATGGCCGCCTCAATCAAGGTCGTGACATTTGACGCCAAGGCCGACGCTCTGGCTGTGGCCGCCTATTTTGCTCCGCAGATCAAGGGTCAGTTGTGGTCGTGACAGGAGCAAACCCGTTAGGCCTGGGGTTCAGTACATCCTGAAGCATTTGCCTCCCAGAGTCCCAACGTTCTCGTCCTTACCGGCCGCACTGAATCCAAAGTGCAAGAATGCATCTCCAAGATGTCGGCACGATATCCTGTCGTAAAGTATATTTATCTCCAGCTCGACCTGTCCAGCCTCGCGGGCGCCCGATCGGCGGCCAAGTCGCTTATGGCTAACGCAGAAGTCCCCTATATCGATATATTGGTGAACAACGCAGAGCTCGGAGACGGTCAAATTCTCCCCGGACGGATTTGAAACGCATTTCGCGGTCAATCATCTGGCTCCATTCCTCTTCACCAACTTGGTTCTCCCAAAAATAATCTTGGCCTCTCGAAAAAAAGTGCCTGGTGCAACTCGCATCATCAACCTTTCATCTGAGGGCCATATGTAGAGCGGGGTGCGATTTTCCGATGTCAATTCCACCAAGCTACCATCAGCTCTTCCGGAGCCAGAGCGGCCCGTTATTGAAAAGATTCGAAGCCTGTTCCCTGAGGCATACACGGATCCTCGTGAAACATACCATCCATTTCCTGCCCACGGCCAATCGAAGACCGCCATGGGTTGTTCGCCATCGGGTTAAATAGACGACTCTACCATAAATACGGTATTCTCTCTTTGGCTGTCCACCCGGGTGCTGTTGGGACGGAATTGAAGAGGAATTTTGACCAAGCGACATTGAAATGGTTGTTTGAGAAGTGGAATGAGCTGGGACTCGGGGAGCTGAAGACGCTGGACCAGGGAAGTGCAACCACGTTGAGGTGCGCCATTGATCCAAAAATCAAGGCGCCGGTGGACGACGAAGAAACGGGAAGGTACAGAGAAGTGTATTGGAGTGACTGTCAGATTACGAACGCGGCTGATTGGACTGTTGATGGCGCATTGGCTAAGAAGCTATGGGCGAAGAGTGAGGACCTGTGCCAACAGAAATTCGAGCCTTGAGGACGGGCGCTAGATCCGCGTGCCGTGGAAAACCTTTGCACCTCTATATAAAACTGGGTCATACCTAGAGATGGCTGTGTTAGGGAAAATAGATGGCATTCTTGTATGTAAGGAGAATCAAGTTCACACTGGCGATAGAAGTCGGGCATTTCCATTCAATTTGACTCCAAACCTGACTGAATACAATAACGGAAACGAACCAATTTACTGACTCAAGCTTGGATTCATTGAACCTCAGGCACAAGGAGACAATTCAAATCCCTTGTAGTTATTGTTGGCAGACTCCCAAATCTTGTTTCGGTAGGTCGGAAGGCCTGCCATGTAGTTCAACGCCTCGCGAGGCTTTCCTGGAATGTTGTCGCCATAGTACCAGCTCTTTGCCTTTGTGAACAGTCCTTTCTCCCCCATTTCGAGGGTGTGGTCTCTCCATTCCTGCTCCGCCTCTTTAGTGGCTTCGATCTTTGTGATGTTGTTGTCGCGCTGGTATATCAAACACGCCGTGATCCAGTCCCCTTGACACTCAGCCGACGACGGGCCAGTGGCGAATGCTGTGGGCGCCTGCGGTCCATACATCATATACATATTTGGGAAGCCCGAAACCGTCATCCCATATAGCGTGTATGTTCCCTTGTCCCATCTCTCTTTAATCGTCTGTTTCGGATCAACGCCTCGGATGTCAATCGACGTAATTCCACCTGTAACGCTATCGAAACCCGTGGCCGCGCAGATCATGTCCACTTCGGCGACCGTACCATCCGCCGTCTTGATGCTGGTATCGGTAACTTCCGTGATCGGGTTATTCACGAGGCTAACCAGATCTACGTTGTCTTGGTTAAAAGCCTCAAAGTATCCCTTTTCGAGACTGATACGTTTTGTGCCGAAAGGATGTGGAGGCACTTTGGGTGCCAAAATCTCTCGGTTTCGAGGGTCCTTGATACGGGGCAGCACGCTCTGTCTCCAGACTTCGTAAGCCTCATTGTTGGCGTCATCATTGAAAAGCACGTCCGAGTAAGTCCCAAGCCAGAAATGGAGGCCACCGCTCGAGAGGAGATTCTTGTAGAATTCGGCCTTGACTTCGGGTGACACCTTGAGAGCAGACTCTGGGCTAAACTCGTAATCGAATCCCGCAAACGTCTTCAAAATCATATCCTTAGTGTGCTGGAACGTCTTCTTCCACGTATCGTTCATTGTTTTGTCGTATAAGTCATTCCTCATGGGTAAAGCCGTGTTGGGTGTTCGCTGATAGACAGTGAGATGCTTTGCCTCTTTAGCAGCCTCCTGAATAAGCTGCACTCCACTGGCACCAGTTCCAATAACGGCAACACGCTTGCCCTCCATGTTTACTCCTGTCTGAGGCCACATGCCAGTGTGGTACAATTCTCCCTTGAACTTGTCGAGTCCTTTAAAATCGGGAATATATGGTTTCGAACCAAAACCGGTACACAGGACAACGCTGCGCGCCGAAGCCTCGCTCTCTTGACCGGTATTCGTATTTCGCATTGAAAGTCGCCATTTGTGCGATTGGTCGTCCCAGTGCATACTCTGGACACGAGTGTTAAAAGTGATTAGATCGCCAAGATCCCACACTTTAACTAGGTGTTGAAAATATGTCCGTAGCTCGGAGTAGTCTGGAAACCGCTGCGACCAATTCCATCCAGTCCAGCTTTCGGCCGATGTCAACTGGTAGGTAGGTACAGGGGTGTCAACACGTGCGCCAGGATAACAGTTCCAGTGCCAGATACCACCCGTTCCAGAGCCGGCTTCGTATAGGTGAACGTCAAAACCGGCCTCCTTGAGCTTGTGCAGTTCGTAGATGCCAGAAAAGCCTGCTCCAATCACGATCGCGTCCCGGCGGCCCGAGTCAGGGGCAATGGATCCCATGACTGTGGTAAAGACAAAGCTCGCGGAGGGGAAAATCAAAGACTGTATCTGCGGCAACTAAGAAAGACTCGGTCGCAAGTAAAGGCGAGATGCTCCTCCTCCTTGGTACTTTGAACAGAACTTCAGGCTGGGAGACAGAAAGTTTAGGTCGTTCGGCCGTTTTATAGACAATCTGGAGTTATCAAGGGTCTGCCGCATCCTAGACACAAACATTCCCTATCATAACCTTGGGGATTGTATTCTCCGAGTGTGGTGTGCTTGGGGATGTGTCTTTCGGAGTCCATTCACCGTCCTGGTCTGAGTTGTTGTCTCCGCATGCTGGTTGGGCTTAGCCGAGGTCATATGGAAGATGAAAGCCAAATCAATCTGTGTGAACCGAATGTGAAAGTCCGTTGGCTTAGGCTAGCAGATGCTTCCTTGGAGCCGATAGCCTCTCTAATCCTATTGTACGTCGAGTCTATCGCTGTACGAGGCGATTAATCTCTAACAAGCATACAGCCAGAGCAATCCTTTGAAGCTGGGACTTGTGTCTCTCCAAGGGTTGCGTGGTGTCCTTGCTGGGTGCTGTATCCTGGCACCGTGGCTGCTCAAAGCGGTTTTGTCACTCCACAAGAGAGATAGTAGCGTCAGAAGAGATATAGCTTGCTGCAGCTTGAGAATATGTGGCACATTTGGGTCATCAGATTGTCTTTATTCTTCTATACAGAGCGCTGTTCACGATGCCAAAAACGCACTCACTGATGATGGATCTAGCAAGGATTCGTCGAAGGGTAGCTGGAAAACTCCATCGAATGCTGATGGATCAAAATTTAGGCTGGTGAAATCAGTGTCGTTGTCATTAGTGCCGTCATCTCTTCGTCTGGTGATAGGAATTGCAACCGTCGCATCGGTTCCACCGAGGTCTGTCTCTGCGTTCGGCTGTCGCCATGCGGTTGAGCGGTCCATAGGGTCTCCATAATCAGGAAGGTCACAGACCCGACACACTCGCATGATGGACTGTAGAATTTTACGAAGATTTCGGGCCACGATCTCCGCACTCTCCATCTCTCTCATGGCTCTTAGACATGTTGCTAAAGCAGCAGTTTCGTCAGATACGTCGTGTCGGTTCCTTTCATTGATCTCCGCGACGAAGATGGTAGCGGCCATCGTAATATTGTACAGGGCGGAGCCTAGCATCGTGTTGGCCTCGCCGTGATGAGTCGTGTAGTTCAGGACCAGATTCGAGATCATGAAAGCATGTTCGACGCAGATTCTGCGCGACTTATTTGAGTTCTGGCATTTCCTCTTCTCTGGATTGCCGAATCCCGCGTTATGCCTGTTCACCAGAATCGTTAAAGCCGAGTATTGGATTCTAGAGAGTCAATATAAGTGCACCGAATGATTACTTAGTGTATGAAGGCGGCTCACTCACCGTAGCAGATATATGCCTGGAGGTGCATTTGGAAAGAACGTTAAGGAATGATCAAGGCTGGCATCCCATTTTTGTAGCGCTCCTGTGAAGAAATCAATTTGTTCTTGGAAGCAGCTATTCGTATTCCTGAGCAAGTTTGTCAGTGAAGCGTCTCAAAGCGGCGACATTGACTAGAAACAAACAATTTCTCGCTGATATGACCTGAAAGCTCGAGCAGTTCGGCCCAAGCTGCAAACATCTTCATATCCCACGTTGGGGCATTTCTATTTGGGCGTTCAATGGACACGTCACTCAACTTGATGACTGGGGGCCGGCCGAGATAAAGTGACCAAAGCCTGAGTAAAGTGTCATCAGTCTCTGCGCTGGCAAAATGGATTTAGGTTCCGCACCTGTCAAAGCCTACGCAGCCCCAAAGGACGACCTGCCTGACCTCAAAGTCGAGGGGTGAAAGCTTAGTATTGGGTATACGAGACCAATTCTCGTGAAGTCCAAGGTCAAAAGCCAGTCGGCATGCATTTCCTAGGCACAGGTTAGTTAAGGGTGCTGAATTTCAAAGATAGTGTAGAATACCTGATCGCATCCATCCTGAGGAGTCATTCGACTGACAACAGTCTAGGATACTAAGCAGCATCAGCGACTGAATGGTTGTCAAACCAGGATTCAAGAGCTCCTCTTCCAAAGCCTCCTCGGCTTGTCTGGTCAATATCGGCTTCTCGCCGGTTTCGTCGTCATCTGCTGGCACAGACAGTGCTCTAATCTCAGGACTAACAGAAATGCGAGCAGCAGAGGCCAGCAGACACAGAAGCAGACAACGACTGTAGTATGGGCCTTGCTGAGTTTGCATTGCGGCGAGAAATGCTTCCTTGTGAATGATATGGAGGATGTTGTGTTGATATTTCCAATATAGATCTAGGAGATATTGTTGCATCGCCCAAGGCACGTCTTTCTCAAGGTCCGCTCCAAATTTGGAAACGTCACTGCAATATTTGAAGATCGACGTGACGCTCTCAGTTAGATGAAGGCTAGAGGTTGGTCCAAAATATCGTAGTTGGCCGTCGTCCTTGCTGTTGAGTCGTCCTTGAGCCTCACATAACCGGCTGATAAGGCTCTCGCCTGGCTCTGACTCTGGTGTGCCTTTGCTGCGCCTTTCTCCAACGGCGCTGGAGTCATCCGTAATCAATGTGGGTGAACTCAAGGAGTCGGAAGCTTGGGGCTGCAGTAGTGGCTGTGGTTGAGACTGCCCTTGCATTTGTAATGGTGAGCCGGATGCAACAGTGGGCCAATGCGCCGTTTGTGACTGCGACTTCGATTGAGTGTATGCTGCTTGCATATTTGCCACAGTGTTTCTCAACTCGGCGATCTGGTCCTCGAGTTGTATAATATAATCCTTTGAATAGCGTCTGCACCATTGGGTCATCTTTAGCCATGTTTCGGTTACGGGCTGATGGAAACAACTTACACTCGTCTTTCATCGCGGTCTGGCAATCTGCACGGGATATCTAACATCCGACATCTTTCACAGGTCCCCCCAACGCGTTCGCACTGTTGCCGGTGTTGGGACTACAGCATTCACAGACTTCAGAATTCGTGAACTGACCTTGATTTTTCTCGGCCGGCAGTTGAGACATGCTAAGGTCTTAGAGCTTCGCACCTGGGGCTTAGATGCCGACGATAATCGCCGCTTGGGTCCTCCAGATTTTCGCAAGCGAGGGTCGTCTCCATACGGGTTTTCTATGTCGTCTGAGACTGGTTGAGGAGTTGTGAGTGAGTTTTTAGTCGTGTCCTCTAAAGGATCCACCGTCACGGGCGAATAGCTGGTGTCAAGCGGCCTTGCGAGCATGATGAATGGGTCGGCAAGAGCGTCAGGGTGAACTGCTTTCTCAACTTCAGAGTTTGTCAACATCAAAGAGAACAGGAAAATGTGTGCGGGGAGGGATAGAAGAGAAATGTTCTCTCCCGCCCCCCTCAAAATGCTGCATGTCTCCCTCGGCCACTGATCAGCACAAAAATCGCGGAGAAACCGGGGTCGTCTTTCGTGGAGAGGAAGGGCCCATCTGGGTGGGCCCAGCCAATTATCAATTGTCGTCTGGGTGACTCCCGGGAAGTGGGACCCGGCCACAAGGCCGAGACACTTCAGGGGCCTGCATCCAGACCCACTCCCTTTTAATGAGCTCCTGGTTGTCGCCCTGTCCAGTCGTCGCTGGGATCATGCATTCTTTCTGTCTTCAGCGGTGATAAGAGCTACTTTCTATCAGGTGATAGACAAGGAAAAGACGACATAGGTACAGCACGCGCAAGGGACATGTTGTTCGGCAGATGTCGCGGATGAACGGGAACGTCGTATCTCACGGAGATCAATCACCGAGCACCTCAAACCCTGCTAACCAAACTTGATCAGCTATTGTCCACACCCAATGATGACTCCTTCAAGCAGGGCGTGATGAGATAACCTGGAATGGCGCGACCAATGCCTCTAGCTATGGCTGCCCTGCACGAGTTAAGACTCCATGTCATCAGAGAAGGATCTGGAAGGATGAAGCTATGAATAAGTCCCCTCATGCAGGCATTGTTCCGATCGCTCTCATCATGTGTCTCCATTCACCGTTTTCGATCGGTCTAAAGTCTCGTTCGCCATGGGTGGTGTGCCACCCCAATCTTTCATCCATGCATTCAACATGACCTCGATGAGGCCACTTTTGATCACATCGGGGGCTGTAGCCATGCTTCTGCTATCCGCCTGCGCCTTGCGCGTGTCAAATTCCAGACCGCCGTCGTGTCTCTGTTCCTTGCTGCCGTATGACTTTTGCCAGAAATCAATCAATTTGATCGCTGGGCAGTGTAAGCTTGCCGCTTCCACCCCCTGTGTTGCGCTGTAGTTTTTCAGGCTCGCAATCCACTGCTCAAAGGCCACAGTCTCGAATTTGAGCCCTGCACCTTCGAGTGCCGGCAATAGATCCGTCGTCCAGGAGAAAGCGAGCCTGTTGCACATGTTGTAGACTAGCATTTGCGACTGTTGACGTTTCGGCATTGTAGCAATCTCAACAATGGCTTTTGCCAGAGTATCAACCGGGATCCACGAACACTTCTAATTTCACGCAATGTCAGAAACAGAGCGTGCCTAGTTACCTTTGACTTGAAATCACTTACCATGTCCAAGGAGGGTAGGCTCCCTATACTGAGGGCAGAGCGAATCATCAGCGGGACAGCTTCGCCCTGGTTCCAAAACCCATGCTTTGTGTCTCCCACAATCTGACCAATTCGCAAATTGCATGCCAAAGCCCCAAAGTCTTCTACTGCCCTTTGCACAATATACTCGGCAACAAGCTTCGACTGGGTGTATCCGTTGCTCATCCCTTGTCGAAAGTCCATGATGGGCTCTTCTGCGATCCGCTTTTGGCCTCGCGTGCTTAGTGCAACACCCATTGAGGAACAAAACATCATGCGAGCAGGGTGGGGCAATCGCACATCCAAAGAAAGTTGGATCAACCTCTGGAGCTCATTGATATGAGGCCGAAACGATGCCAGGGACAGGTGAAAGTTGACGGGCCATGCAGCATGAATGATAAGGGTCAGACTGTCAAGGAGTGATTCTCTTGTGGCACTTTCCTGGCCTAACCAAAGATTCCCTGCCTTGCTGGTGATAAGCTTGACCTTTTCTGCGAAGTTCGGTGGCATGAGGAATCGCCTGCTGAGAGACTCTTTCAGTCGCTTGGCAGCATCCTGACCCCTCACTGGGCAATAAATTACTGCAACATCATCCCGTTCAATCAGAAGAGCAAGGATGTGAGCACCTAGTGAGCCTGTAGCACCTGTGAGAAGCTAGATCAATTATCAGCATTTGCAGGCAAAAACCGTGAAATAATACGCTTTCTTACGACTGTTTCTCGGCTGGAGCAGACGTCCCCCGAGCCCCTATGTAGACGAAACTCCCCATACTCTTCAACCATGGAAGCCATTTCATCAATAATGGTCTCTGGGTGAGACAAAGCAGCAGCAGAGCTCTTGTTTCCGCGGCCACTAGACATCAACCGCGCGGCGAGGCGCTTGATGGTGCCATATTGGAATATTTCCTCCACAGATAGCGTGATGTGCAGATCCAGCACGGGGTCTTGAGCAATAGCATTCCGGAGTCTAAGCGCGAGTAGACTATCCATACCGGCAGAGTGAAAATCATCCTCGATGCTCGAGACTAGGATTCCTTGCTGTTGAACCCGCTTGAGAAGGTGGCTTCGTAGCTGGCTACCGTCAAGCAGCAATTCGTGTCGCGGATATTCCCCGTTCCGGAGTCCCTTGGTCTGGTCTGCGCTTGTTGATTGAAGCAGGCTTTCAACCATCAGTCGTAAGTCTCGTTTGAGCACCTTTCCAGAACTAGTTTTCGGCCAGTCCTCAATTCCAAGCTCATCTAAACTGATCACTTGTTCTATCGCATATGCAGGGCCCATTTTTTCCAGAACACATCTCTGAATGCTGATGGCAGCGTCTCTGTCTCCTAGATGTTTGATGACAGCAATAGGAACCTCTCCAGCAATTTCGTCAGGGATTCCAATCACCTGAGACTAGTGATATTATTACTATGAGAACTTCAATCCACAAGATTAGTCCAATCACTTACATCTATCCCCGTACTTTCGGATATTACGGCTTCCACCGCTGTAGAGGCTATATTCATGCCACCCCTGATGATCATGTCTGCGTCACAACAGATGAGCTCCAAGTCGCGTCGAGCAGCCAATTTGCTCATGTGGAACTTACCTTTATACCTTCCCACGATTGCAATCCTTCCGTTCGCCAACATTGTCGCTTGATCGCCACACCTGTACCACGTTTCCCCGTCTGCCGTGAAAAAGTTATCTTTACCTTGGTCACCCAAATAGCTCTCGATTTTCTGCAAGCCGCCTTGGATTATCTCACCGGGAGTTCCTCTGGGGAGAGGTTCGATCCCATCGGGTGCACAGATCCTGATCTTGCTACCTGGATTGGCATAACCCGCATAAATTGGATCATCCAGACTAGCCGGGACGCAATCTAAAGTCTCCGAGCAAACTGAAGTACCCTCCGTCATGCCAAAGAAGGGACTGAAGCGCTTGCATTTCAAGAACAAAAATGCTTTTTCGACATGGGACCGTAATATTTTGCTCCCACCTACAATAACATGGTCAACACCTCTGACGGAAGGCTCACTTAGTAATGGAGACGATGACAACAAATCTATCATGGAGGGTACGGCGAGAACGTCGGTGTACTCTCCTGCTTGAATTGCCGTGGCGATAGACGGGACATCAAAATTGTAATTGACGTGTGTGACGCTCCCTCCAGGTAGGAGATATGCGAGTGTCCACGAGCTGCCGACAATCGAGTTCATGGGAAGAATCTGGAGCCACCGGCGTCTTGAATCCAGTTTGAATGCTTCTCCCCAAGATCTGATGTTGCAAGTGAGCGATTTGTTGGTATGCGGCGCTGCCTTGGGGAGCGCTGTTGTGCCTGATGTGAACCAGATGAAGACAATGTCATCGACATGACGAGGAAGTTTGTCGATGGCTCGCTGTGTGTCTTCGAAGGTTTCGTCCTCGGCCGCACTCGACGCAAGTTCATTCAGTGAAACGTAAGAATTGATCGTAGACATTGGTCCCACCACGGCCTTCACCTGCATATCCCGCATCAAATCAGGTACAGTTTGTTCGAGTCTCTCGGCGATTGAGTCGTCCTCCACAATGATAGCTCTAGCGCCCGACAATGTCAGCATGTGTCTGATCTCCTTTGCATTTTGCGGTGCTCTCAGGTTGAGCGGTGTGAATGGACATTTCATTTTGACTGCTGCACGCAAAAGCATGTGAAATTCTACTCTTCCACTGAGCATTACGGCAATCGTTGCCCCAGGACTCAGTCCCTTCTTCATCAATGCATGAGCGACAAGATCGGCGCCGTACTGAAGCTGGGAGTGGGTCCATTGTAGATACGGAAGCCTCTCCGCAGCATTGATTCTGGAGCTGTTGTAGCCGTTTACTGCCGGGAAAAGGTCCACAGGTTGGTGTTTACACACCATCGCCACCTTGTCTCCATGCTCGGTGATTGATGAAGTAATCAGATCGTGAAGAATGGGAATGGGAATGTCGAGGTGCGGTCCTTCCGCCACGGAGACCTTGTCGGTCAACATGTTGTTGCCTGTCAAATCGAATCCACAAAATTCCCCAGCGCGAGAGATAAAAGAAGATTATGAAGTTTTGTATGATCACATATAAGAGGTAGATTACTGAGCAGACTGCGGGGCTCTGGGACCGGCGAATGTTCACCGTTCGAGGCTCAGAGTCGGGGAAGAGGAAATGACTTCGAAGCCGGCCTATTAAGATCTGTTTTCCATGCCAGACAACTACCCTGCTACTAAGGGAGAGTCTCGGCAACCTAGCGCGAAGGTTTGGAATTTCAAATAGTCTGGATGTACCTCGCAATGGTAAAAAATCTGTGAGAAACGGAAGCTTTCTAGAAAGGAGCCAGGTGAAGATCTACAAGAAGTCGCCGGCACGGAACATGTGTCTATCTCAAAACACCACCGCCATTCTTGACTTGGACTTGCCGCTTTTCATCAGCTCCATCATCTCGTTGATTTGTTCAAGCTTGTACAGCTCGACTTTCGGCTTGATGTTATGCTTTGAAATGAACTCGACTGCCCGTGGCATCTGTTGTGGAGGACCCGTACTTTCACTTCTGATTTGATATAGCTTCCTCATCAACTCTAAAGCAGAGAATTGAAGCGGTTTCGAGGGAAGTCCGATCACCATCAGAATACCACCAAGGCGCAGGACTTTGGTCGCGCTATCGTAGGCGGCCTGGGCAGCGCTGAAGACTACAGCAGCGTCCGCGCCTCCGCCAGTAGCATCCCTTATTCTCTTTTCGAAGTCGGCATCTCTGCTGTTGACCGTGATATCTGTCCCATTCTCCTTTGCTGCCGTAAGCACCTCATCGTTGATATCGAGACCCACGACGTTCAAGCCCATGGCTTTGGCGAACCGGATGCCCATCTGTCCAAGACCCCCGCAACCCACGATAACAATCCATTGACCAGGCTTAAGACCACAGGAATCGACTCCGTGAAAAGCTGTCGCCCCATTGTCAGTACAAATGACAATTCTGAAGACTATGGAAAGCAAATGCGAGTTACCTGTAATACCAGCGCAGAAATATGGTGCCGAGGTCTCCATCGGAAGATTTTCAGGGAGAATAATGGCGTTACGATAATCCACAGCGGCATACTCTGCAAAGAAACCGTCGGACTGGAAACCCTGAAGTCTGGCGGTGCCTAGCGTACAGTTGAGATTGTGCACCATGCATCCTTCGCACTCGACTATGATAACGTTAGCAAGCTGTGTTGTACGATTGAGCGACAGAATAGGCAAGCCCAGTCAACTCACAGCAGACTCCTTTAATATAGAGAAACCCAATGCGGTCCCCAGGCTTGAAACCCTTCACATTGGCACCCAGCTTATCTACATAGCCTACGCCCTCGTGGCCCATCACTACTGGCTCCGTAGCAGGAATTGAGCCATCAAACAACATCAGATCCGAGTGACACAAGCTGGCGGAGGCGACTTTGACCAGTATCTCATTGTCATTGATGCTCGGAATTGGGATCTCGTCTATCGTGCACTTATTCGTCTCCTGGTGGATGTTAGTACTGATCTTTGACGGCGGAGACTGACAGACAGGATGATAACGAGCCGCCTTCATCGTCAAGGTAGCCATCTTCAACACGAATCTCCGATTAAGATAGTAACCGGTCCTACTAGCTAAAGAAATTGGAAGAATAGAATATTAATGAGCTCTTTGGCTCAGCCAACGGGTTAAGATCACCTGTAGGTTTCGAGCATATATCAACAAACAGAGACACGGCCTCTGGGGATGGAATTCAGGTGGTTGCGCAGCAGTGATTGAGAAGAGAACTCAGCTCAAATAGTTGTGAGAGCCTTCTTCAGAGCCCGTTGATATTCTCGATCTCGATTGTGGCTCAGACGGTGAATATTACCGGGCCATGAACAGGAGCAAGCAACAATGCTCGCATCCGCACAGCCGGTATTTGATCTCCGTGTTATGCGGGGTAAATCTCCACACACGAGGCTCGAAGCATGAGGGGCTGAGAAGACGGAGAGCAAATACGAGTACAAGTATCACTCTCTAGATCGGGCATGTTGGCCTCGGTTCTTCCAGAAAATCCCGTTATTCGGCAGGGGGAAACCTTGGGCAGATCGCTTTGATTAGCTGTAACTTCTCGGGCAGCCACAAGCCAACCCATCACCCTGCCGCTGAAGATTGACCCTCATATGTTCCCGATGCATTGCTAGCAACGGTCAAAGCATACAGAATCCTGCGGGATAATTGTACTAGTATGTTACAATCAAGACAGGTGGGAGTACGTGGCTGTCAGACTAGCAAATTTGAAGGGCCAAAGGGTTGTTACAGTCGCATGGACAGGAGAAGGAGCCTTGATGTGCAAATGTCTGCCTTGCTGAAGAGCCCAAGAGACAAAAACGGTCCCTGCAGGCTGCAGGAGGAAAAGCACTATGCCTCGCGAAAGACACGGGCCGAGACGCGGATGGCCGGGTTCAAGAGTGGTTTGCCGACTGCGATCTGGGCAGCTTATCAATTTTGACTCGCACACCGACTATTATTTTCAAGAAAAGCTCTCCTTCGCCGCTATGGAGCCCATGCAACATATTCTAGCCTTAGGTTGCCTGGGGCCATTCGACAGAGAAAGGCCAGGTTATTTTTAATGGTTTATTAACTGTCGCGGAAACTGCAGTCTGGCAACTCGAGCAACTGCTGGAGGTTTCTTGCGCGGCATTCATTTGCCGCTCGATCCTGGTGCTGGCGTTGGCGCGTGGCTGAACGGAACCTAGACTAAGATCCAACCGGGGCGAGTAAGAGTGGATCCGGGTATGTGAACTACTTCCTGTATCTTGCTTCTCCCAGCATCGCGCTCTGCAGGTGAAGCCATCCATGCGTGCGTCCGAATCTGGGCTATCTTTCGTCTTTCTCTGGTTTCTATCACACGCTTGCTGCCAGACTAGCAGTAGAGTCACGTCCTGGCCAGGCAGATGGAGATTAGAGTGCGATATTTCCTCTCCCGGACAGTGAGGTTGTGGAGGAATCGCACTGGGAGTTAAAGCTGCGCATATATTAACTTATCCTTCCATCTACTCCGTGGTGCATATATAGCCTCTACGAGATCAACATACTGCGGTTGAATCTTTTCTCAGGCTTTGAGGAAATGGCTCCCACCGACCATAGGGCTAAGGCCACTCGATACAATTTTGCGGTAGCCTTCTACGTGGCCCTGGGTTCTTTTACATATGGCTTCCACTCCGCTATCATCGGGTCAGTGATTGGGATGCCATCATTCTATAGCTACTTCGACTTTGTAGCAACCAGTTCCTACGGTGGCTCCATCATTGGTGCTTGTAATGGGCTCTACGCCGGCGCCGGCGTCTTGGGCTGTTGGGCTGTCTTTTGGTTTGCAGACAAATTTGGCCGCAAAATTGCAATTCAGATCATTGCGGCAATTTGCATTATATCAGCAGCCATCCAAGCTGGTTCTGTGCATATTGCCATGTTCCTTGTGGGAAGAATGCTGAATGGTTTCGGCGTGGGAATGATCAACTGTGCCATCCCCACATACATATCTGAAATCTCCCCTGCTGCTCAGAGAGGCCTCGTTGTGGGCTCTCACGGTTTTATCATCTGCTGCTCCTATGTACGCCAAATATCTCAGATCTTGGACTCCACAGACACTTATGGACACCTACGCTATGGCCGGCTGGGCTGAATTTGGAATCTACTACGCGAATAACCCTACCATCCAGTGGCGACTTTTAGTTGCACTTCAAATTGTCGCTCCCTTACTACTACTCATTGGCAGTCCACTGATTCCCGAATCTCCACGATGGTTGATTGAGAATGGACGAGGACAAGAAAGTATGGCTGCACCTAAAGATTGGTTGAACCTACTAAGAGAGATGAACAGGTTTAGAAATTCTCATCAGGCTTCACAAGAACAAGCTGGATCCCGATGACATTGGAGCAAGAGAGGAATTTGTCCAAATTCAGAGACAACTAGCACTTGAGCATTCGAACAAAGTACCAGGCCTCTTCAAGACGTTCACGATTCCATCATACAGGAAACGCCTGTTCTACGGATTTTTCCTCCAAGCCATGTGTCAAAGCATGGGCGTTCTTGTTATATCTAACTATATGGTGAGAATCATTCAATGGCAGTTTCGACCGCACTAATTAACCTGCTTTGAAGGTAACAACGCTGGAGAACCTTGGGTTGAGTGGTTCTACTCCACTCCTAGTTCTTGCATTCTACAATTCTTGGGCAGCCGTGCTGAATTACATCAATGCCCGCAACTTGGACCGCTTTGGGCGCGTCAGAATCGTGACCACTGCTGTGGTGAGTGGGTTGAAGGCTAATATTACCATGATACTCTAACCTTGATAGGCTGGAGCTATTTTGTGTGTCTGCATTGTTACAGCCCTCGTTGCTAACTACGGAGGTCCAACAAACACCAACAAGGCTGGCTCTGGTGCTGCTGTGGCTTTTATCTTCTTATTCGTCACATGTTACGGGCTGGGTGTCGACGTCACCAGCTATGTCTACTGTGCTGAAATATTCCCAACTCATATGCGTACGCGAGGAGTAGGTTTCTCCGTCGGTGGGCTATTTTTGATGACAACAGGTAAGTGCAATAGCCCGAGACCACATTCTTCATGGCGCGACTCTAACATGCCATGATAGTCTACACGACTGCTGCTGGTCCGGCCTTCAACCATATCGGATGGAGATTCTATTTGGTCTTCATCATTGTGACATCTCTGATGCTGCCGTTTGTCATCCTATACTTCCCAGAAACCAAAGGTCTCAGTCTCGAGGAGATAGATGTGCTCTTTGGGGACGAAGTGGCGCTTGACTTAACCCATTTGTCAGAGGAAGAAAGAGCCGCTTTCGACAAGAATATCACGGAGGGTCTCAACGTTACGTACAGAGACATGGAAAAGGGTGCATTGCTGAAAACCGAGAGCATTCAAGTGATTGATGGTTCGGAGGAGGAGGGTAGTGTTAAAAAGCCGTAACGATCTCTTCTGTTTACAGATGACCGAGATCAAAAACAACCTTGAGTACGCAGTAATCATTGGCCCAGAAATAAAGCTCCAGCCTATCAATATCGGTATATGACGATGGATCTTCTAAAGTGCGTGTTAATGCGACTGCAGTACCTAGGAGGCTTGTGGACGGAATAATTTGAATACTTCTTGCAAGAGAAATGTAGTCTTGTCTCTCGCAGGGGAGGCAAAAGCGGAGTAGGAAGTGGAATGGGATCATGAGAAAGATGCCAAGTCGCATTTCTTCTTATCATCCAAAGGGTCTGGGATTAAACTGTTGCATTTATGGCTTTCGAGCAGTCGATCCGTCCAAATATTCTCCCAGTTGGGCAGCTGTCATTTGTACACATTGCCCATGTTACAGAGACAATCCAACGACTTCTCGACGTCGATCTATGTCAGAACTCAGAAGGCACTACTGCGCAATGCCTATAGCACATCCTAGTCAAAAAACGTGCTACGGAATCATCTTTGCTTTTCGCATCCTATCGAAAGTTAAACCCCACGTCTCCATGACTGAACTCCTTTCATCAAACCCCGCATGTTGGATCTTGGTCAAGTCGTAGTGTCGATCGAAATCGGCGAGGGTCAGGTGGAGGATTTCAAATCCTGGCATGGTTATTCCTGACTGAGCGATATCCGTCCGCAGGTGGTATTTCTCTTCCAGGGCTTTCCATTCCGGGAGATTGTTGTTGATATATGCTCGAACTTCTCTAGATCGATCATCAGGAGGAGCCGATTTCAGCCCGAAATACTCGCAAAGCTGTGGCCATTTCTGCTCCCAGGTCTCATACTGGGGAGATGACGCCACATTGAAGGTCTCTCCGTTGCCGCTCGCATCGGGGTGCAAAGAAAGAAATATTGTTTGCTTGGCAATCATGTCGCTGCCGGCCTCGTTATGTTTTGCTCTCCAGCTTTTCATGGTCCCTGGAAAGGGGATTACACTACCGGCGCCGTTAATTTCCTTCCAGAGGGAGAAGTAAATGCCCAGAGAAGCCGCCAAGGAGTAAGCAGAATGGTTTGGAGCGAAACCAACAATGATATCTGGTCGCGTTTCGCACCATGTCCATGACTTTCCATTGGAATATTCGCTCAACCAATCAAGCTGAGCGTGGTAAAAGAGCTGGTCACTATACGGTGGCTTAAGTCGAGGCAAAGACTCCTTCAGAGGGACAGGAAAGTAATGGTCTTCTTGAAGAAGAAACCCGTACATCTGTGGAAGGGTTAATCTTGGACCTGGAGTTAAGCCAACCACTTACCTTTGCGCCGGTTTGGAAGGCGACAAACTCTAAAACTGGAGAGAGCTCATCCACAGCTATGATCGACCGAAAGAGCATATCAACAGCATCCTTTTTCTCCTGTTCAAAGTTTGGATTCGCTTTGTAGGCTAGATGGGAGTGAGATTTGAGTCGATCACTTCGAAAGATCCCGAACACGATAATGAACTTACCATAATAGAAAACATGCGTGACCGTTTCAATCCCTGGGATTTTGTTTCTCATAGACTCCTCGAATGTTTTCTGCTCTTCCTTCAGCAGATTGAGGCCGGAAACAATCTGGAGCTTATTTGTTCTCGGCCACAGTGAGGCCTCAATATCGAGAGGCCTGTTCGTCAAGGCGGTAACCCTGCTCCATGTTCCTGCTTCTGGATAATCCTGTACCAATTGATTCACAACTGCCCAGCCAGAGACGCCAGAGGCCCCGAATACCAGAGCATGTCTATTGAGTGGAGCCATTTGCGATATAGCGCATGCCTGTTCCGTCAGCTGTCACTTTCCTGGCAATGAGCATGTGGTTTGCTGAAATACTTGCTCTTTGCCATTGTTAATATTACTTCTTGGGAGTGGGAAATGATGGCCGAACGAAAACATTGCGGGGATCATTCGAGGCAGAAGCACCGGAGGGTTGTCGCGAGTGGAACACCACCGGACTTCTTTCGTTTGGTTTGGCCTCCGGCATTCGAACTCCTGTGGTTTATGTGCAGATGACCGAACGAAAGTCAATTAGAACTTCCCAAGGCAGCCGGTAATTGCACCTCCGACCGAGATTAGGTACTGGTGGCTCCTTAATTAATTAGTTGGTTGCATTTCTGCCTCCAACGAAAAGCATCTCCATTTCGGTGGCCCCAAGTTGCCTAAGTTACCCACGCACCTCCAAGAGGAGTTGGGGGACCGAAGCCTGTAGACTCCAGAACTATACCTAGACATCTTTCACAGTGTATTGTGCGCCATACTGAAAGCGTTTCTACTCCTTTATGTCTCCAAATGTCTTCACAAGTTTGAACCCCCGGACACTCACTGCTTTCGCATTTCCAATAATCCGATGAGTATTTGGGCTCGCATCCGCTTCTCTGAGCTCGGGGCCGTCCAATTCGTCTAGCGTCTCGAATTCATGGACTGCCATGAATCTGGGAACAGCTGACAGGTCAACGTCGTTCGAAGATTCCAGCTGGTAGCGCTGCGACCGACGATATCCCGGAACTCTTGAAAGCATATACAAGTGTTCATCCCGGTAAAAAGTGTTGTAGTCGTCATCGTCCGGAGGCTCCATTTGGACATTAAGAATGAAAGGCGCCGGCGCTTAGAACCCATCGAAAGCGCGGTGCAAATGATGTCAGCGAAGGCGCGAGACTCTTGGATGCTGTCAAGGAAAGTCAACAAGTACAACTTACTGTGCCCAAGCCCCTTTGGGTCGAAGTCCTGAATAAGCTTGTATACCCTTGAATCCCACACGCCACAAGACTTCGGGGATTTCCCTGAAAGCATCTCTCCAGCTTGGCCGATGTTCTGTAAGTGTTGGCTTCTCGCTAATGTGGGATCCTCGACCTGGCACATGGCAAGGAATGTTTTTTCTGTCGGCGGCTCGATGTCGGTATGCGTAACTTTTACGCTATGGAGAGTCGTCTGGTCGACCGCCTTTGGTGTTTTTGTAGCAAGCGGATAGTCGTCGAAGGCCTCGTACAAACCTGCCCTTGTGACCGCCTTTGCGTTGACCAAGTCGGGTAAGTTTTCTGAACAGTACCACTTCTCCCAACTCTCGCGGTCGACTTCCACCGGCTCTGACAACACACGCAACAGATACGAAGAAGCCGCCATTTGGAGGTAGTTGTCAATATTTTATTCGAGTCGTCAGAGAAAGCAGTTGCTTCTTCTGTGTGCGACACATGTGGCCACAGACTGATGAATGGGCCATGACTCTCGGCGGGCACATGGCTTCTTTAGAAGAACAAATGGACTTCAAAACCCGCAACCTAGAAGAGAGCCACACAGAAAAGTGGAATCGGGAGTTTAGACTCCGAACCTCTATCAAACTAAATGGAAGCCACCCTTCTTGTCGGCTCCCGAGCTCGGCTGCCCAGGTTGTTTTCCGGTTGATGATTGATGAAAACATTGTCGCAGATTTAAGGGCTGAAAGCTTTGGGATAGTTTCGGAAAGGCCAGTGTGACTTTGATTGCAAGGAGTTCATGAACTGATGGCTACAAAGGTCAGGGACCAAGGTCGAGTGACCTGCGAAGCACGAACAGGAAGGTCTGTTTCTTCCCTTCCAGAAGTCCAGGAACATGATTCCCAGGCATCTTGCAGCAAAATTAAAGGACGGTTAGACGTACAGTATTTATTTATAGACGTTGTAGCTGCTCCAAGGTGTAAGTGACAGAAATTCATTCAATACATGCATGTCACGGGATGAGGTGCAGAATTTCTAGTTTGGCCGCAGAGCCCATCAGCCCGCACTTCCACTTGCCGGGCCACAACGTCACTACACTGTCGCATGCCTCGATTTCCACCTTCTCTTGAACGAAACACCGCAAAGGACCAGCCTCCATTACAACCGTAGTCGAGATGCATCGCACAATTCTCCTGTGCTCTCTCTTCTCATCAATCTCCCTCGCTGCCGCTCTCTCACCATTGAATTTCTGGGGCGGCAACACCCCATCACCCTCGAATACTCTGGTGATCCACCTGAATCAAGACCAAACTGCAATGAACCCGGGGCCCGTTCAAGGCGGCGCCGAGCCTGGGCAATTTGGCGACAATGTTGGCGACAATGTTGGCGACAATACCCTTTCCATCTCTGATATCCTCCCGCAAACCCGCAAGATCAATATCTTTGCCTCCCTGACACGCGACATCTCCACCGTCACCTCCCGCCTAGAATCCACCAAGCCAGAAGACAATACAACACTCCTGGCTCCATTGAACGCTGCGATGCAAGCTCTTCCTCGCAAACCATGGGAAGATCGACCGGGCGATGATTCAGGTGTGGATGCCGGAAGGGACGAAGATAAAGCAGCCCGAAATCTGCAGAGATTCGTCGAAGAGCATGTTGTTCCCGTGAGTCCGTGGGAGCAGGGCAAAGCGAATAAAATCAAGACACTAGGTGGGCAGGAATTGTGGTGGGAGGAAAATGATGAAGGGGACAGGGTTATCAACCCAGGCAATTTGATCGTCGACGGTGTTGTAGGAAGAGTGGGCAATGGGGAGATTTGGGCGGTCAAGGGGGTAGTCAATTATGCATGAATAAGCATAGAATTCCTGATGAGAGCACGAGAGAAGCTGGGTTTACGAAATTACATCAGGGTTACCAGGACGAGTAATTGTACAATTAGGCATCTGATCGGTGCTGGACGATAAACTTAACACCGTCCTTGGGGGAACATTAAGGCCGGATTTGACGAGACGACCTATACAGACGAATTACTTGACTTTTCTCTCCACAACAACCGATGAATCCCTCAGAACGTGTTGAGTTTCTTCGACCTCTGAATGATGCTCGAAAAAATACGTCGAGCAACCCGCTCTCCAATATCAATTTCCAAAAACACCACAGGTAGCAGACTCCAAAACAAGCAGCACCAATGCACGCGTTCACCACCACCCATAAATCAGGCTTATCTTCAGGTGGGGTTGTAAATGCCGCCAGAAGATGCCAGAATGCCATGACAATGTAAGTCTGAAAATGTAAAATTTTGGTGGGTGTTGCCAAATCATCGGGTGCCTGTGGTCGGCCGGTGACATTCTCGTGATCAGGGTCGTAGTAGGCGCTTACGCTGGTCGGTGGCAGCCCCAGCAGGTAGCACCACAGAAGCGATACCACGACATATGGGATCGTGAGGCCGTCCCTCTTCAAGAGCGGGAACATCGTCCACACGCCCAGTGCATTTGCCCACCCAATCCACGCCCGATATTCTTTGCTGAGGCCTTGTTTGCTCCCGAGGAGCAACGTCATTGGGAGCAACGGGAGCAGCACCGACTTTTCGTGGACCTGAAACGAGAAGAGAAAAAACCCCCATGCCGATGTAGCTAGCGCATAAGGGAGCAGCGTCTTCTTCGGCACTACCCCAATGACCAACATCGGTCCTAGGATAGATCCGAGAGTGGCAAGAGCGGAAATGCGAGAGAGGTCGACAACCCCCTGTAGCCTGCGGAGTTTGTAGAAAGTGTTGGTGAAGCACCAGAAGTTGGCCACCTTGTCTTCGAACAAGCCGCGGGCGAAGGGAAAGATTCGGTGGACGGCCTGGCTAAGCTGAAGAGCAATCATTTCCGCGGGAACGTTAGGGTCGAGAATTATTCTTTTGTCAGAAAGGAACGGCGGCGGAGGCATCTCAGAGAAGGGGATCTGCTGATAGATGTCGTAAATTGATCCCACAAGCAATGGAGCAAATAAGACCGCGAATGCGAGGGCTGTGATGAGGGAGATTGAAATGAGTCTCCCAAGGCGGATTTGCGGAGTCAGGCAAGAACCAAGCAGGTAGGCGAAGATGACAGGCGAATAGTATAGGGCCATCTGCTTGAATCCAAGCGCGGCGACGAAAAAAATGCAGGACCACAAGAGTCGACCGGCATATATGCTTGACAAAGCTGCGACAACCAAGCCAAGCATGACGGTATTGTATTGGAAATGGCCGTGGTCGATGAGAATGTTCGCTGGCTGCATGAGAATCGCCACAAGGGCAATGGATGCTGAGGTTGTCCCGGTGCCATGGATCCTGCTAAAGTGCCGAAGGAATATGATCAAGGCTGGGACATATACGAGGTATTCCGAGAGGATGACAGTGGCCCGCATGAACACTTTGAGATCTGGTTCCTCCATGCCCCGAGATTTCTCGAGCTCAAACCAGGTTGGATTGAATAGAGATCCCCTTGCTCTCCGTCAGCTCTCGGATTCCCTTCCGCGTTGGGGGAGCTTACACTTCGCCGCACAGCCAGCTGTGATAAACTGTCAAAGGAGGATAGTCCAGTCCCCAGTAGGGAAGGTCATAGAAATACCATTTCGATACTGGCAAATGGATTGTAATCTCCATCCAATGTCGCTGAGCCTCGAAATCTCCATGCATTGGAGGAGTCCTGTAGCCCGAGTGGTCCCAAAGCCCTACGCCCCATCTGAAGAGGCCAACAATCATCAAAATCAGTGGCAGCAGAATCCATTGAGATGTTGTGCCCCGAGCTGGCCACAGAAAAGCCACCAGGGGGAATTCAGGGGTGATGGCATTGCCGTCGTCAGGGTCGAGTTTGACAATGTCAGTGATGGTGTTCTTTCGGATCAGAGCAGGAGGCTGTTTTCGCTTTTTCCGGGGCCTGTGTGAATTTGATAGGTTCGACATGGTGTGGGAAAGACAGACGAGCGGCTGGGTGGCTAAATGAAAATCGCAAGAGCTGGTTCGGTTCAGGTCGGTACTCACTGTGAAGATGCAGGTTTCCAGTGGTTCCCAATGTGGATTAAATGCCCAGACCCAGCCTCTCTGTTAGTTGATAAGATAAGGTTTGTCAGGTGGAGAAATGGAGAAAATTTTGGCTTCAAGAAAAAGTAGGTGAAAGCCCATCCTTCTTGTTTCCTTCTTCATCTCGCACTGCTGGCTTTCTGCTGCACCCGTTATCGAATTTCACCATCGTGGGCATATTTTCGAGGGTATCATTACCTTGAGGTCTATCGAGGGCTCTGTGGGTCTGTTGCTACTGAGGGTTGTCTTGAAGACTCTTTGCAGGTTCCTGCTTGTCTCATCCTGCTGGTGAGTTCTGCTCAAGTTCATCTGTGGTGTTGCGCGTTCAGCAGAAATTCACGTTTCTGCCGGTCTCTTGCAAAAGCAAGTGACTAATTGAGGCCGGGGGCTTTTAATTCCACCTTGTGGATTGAGGGTTTTGCCGCACGCACATAAAACTTCTTTTCGTGGTTCTGCCGGAGAGAAAATTTCAACTCCAGAGGGTTTCAAGTTTGTCACAATCCGTCTTTTGTTCGTATTCAACTAACTAACCATGTGATTTTATCAGTTCCTGTTCAGTATGTCCAAAGTCAAGTCCAAGGCTGTCCCTACCGGGTCCAAACCCGGTGTCCTGTCGAAAGTCAAGGGCGCAGCCGTGACCAAGCCTTCGCAAAGTGTGAAGGCCAAGAGTAAAGTGATTGCCAAGGAGGTTGCTGCAAAGGAGCAGAAGAAAAACAAGAAAAACAAGAAGATCCCGGTCAAGGAGCCAACTCCCGAACCGGAGTCAAGTTCTGAGGAAAGCTCTGAGAGTGAAGACTCGGCCAGCTCTGAGGAGGATTCCGAGTCTGAAGATGAAGTCAAGACCAACAGTGCCAACGGAGTCAAAGTCCATGGACAAGACGATGCAGAGGAAGATTCAAGCGACGAATCCGACTCTGAAGCATCGGCGGCTGAAGACGTAGCTCCGAAGGCGAACGGTTCTGCCCGCAAGGCCAAGCCGGCGACCGATGCTTCGGAAAGCGAGGAAAGCAGCGAAGAGGAGTCTGACGAAGAGGAGAGCTCTGACGAGTCGGAAAGCGATGAAGAGACTGCAGCCCCCAAAACGACCAAGACAACCAAGGAAAATGGCGTCAAGCCTGTTGGCGCTGGCGCTGCTGCTGAGGACAGCGATGAAGATGCTGAGAGTACCGACGAAAGCAGTGATGAAGATCAGAGCAGCGACGACTCTGATGAGTCCGAGGACAGTGACGAAGAAGAGGCAGAATCGAAGCCTGCCAAGCGCAAGGCTGAGGACGTCGAGACGCCTGCCGCAAAGAAGACAAAGGTCGAAGATGATGACGATTCCAAGGGCTCCATCCTCTTCGTCGGCAACCTCTCCTGGAATGTCGACGAGGAGTGGCTGAAGTCAGAGTTCGAAGAATTTGGTGAGCTCGGAGGCGTTCGTTTGATCACTCAACGTGAAGATGGCAGATCCAAAGGGTAAGTCAGCATCTCTGCTGCGTTTGGTTCTATAGTGACTGATGAGATATAGTTACGGTTACGTCGAATTCGTGAATGCCACCGATGCAGCCAAGGCCCATGCTGCGAAGCAAGGCTACGAGCTTGACGGTCGTGTCATGAACGTCGATTTCGCCAACAAGAAGACCGACGCCGGAGACAAACAGGAGAAACGACGCCAATCTTATGGCGACAAGCTTAGTGAGCCCTCCGATACGTTGTTCTTGGGCAATTTATCTTTCGAGATCACCGAGGATGACGTTTACAACGTATTTGCGCCCTATGGAACACCCACCGGGGTCCGCATCCCCACTGACAAAGAGACCGGCAATGTCAAAGGGTATGGCTACGTCACTTTTGCAACCTTAGATGAGGCCAAGGCTGCGCTCGAAGGCGCACAGGGTTCCTACGTCAAGAACCGCCCCATGCGCGTTGACTACGCTCAACCTCGTCAACAGAATGGTGACACTCCCGCTCGCGGTGGCGGATTCGGTGGGTTTGGCCGTGGTGGCCGTGGAGGTACTCGCGGAGGCCGTGGCGGCGGTAGAGACTTTGGCGGACGCGGAGGGCGTGGTGGTGCTCGCGGAGGTGCTCGTGGTGGACGAGGCGGCACTACCAATCGTGGAGGATTTGGTGACTTCTCTGGCAAGAGGACCACGTTCTAAGCTGATGACGCCTGAGCAGTGGTGTTTCATCGACTTGGACCGCATATGGATCACTGGATACGGCGTTATGAGTGGGGAGATTTCATTGCCTGTCTGATCCGTGATTGTATCTCGAGCAATTCCTCTTGGACGCTTTACATGGAAATACGACGACGGCGAGGATTCGAAGGTTCATGTCTTCAAAAGTTCAAAATTGCTTTTCTTTCCCTTATGTCTTGCTTGGTCTAATGAGGAATCATGATTCCTTGAACCATTGTGGGAATTAATGAGTATGGGAAATGGAAAAACTCGACTTTCCATTCAGCCTTTCTATTCTAGGAGTTACTCCAAGTCATATTAATGTACCGAGTACCCTACAAGTTAGGGCTGTCTCGCCCCGATGTCGGGGAGCGGGGTACAGAGTATTGAATGACAAGGTCCCACCACGATATAACACTATGACCTTAGAGCGGTGACTGGTGACGGAGGTCGGTGATTGGATTCATCTGACACCAACAATACCAGCCGACACCGCCAGACCACCGCCAGCGTGGCCTGCGCGCGTGATTCCATCTCTTGATCAGCACTTGTGGCTCTGCCTTTTCACCTGATACGTGTCCCGTCAAATCAATGATCAGCCGTCCATTCGGTGCCGCCTTTGCAGGAAACCTGCTCAGTGGCATGTCTCTACTTGGTGCGTTAACTAATCGAGTGCCTGCATTGTGCATTCCGGTTCCAGAATGCCACCATTTCAGGTCTTCCTTGCATACCCAGCACAGGCTGGCTGAACTGACCTGGTCCTTGGCAGGATAAACGACACCCTCAATCCGCGGTACTCGACATTCGGTAGTCTCTCCCTTTCTCCTCTCAACCTCACTCCCATAACTGCTCTCGATCTGGCCACAATCACCGTCAACTTCGAGCCCGGGAAAGGCTGTCCCCCGCCCTCCCAGAAAGGCCCCGTGGCTGATCGTCGCGATCGCGTAATCGCATTCTCCAGGACAGATCCCCTACATACCTTCGTCATCCATCAGCGGTGAGATCTAGCCTAGGATTCTACCAGTTGTTCTGCCACATCGCTTGGCCTCTCCAAGATCTTGACGTCCCTCGTTTTAAGCAATTTCGAGTCAGAGCTTCTTCGCTATTTCTAGGATCTTTAAGAAGTGAACACTCATTTCTGGGATCCGAGAGGGCGCAGCCGAGGGAAGGTACTTCAGCTTCCAATTCGTTAGCCTACATCCCATAAGGCTACAATTTCTCAAGTATGCGACCGTCTCAAGCAGAGCCATTTGGCTCACTTAGAAGTGAGCGAGGAGAACATCGGGCACCCTGGGCTACAGAGTCTCACCCAATGTCGGCGCCCAATGCGAGTATTCGGGGGATACGCTCTGAAGGTAGAATCTGCTTCCAGCGACTACATTCCACCGACGTGCAGAGTTGCTGACCTTTCCTTAGACTCGTGGGTTGAGATCTCGTCACGCGCTTCGTCTGCCTCTTTATCGTCCACGAACAACGATATCATCACCACCGGACTCCAAGTCCGGTCTCAAGATGAGCGCCAATCCCGTCAACTTCAACCTTCTCCACACCTTGCACATCCTCAACTGCGGTCTACGAGCACTGCGGGAAGTAGCCAAGATGAATATGAAGAGAGTGAGAGCGAGAGTGATCGGGTTCTCAGCAGCTCGAACGAAGAGATCTATCAAGGTGACACAGCGGACGATGATGAAACCTCTACCGCTCTAGGTGTTGATAGCTTGGGCAAAGTGTTCACGCCCCAGCCGAATGCATTCTCGCACCCCCCGTCGTCCCATAATCGAACCGTACCAGATCCCTATTTCCCTCAAGGTGCCGCAGTGGCATCTGAGCCGCAGGCTGACCGCACACTCACTCAGCGCGGCTACCAGCGGCAAATGCAGTCGAGGAACCGCCCTGCCTCGTCACCATACCAACCAGACCATGATGCTGCCTTGCGAGCCTCTCTGACGACTCTACTCTCGTGCGCCGCCGCAGTTCGACCTAAAGGCCCTGATGCCAGACCGCCCCCGCAGCGAGCATCGACGCAACCGACAACTCTGCGGCTTGTCCCCGAATCAGCGCTCGAGAATGCGCCTGGACAGAGACGAACTTCCTCACCCACCAAGCAAACGAAGCGAAAGTCGCGCGAATCGAGCAAAGATCGACCCGCCGCCAAGAAAGTCCGAGCTGCCGGCGCTAAAGCAGCAGCAGCAGCAGAGGCGACTGGCGAGGAGCTGATCAGCCCAACGCTCGCTTCGTGGATGATTTCAGCGGGCGTGGTCCTCGTATTCTCGGCCATCAGTTTCAGCGCGGGATATGCTTGGGGACGTGAGGTTGGAAGGATCGAAGGCGAGATGGGTCTCCCTGGTGGAAGTTGTGGACAAGAGTCAATAAGGTCGACCGGAACCGGGTTGAGAAGGTTGAGATGGAGTTCGGCCGCGAGCAGTATACGCGCCTAGTGACGCATATTTTGCGGTTGGCGTTTGGTAAAGCATCATGAGGAGCAAGAGACGACAACGATAGGGACGATGGAAATTAACTGATACTCTGCTAAAGGGGGAACGGGACGAATCGAATGAAATGATACCCCGGCGGAACCAGTCTTCGACACTAGCTCTTTGCATGACTGGACGTGCATGACGTCGCAGGAAGTACACGAGGCATGGAAATATCAAGGCGTTCTTCAGATCGCTGGCGTTGGGGGGGCCGGCAACAGCGCAATCCTGTGTTGAGCGCATATATAGA